GGGAGAGGGAGAGGTGAAGGAGAAACAAGGGGAAGGGAGTCCGAGGAAAGGGAGAGTGCTCATTGCGAAGGTGAGGGGGCTGATAAAACAGTAGAAACAATCAGGGCCAAGTGAGTCCTCCCTCCGACATGTGCAACGGAGCCGCCCAGGCAAGTATGGAAGTGAAGGATGTTGGCAGTGACGATGAAAACCAGGCGAGACTCGAGGCAGAGGCAAGACTCAACAACACAATCTTCGCTACTCCTGCTCCTCCCACTCCGAGGTGTCCTATCACTCTTCCTGCCTTGCTCCTTCTCCCCACCTCTCCCCTTCCAAACTTGTCCTCTCCTCCTCCCTTCCTGTAGCTCATCCGTGTCGCAGGCCCGCGTGCATCTGTACTCCGCAAGGGTGTGACTGTCTTGGGGAGTACCCGAGACTTCAGTTCGAGTCTGCATGTCGCCCTCGCTGCCATCTCCTCCTCTCCCTCCTCGTCTGTGGTGAGCATATGAAGCTTCAAGTCGCTCCTCCTAACCAGATGTGTGGGGACTAGGATTGCTGCTGCTCGCGCAGTCTTAACTGGAGGAGAGAGGCTCACTTATTCTTTCATCGATGTCTGTTTGGAAAGGTTGTAAACTAAAGGTGCGAAAATCAAGTCATGGGAGCTCAACACATTATCTCCTGGGGTCCACTGGTCGTCGGGGAGTATTCTCCGGGAGATCAGCGTACTCCTATGAAGCCATCGACAACTTGTCAAGATTTGAGTGGTGGAGGGTGGGGAAGAATAGAGGAGGGGAACGGAAGACAAGAGGAAGGAAGGCTGAAGCAGAGGAGAACGGTCTCCGCGGGAGGGGGGGAGCAAGCAAGAGAACGAAGGACTGAGGCATGGTGGAATGGAGATGAGAGGACGGATGAGGGAATCGAGGGAGGGAGGGAGGGAGGGAGGGAGGGAGGGAGGAAACATGGGCAACAAGACTAGGTGGTCAAGAAAAGATTCTCACCTTGTAGCCAATGTACTGCCTGGTCTGCGCATACTTGGAGAGATCAGGAGGGAGATCCACGAGGATTTCGCCATCCTCAACCTACAGGTTTGATTAGACAGCTAAATTCTCCTGCTCTTCCCGCCCGCCCCCATCTCACTCCTTCACCTCTACTACTTATTCCTTCCTGCTCCTGCTCCTGCTCCTGCTCCTGCTCCTGCTCCTGCTCCTGCTCCTGCTCCTGCTCCTGCTCCTGCTCCTGCTCCTGCTCCTTACTCGTCCCCTTCCGGCTGCTGCTGCTGCTGCTCCTTCCACTCCTGCTCCTGCTTCTCTCACCTTCACGCCATAAACAGCTGCAGGGGCTGCCTTCTCTCCCGTCGGGTTGACGGACTTGGCCATGGGCGCGACAAACTGTCCGATCTTGTTGCCGATGCTCTCAGTGCCTGGGGAAGAGCGATGAGGGCCAGACACTCACATCCTCCCTCTCTTGCCTTTGATGCCAAACACAGACTCCGACCAGACCTGAGAGGGAGGATGAGACCTCTGTAGGAGGAGAGCCGCGCAGGCCTACCTTACACTTTCCTTCCTCTTCCAATGAGAACTTGCTCTTGTGGAACGGACAGACAACACAGATGCCATGACGGTCGTCGGAGCCAGTGATCTGCAAGCAGCTCAGCTGCACACCTAACGTGCTGTCCTCGTCACCTGCCCTCGCTTCAAGCTCAGCCCGAGATGGGGGCACTTGTTGTTGAAGGCAAAAAGTTTGCCCTCCTTCTTGGTAACTACGAGCTTGATGTTCCTTGCAGTGACAACCTTGGACTGACCCTCGGCAACATCAGCCTCCTTGAGGTCAACAGAGACATAGTGCATCTTCAACCCTGCGCCTTCACTCACTTCCTATCCAGACTCTCCACTCCCCCAAACTTCACCCGCTGCGCTTCTTCGGGCAGACCGGGGAACCTGAGCCCGTTGCAAGGAAAGGCTGCCACACTGCTGCAGTGAACGAGGATACGAGAGCACTGAGAAGAAAAATACCTGGAAGGCACGAACTGGCACATATGGCATGCAGAGATAGATGACACAAATCCATGCAAGCAGGCGCAGGAACTGCATGGAAAACATCTGCAAGTACCAAACCATCAGCCAAGAAGCATCAGTTGCTTCTACCACATATAGCGCCTCTCCACATGCATAGTTCAATCTGCTGGCTACACCTCTTGTACGCACAAACGTTCATCCCAATCAATTCTTTTCCCAGGCCCTCAAGTTTGATCCTTAGTCGTGTGTAAAATCGTTTCGGGTGAAATGATTCTTGTCCTCCTCTGCTATCCAGCATTCTCTTCCCTCAGCTAGTATCCATACTGGGTTCTCTCTTCCTCTCCCTCTCTCCCTCTTCCTCTCTCGTTCTCCCTCTCACCCTCTTCATCTATCGTTCTCCCTCTCTTCCTCCTCCTTCCCTTCCTCTCTTCCTCCTTCTTCCTTCCCTATCTTCCTCCATCCTCCACTCTCGTCTGCCTTCGTCATCTCCATTCATTCGGCCTCACCCCTACCCCACCCCCACTCATCTATGATCTCAATATCCTTATCACCCCCTCTTTTACAGTATATATCAGGGGTACAATGGCACTTTTCCACTCACCCCCACCTACTTTCTATCATTCATGTCTACACGCCTGGACCCTACCGATTGTGCGATTTCCTTTTAAAGATTGTATCTCAAAAATTTCCAATATTTTATCTTTATAATTCAAATTTGAGAACTATATTGTATATTTTTGAAAACTTTAATACCACCCCACCCGTGGTTAAAATGTTTAGGGAAATAAGCTGTAACACAGAGTTGAATCGATTTAAAGAAGAGATTCAAATCGGTTCGCATCCATTGGAATCACAGTTGACAACCGTTGGCTCATGCTGCTTTTTCTGGAACACAAGCACACAAGAAGAGGAGGAGGAGCAGGAGGAGCAGGAGCAGGAGCAGGAGCAGGAGCAGGAGCAGGAGCAGGAGCAGGAGCAGGAGCAGGACTCCGCTGATTAGCTGCAAGGGATACAAAGTGGCAGTACTGAGAACTGCAACGAGTGAACATGGTCGGGGCAATCATGCTGGGAAATGACATGAGCCCGGAGGAGCTGGCGGAGGTGGATGGGAAGCCATTGGAGGAGCTGGCGGAGATCACAGACCTGAAGAAGTTGACGTTGGACCATGTTCATTCCCTCCTCCATCGGTTCAAGAGCGAAGACGACAGGGAGGTGGGGATGGATTTGAACAAGTTCAGTCTTGTCTTCGGGAGGGCCTTTCAGAGCCTGGCAGGAGAGACTGTGAGCTCGATCTTTGAGAAGATCGGAAGCGATGAGGATGGAAGGATTCATTTCAGCCATTTCAGCCATTTCCTCATTGATTGTACTAGGGTGGAGAAGGCATACATCAGCGCCTTCAGGACTAGCGGCATCACGTTGCCGGGGGACGAGGACTCGCCGCTCAAGGCGAGATGCTCCAAGTCTGTCGCGCTCCCGCCCATCAACGACCTGTCGAAGATGACGCTCAAGCACATGCAAGCCCTCAGCATGGCCTTCAACAGCAACGACAACGGCGAGGGCCTCGCCATGGAGGACTTCGTCTCGGTGGTGTCGGACGTGCTGCACGGCATGGACCCGGCGGTGCTGGAGGCTCAGTTCATGAAGATCGATGCGAACTCGGACGGGACAGTCTCATGGGACGAGTTCTCCTCCTACATCCTCGCCCTCGGCACAGCGTCGGAGTCGTTCGCGCACAAGTTCGAAGGTGGGAACCTGCTGGAGGGGCCGGAGCCAGATCCCAACAGGGACGAGTACCACTCGCACGCCATCTCGCACATAACGTGCCATCATGGAGCGGAGAAGTACTTCACCATCGCGCTAGAGGACAAGGGGACGTCAACAAAGCCAGCTGAGTCGCTCATTCGACAGTGGAACTCCAAGGCTGACGCGAGCGCTGAGATCTTGGGAGCGACGGCGAAGCTGACGGGGAACGCGAGTGTCGTGCTTGCAGTCTCAGTGTTCGGAGACAAGTACGAGTGGAGGAACGGGCCGGCGATCAACGTGCTGGCTGTGTCGTCAGTGGACGGCAGGATCCGGTTCTTTGACTGTGAGAAGCTTCTGCTGATAGGAGAGCTGGACTGTGTCGACGGCGTTTGCACCGCCATGCACAATTTCAGGATCAAGAACGACTCGGGCCCCGACGACGTCTCGCTGGACTTTGGAGGCGAGGAGAAGTCAAAGAGGACGCAGAGGCTGAAGGAGGAGAAGGAGTACGAATGGATCTTTGCGTATGGGGACGACGAAGGGAACCTGCGGCTGTTCACGGAAGAGTCGATTATGGAGTCTTGCAGGAGGTCCTCGTACCTCACCGCCTCCTTCAATTTCATGCACATGAAGCTCTGCAAGGACTGGCTGACTTGGATCCTGTGGATCGACGAGACAGAACTGCTATGCATCTCCACCAACGACGCGCAGGTGCTGGTGCTAGAGAACAGGACGGCAAGGGATGCCAACGGCCCCGTCCTCTCCCTCTCTCAGATCCTACGATCCCGCCGCAAGAACCTCAAGCTCAATGTCAAGAATGCGTTCCAGGGCCACAGCATGTCCGTCAAGACGTGCGCCTGGTGCAGCGGGAGGAAGGTAGAGAGACTCATGGCTTGTCCTGTTAGCCTCCTGTTGTCATGTCACTTCTGCTTCCCTTCACAACTACACTTGGAACAGAACCATCTCATCTGAATTTCCTTCCCCCGACTTCACTTCTTACATCACCTCTACCCCTTCTTTCTCTTCCACTCTCCTCCTCGTCCCCGTCTGTCTCTCTCCTCTCATCCTGTTCAACAGATCATGGCGTCCGCCGGGCTAGATCGCTCCGTCATCCTCTGGGATCCGCTGTTTGGACGTGTCTCTGCATCCCTCACAGGGCACAAGAAGGCCATCTTCTCATTGCAGTACAAGGAGAGAAGAGACATTCTGATCTCGGTCCGTCCCCTCGCATGTTTGTGTTTGCTGCCCATGTTTGATGTTGTGAATGTCGGGAGATGCTTGGAGGTGTTGTCGCCTGCTGAAACTTTTCTGATCCTCCACTTCTCTCTCCTCTCCTTCTCACTTGCTTCCTGTCAGCTGGACTTGCGGTCAGTCTGCAACTTCTGGGATCCTTCAAACCTGGTGTGAAGGAGGAGGAGGTGTGGGAAGGGGGGGTCAGGGGCGCAGATTTCTTGAGCTCCCTTCTTACTTCTCCTCCAGGCTCTTCTCCTCTCCATCGAGCCTCCTCGCACCACCTCCACCTCCACCATCGGCGTCATTAGCGCCATCTTCGTGAACAACAAGACAGACAGGATGATCTTCGGGAACAAGAAGCTGCAGGTTTGGCAGTTCAAGAGAGTTGGCGACACGGGCGATCAAGCTGAAAGATATCATAAGTGAGCAACTAGCGAAATTGACCTTCCCTTCTCGGAAGTGCTCCGATTCTCTTGCGACTTTTGACTATTGGGTTTGTAGGGGTGAGATCGTTGCTGCATTGGTCAACCATCAGTTCTACCAGGTGAAGAGAGTTTTTGTGTTTCAACATGGAACTGAATTATCATTTCCTCCTCCTCCTCCTCCTCCTCCTCCTCCTCCTCCTCATCCTCCTCCTCATCCTCCTCCTCATCCTCCTCCTCCTCCCTCCTGCACCATCTGCGAGCAGATCGTCTTAGTTGACTCCAACTGCTTCGTGACGGTCTGGGACATCAGCACCGGCAAGCAGAACACAAACTTCTTCGCCGAGTCAAAACACGACGACGAGATCCCCACATGCGCGAGGTTCGATGACACCTTCAGGCGCCTGGTGGTGAGTAGCTGGGAATGTCAAAGTTGACATATGGCTCCTTCTCCTCTGCTCTTTTCTCCCTCCTGTCAACTTCCTACTCCTCCCTCCCTCCTCCCTCCCTCCTCTTTCTTCCTCCTACTGTCTCTCTTTTCCTCCTGTCCCGCTGCTCTCCCTCCACCTCCTCCTCCTTGCGTCATCTTCGCCTCACTCGTCGACTCTCAGGTTCTCTACAGCCAGGGCTCCATCCGCATCTTCAACTTCAGCAACGGCACAGTCATCAACAACTTGACCTGCGACTCCAACGGCCCGCTGCAGACCACGACCATAATCACCAAGGAAGAGAAGGGCGCCAAGAAGGGCTCGGACAAGCAGGAGAAGTTCCTGCTCGCCAGCGGCTGGAACGGCAGCGTCTATTTCTGGTACTCCAACTCGCCGGAGGAGGACGTGAAGAACTTTCAGAAGCTGAAGCCGAGGGGGGAGGCGGGAGCAAACGAGGAGGTCAGGTGTATGGCGTTTTACCCGCCATGCACCCTTGTGACAGGATACAAGGATGGGCATGTCATTGTGTGGAATACTATCACGTCAGTATCCTCCTTTCCCCCTTCCCCAGCTGCCCTGCTTATCCACCTCCTCCTCCTCCACCACCACCACCTCCTCCTCCTCCTCCACCAGCTGACCCTCCTGCAGGTACCTCATGGTCATAACTCATCACTTCTCAGCTCGTTCAACTTGCGAGATTATCCAGGGACACATCAAGAGGAAGCCGCATGCTCCCAGCTCGGCTAGGGGCTCCTCCTTCGCTGCTCGCACCGGCTCCTCGATCATCAAGGGCATGCTCGAACCCCTGAGGAACAAGATAGACGCCTCCTCCCCCAGCTCCACCTCGGACTCGCGCCCAGGTACCAGCGAGTCAGCGGCAAACTTCTGGAGCGAGCTGGACTCGGTGCTGGCTAAGACCAGCCAAGTGCAGCAGCGGAAGGAGGATGGAGGAGCAGAGATCAACGCTGTGGAGTTCCTCTCCTCCCCCGGCTTCGAGGGCGTCGCCCTGGTGGCGTGCGGGGACGGGATGTGGAGGTTCCTGAGGGGGAGCAAGAAGTTCCTGTGGGGGTACGTGGACGCGAGGAGCCGCGCGTGCGGGGGGGAGGAGACGTCGCTTGAGTGCTTCTGCACGTCGGAGGATGGTCGGTGGGTGGTGAGCGGGAACTCCAAGGGCTACGTGCAGGTGTGGGAGCTCAAGGGGAGGGGGGACAGCCTGCTGACCGACCGGTCGGGGAGGAGCGGGAAGTTCGATGCCTACCAGGGGGAGACGCCGCAGAGGATCGAAGGGGTGGAGCTGAGTGAGCAGCTGGGCCTGCTGTTGGGGTTCAAAGGGCACGAGGTGGGAATCAAGTCAATCTCCTTCCTCCACCACATTGCCCGAGGGAGCGCGACGTGCAACGTGCTGCTGACGGTGGGGAAGGAGTTCGACTCGCGGGTGATCATGTGGAGCCTAGCTGGGGAGAAGCTGGCGGAGTTCGGGGGAGGGGCAGCGAGCGAGGGAGCGGAGACGACCTGGAGCTCGCAGCTGCTGCTGGAGAAGAGCGACCCTGTGCTGCTGCAGGAGAAGGTGCAGGCGTTCAAGCGTCAGCTGGAGGAGCAACTCTCCTACTCGAAGCTGCTGTACGAGCAGGAGGTGGACGCTGAGAGCTCGGAGCTGACCTCCCACCGGTCGGGGATGAGCGAGATGGAGGGTGAGAGGAAGGGGAAGTTCCAGGAGGAGAGGCAGGACAGAGGCGCGCAGAAGCAGGTGCAGCTGGTGGGGTCGGACGGGAAGGTGACACCAATCAGCTCGTACAAGCAGCTGGAGCCTCTGCTGAAGCAGTACAGGGAGCATAAGAGGGTCGCCGACGGCTCCAAGGCCTCTCGCAGCGTCTGCCCCTTCCGTGCGCTGCCGGTGGCCGGGGAAGGAGGAGCGAGGTCAGACACTCTGAGAAGCATCCCGGAGATGCGAGCGGATCCCTACCGCACGTTCGAGCAGGGGAGGAAGAAGGCAGGAAAGAGCCTGAGGCTCAAGGGGCGTAGCTACGAGGAGGAGAGCGAGGACGATGGAGCCCCGGCTCGCGAGCTCAGCCGCTCGCTGGCGAAGCTGAGCAATGCAATGGACATCATGACAACTGGGGTGCTCGACGCGTTCTCTTCCGGTCTGAGCGCCTCGCACGAGGGCACGAGGATGCGGAGGAAGAAGAGTATGTTCACCACTAAGGCAGCAGTACTCCTGCACACCCCCACGCCAACGAAGCTCCCGTCTATCCTCAAGCCCTTCAAGCATGCCGAGGAGGGAGGGGGAGGGAAGTACTTGGAGTAAACTCCTGCTTCTTCTTGTCTCCAACCTCGTCACCCTCTGCTCATCCGTCCTCACACCCGCAGTATGCGAGTCGGTCCTTGTCGGAAGATTTCCCCATCCTGGCGGGAAGCGAGTCAGAGAGCGAGAGATCTCCTCCTCGCTTACCTCCTCGAGCGACAGCAGCAGGTCAGCTACTCTCTCCACCTCCCCCCTCCCAACGCCGAAGTGATCGTAAATGGTCGACAGCTCCACTCCGTCCTTCCTGCTGTGGGCGTCAGAGGTTGTCAACTATAGGGAACCTCCATACCTGCTTGAGATCAACTCGTACAGACTCTCTCTACTAAGAGTCTTCAACTGACTCGTACCCTGCTCTCTCGTCGGGACGGTTCCGCTCATGGCGAGCTCCAGGATCGCCATCTCCTCAGCCGAGATCTCCTCCACCTTGAAGACGTCAAGCCGCGCACGTGAAGCCTCTCCTTCACTGTACCTCCACTTCCTGACTCGCAGAGACGGGAGGAGGGCTTCCTTCCAGGTCGTAGACGAAGTTGGGGGCAGAGAGGGAGGAGAGTCCGTCGCTCTTGCAGGGGGAGGTCCAGGAAAGTTCGGACGGCGACGTTTTGCACTCCACGATCCCTCCCTCTGACTTGCTTGGGGTGCCTCCCCCGAGACCCATCAGACGCTCTGAGTATACGTTGGCCTGTTGCCACAGGCGGATCCAGTCCACTTCCCTCATCTCCTGCCCGTCGTAGAAGGATGCGGCGCAAGCAATCTGCCCGACGACCTTATCTTTTGGCTCGCGCCTCAAGCTGCTGATCTCATCGATCTTGCATGACAAGTCTCAGACGAACACAAGAGATTGCTAAACCTCACCGTCATCCCCTTCGAGAACAGATCGAACACGTTCTGCTCTGCAAACTCGACGCACATTGACTAGGAAATACTTTCATCAGGGTAAGGAAGGCAATGAAGAGCAGAACCTGAAGGACAGTGTCGAAGACGGAGTTGTCAGCATTCTCACCCTCCAAGTGAAATTTCGTCGCCGCCCACAGGCACACCAGTCCCCACGTTCCCCTGCAGCAGAGATTGAGATGTGGAGGGTCAAGGCTCTCCCAGCAAACTCACTTCTCTCTCAGGTGGATGTGAAAAGATTCGAAAACTTCCTGAGTCTTTCCGAATCGAGTCTGAGACTTGAAGAAATTGCAGCGGGACAGCTTCTCGATCTCCTCTAGGATGGACTCGCTACCTTGACCCCGCGGCTGCGATGATGAGCCGTTTGACAGATGATAGCAGGACTCTTGGTTCCTCACTGGAGTCTGATTGCTGCTCAAGTCCATGACAGATACTCTCGGGGAGTTATTTACATCAGAAGGATTCTGTACATACGATTTCGGTGTTGGCTTTTTACAAGTGAGGATTGGAGAGAGTTGGCGTTGCTTACTCGCAGTGAGGATAGGAGAAGTTTCACGGTGGTTAATTGCTGTCAGGATCGGTGAACCCATACTTGTCCTGGCTGGAATGCTGCGAACTGACGAAGGCGAAAATTCTGCACTGTGAGAAATTCTTGGATGTGGTGGAGACGGTTGTCGCAAGGGAGGGTACGAGTTTAAACTAGAGAACTCTCGCTCTCCGGGAGTTTCTACTGAAGCATGTCAGATCGAGTATTACTTTCAGCACGTGGATCATAAATGAATATCTTACCTCGGCTCCTTCCTTTGATTGAAGTGTGCTCATTCCTTGGTTGTTTGCATGTGACCCATCCATCCAGCTCCAGTGTTACAAAGGGCAAACCACAGTAATACTCGATGTCCTTGAGAAACCTTGTACCATACTTCTCTAGGAAATTTTGTGAAACTCCTTCAACTTCAGCAAGAGAGTCCAAGTCGGCTGGCCTGTGAATCACCAGCTCAAACAACAAAGGGTCGGGACAAACTGTAGATGCCGGCAGATGCTGGGCAGAAGCTATCTCTTCACGAGTCTTTCGAAGCAAGACTAGCAGCTGTTCCTCTTCGTGGTTCAGCCGTCGCCTTCCCTTCCGATCCAACTTAAGGTCATTCAAATCCAACAAACTCCCAGCCCTCTGCGCGATATCTTTCTTACGATTGCCTATCCACTTTTCCTTGTCTTCCAACTCTTGCATCCCTTTCGAAAGTGTGATAGGAAGGGGCAAGTTTTCATGCGAGTGCAGCCATTCGTAGCCCTTAGCAGAGATTTTTACGATCTTGAAGGTTTGCTGTCGTCCATTTGCAACCCCGACCCTTGCATGCTCTTCCAAGAGAGGTTGATCAAGGGAAAGTAGCTGCTGTCCCAGTTGCTTCCACCAGTCTGCAGACTTGTTCTTTCCTTTTCCAAACCCACTTGTTTTCTTGCACCATTCAGGAACGGCTGCCCCCCTCAAGAAGTTAACATATTTGGCGATCCCAAAAGCATTCTTGCAGTCCAAAACAGCTCCGAGGAACTGACGCACTTCAGCGCTCATATCCCGAACTTGAGTTTGGCCATTTTCTTTCCTCAGGCAGTTGTCGCACTGCCCGCAAGACGAAGCATTTCCTGAGAGCTTCTCCCCAAAGTGCTTCAGCAAGGCGATCCTTCGACAGGAAGTGAGGTAGCAGTACTGCCTCATCTGCGATATGCCTTGATGGAGCGCGTCACGAGCGATCTCAGAGATCAATTCTCCGCTGCTTCCGCTCTTTTCATAGAAGGATGCCAGCATAAAGTCTTGGCCGCTGTACAGCAACGTACACCTGGATGGCTCGCCGTCTCGCCCTGCCCTCCCGCTCTGTTGATAATAGCTCTCAATCGTCTTTGGAGCTCCCCAATGAATAACATGTCGGATATCTGGCTTGTCTATTCCCATGCCGAAGGCAGTCGTTGCTACCACCACATGTAGTTTGTCTTTCAGGAAGAGATCGTGAATCTTTGTTCTCTTGCTATCTGTCATGCCAGCATGGTAGAAAGCCACAGAATCTTGTGCAATCCCCAAAGAAACCAACTTGTCTGCGACTTTCTCCGCATCCTTCTGAGTCAGCGCATACACGATGGCAGGAACAGGATTGCCCTGCTTGCTTCCATCGATTATTTCCCGAAATACCGAGATTGCCTCCTGCGAATTTCTTTCATATGCGGAGTAGAACAAGTTGAGTCGGTCAAAGGTCGTTACGACCCGAACCAGACCAGAGGGCTGATCTGACCGGAAGGAGCCCAGGGAAAGGTTGCGAATGATCTCATCTTGTACCCTTGGGGTAGCCGTCGCCGTCAAGGCCATCACCGGCACATCGGGGACCTCTTCTCTCAACTCATATAGCCTCTGATACTCCGGTCGGAAGTCATGCCCCCACTCACTCACACAATGAGCCTCATCGATCGCAATCAGCTCAATCCCAACCCTGGCATGCAGGTCTTTCCACCGCGACTTCCATCTGCCCAATGCACTCTCGGGTGTGACATAAAACAAGCGGACGCCATGGCTGAAAACACTGTATTCTGAATCAGGTTCGTTGGTTGAGGTTGCAGAGATGTTCCTGGCTTTCAAGGATGAAACCTGGTCGTGCATCAAGCTGATCAAGGGGCTGATAACTATCACAATGCCTCTCTTCACGAGTGCGGGTATCTGATAACAAAGTGACTTGCCCGACCCAGTTGCCATGACAACCAGCGAATCTTGTCCTGCAATCGCAGCCCTGATGGCTTCTTCCTGGCCATTTCGGAAGTTGCTGTATCCGAAGCATCTTTTCAGTACTAATCGTGCTTCTTTCAGGGGGTCTACTTCGTCCTTCAAGGGATCATCTCTGCTCGTTCTCTGGTGTATCCGATTGCTGGCTGGCATGATCTCGTCACAGCATCAGCGTGTGCAGTCTTGATCTTGTCATGATGCCTCTCTCCCTCCTCTTCCTCCTCCTTCCAACGTTCCCCGCTCTCCCGCCATTCCCCTCCCGCCTTCGGATCTTCTTGGTCTGAGTCTGCCTCAGAGTATAAACTGAGGACCACGGCCCCGGCCCGGGCCCACCAACTGACTGAGTCCATACTATGATGGGCGACCTCTGCCACCTCCCTGGCCTTTCCGGAGTCCACCCTCAAGCATAGGGCCTCACGTGAGAGCCTCGGTAGGGCTGAATCCTTTACTACGAGGACAACCAGGAGACTCGTTCGAGGAGGCTTGACCGTCCCTGACACTGTCGCACACTGGCCAGGACCAGCTGAATCAGGCTGGCGGATTCAACATCACTGAGTCACTTCAGAGCGCCGGGACTGAAAGGTTCAACGGTTCAACGGTTCCGAAGTTCCGGGCCAGATCAACCTCCGAGGCTCCGAGGAGGTCCTGCGACGGGAGTCACGTGAGCTGAGCAGGGTAATTTTGCTTAGCTGGGTCACGGCCGTAGCCTTGTAAGATGCCTCGCTGTAATTTAACTTAACTTTGAGTAAATGCTGAATCTGGAGGATCGTTGACAGGCGCAAAGCGGCGCTGCCGTCGGATTTAGTTAACATTCATCGAGCTGGATATGTAGTACCGATAAATGTTTACTCAATGTACTAGCTGGTACTCAGCACAAAGCGCAAACAAGTAGACCTACACACCCACCCTGGGAAAACGATCAAAGTTGATGATGTTGAGGGGGTGGGGGTTGTTGAGGGACGAGGCCAACAAAAAGTACCAGTGCCTCTGCGTGACCAAGAAAGACACAGAAATCCTCTCCTGCTGCTGCTGCTGCTGCTGCTGCTGCTGCTGCTGCTGCTGCTGCTGCTGCTGCTGCTGCTGCTGCTGCTGCTGCTGCTGCTGCTGCTGCTGCTCGTGCTCCTCGTGCTCCTCGTGCTCTTCTCACTCCTCCTCTGAGGCTCCTCCCGCTTCTCTCCTCTCCCCTCCCCTTCTCGCCCTCCTCTCCTCTCCCCTCCCTCCTCTCCTTCCTCTCCTCTCCCTCCTTCACACCCTGGCCACTGCTCCTCTCCTTTTCATCCTCCTCTCCGTGTTGTCTACTCTTCCTCGTGCTTCCCTCCATTTCATGGTTGTCCGTGCTCTTGCCGTCTTCATCCTCGACTCATTCCCTCAATCTTCGCTTAACATTCTACCTTCCTGTCCTTATCATCCTCGGACCAACAGCTATTTCCATGTACGATCATAGACGTAGACTTGTATCAGAGCACCAGGAGAGAGAAGTGTGTGTGTTGATAGTGTTTCACCAAGAACTTTGTTACCTTCTGACCCTTGCAGCAGAGCTCACCCCCGACGCTTTTCAACACGTTCAAGATGACGCCGCCCTGTCAAGTTGTACCTGAGACACTGCCCTACAGCAACTCCAACGTCAACAGCCCCTCCAAGGTCACTGTCCCAGCTCAGGCTCACCAGCAACCGTCCACCCCGTTTGATGGCTACAAGTTCGAGCCCATCCGAGAGGCCACGGTCAACAGAGCCATGACGAGTCGCTACTTCCGCGACCTGGAGGCTTACGCCGAGTCAGACATCGTCATCGTGGGAGCTGGCTCAGCAGGACTGTCATGCGCCTACGAGCTCTCTAAGATCGCTCCGGACGTCAAGGTTGCCATCATTGAGCAGAACGTTGCTCCTGGTGGAGGCGCCTGGCTGGGAGGACAGCTCTTCTCTGCCATGGTGATCCGAAAGCCAGCGCACCTGCTGCTTGACGAGCTTGAGGTGCCGTATGAGGACGAGGGAAGCTACGTCGTCTGCAAGCACGCGGCTCTCATGACCTCGACACTACTGAGCAAAGTGCTCAAGAACGGCAACGTGAAGCTCTTCAACGCGACGGCCGTGGAGGACCTCATCGTCAAGCAAGATCCTCAAGGGCTCAAGTACTGCGCCGGAGTCGTGACAAATTGGACGCTGGTGGCCTTGAACCATGACACCCAGTCTTGCATGGACCCCAACGTGATCGAGAGCAAGGTCATCGTGTCTGGCTGCGGCCATGACGGACCTTTCGGAGCTCAATGCGTGAAGAGACTCGCCAAGCTCGGGATGCTCGACGAATACGCTCAGAACGGGATCCAAGGGATGGGCGCGCTGGACATGAACTCGGCTGAGGACAAGATAGTCAACAACACGCGCGAGGTTGTGCCGGGAATGATTCTGACGGGGATGGAGCTAGCAGAAGGTGAGGCTCCTCACGTCGTTCAGATTGACTGACATCGGACTGACGCTGCTAACAGTTGACGGAAGTCCTCGGATGGGGCCGACCTTCGGCGCCATGTTCGTCTCCGGCCAGCGAGCCGCACATCTGGCCCTTGCTGCCTTAAGGAAGAAGCAGGAGGAGGAGACGAAGGTTTAGATCAGACGAGATCGTCTCAGCCACTGATGAACCTGCCAACTAAGTTGATAGAGCAGTAGCTTACGGCTCATAGTCTCTATTTCCCTTTTAAGTAGCAAGTGTCTTGTAAAGAGATACGGTTCACTGCAAGTTTGATTCTTATATCTTAATACCTTATCTCATATCGAAACTCACCCATGGATCAATCTCTTGTCTCTTTCCTGCACACCTTTCCAGCACCGATGGGATAGTTCACCCTGATCTCACTCTGAGACATATCTCCAGCAACTAGAGATGAAATAGATTCTGTTCGAGACGAGTCACTACAGCAGTAGGACTATCAATGATTCTCTAAGTGACGTGTTCGTGCTATGAAGCTCAACAATTGATACAGTTTAGCAAAAATATCAACAACTCGTCCCGAGATTATGTTCAGATTGTTGAAGTCCAGGCCGAGCAAGCAGTTTATCTTGTGCTAAGACTCTGAAGATTCAAAATCTTTACATTTTTCTCAGCCTACATCCTTGAAATCTTTCCTCTGCACTCTCATGGTGTATGGTGCCGTCATCGGTACAAGGATGGTTCATATCGTACAAGGAGTAGTCAAGCTCTGCCTCAACTCAGAAGCTTCGTTTAAGCTGCAGACAAGGACCCCAGCAGTACCTGAGCACGTGACAGCTGCCAAGGCTTGGATCGTGCTGGAGTGATTTGAAAGTGAAGAGCTTCCAGCCTAAATACCTCAGGTTGACCAGAAGCTCGTCGTCTGCAGAGACTGAACATCTAATCATCGTGATCATCAAGTCAGACCTTGTCGATCGTAGCTTGATCCAGTCCTCCATAGCATGTTTGGGATCGGGCTTGCTATCCGTTATGATAAACAGGTGACTCGTGTTTGTAAAGCCGTCTGACTGAGATCCAAACCTCTGGTTGCTACCCGACAGATCCTCGGGGTCGAAGATGATGGGATCAACAGAACGATTACACAAACATGTGCACAAACTCTCCGCTTTCCGTGTACGCTCTCCCCCTTCCATGCTGATGATGCAGGCAGGATCGGTGAAATGCCTTCGAGGCAGAGAATCGAACATGACATCTGAGAAACTCGAGCACTTGTGAGGAATCTTTCGTTTGTAGAGAGCAATCTTCTCCTCTCGATCTCTTTGCAAGAACAGCGAGACATTCTTCACCAGACGTCCCAAGACCTCCGGGTGCCGAGCGAACTCCATCAGCCCCCGATACGACGATGCGTTTCCAGCAAGCCCCTGAAAGCGGCGGAGGATCCTGTCTTGCAAGTGCTCTTCCAAACCTCCAACCTTGAGCTGCCCCCGGCAGTCGATGCACCTGCTGTCCTCGCAGGCCCCAACTTGCGGCTCTGGTCTCCCCGGGGCTCGACAGCAACATGGCACCCACTCGTCCCACAGCAGCAGCTTCAGACGAAGTCGGTTCACCGGCCTCGCCCAGCCATAGTGCACCATGACCGGAGCGTCCGAGACGAAGAAACTGAGTTTGGCTCTGCTCTCGTAGTAGAAGTTCTCGGCCCTGAGACCTTTAGACTCGTCCAGCCATCGACCTTTGGCATGGATGGTATTCTCTACTTTGAACACCCTGTCATGCCCGAAGGAAAGATGGCCCAGCCGACGGAACAGCATGCGCCCCTGCCCCTTGTCCTCGTCCCCTGCACTGAAGGACGAGAGCCATGGTAGAGTCTCCGACACTTGCGATTGAACAAGCTCGTACTGATGCACCCACAGCATGTAGACGTCAGGAGGAGTCGCGGTCTTGAGCGCGCTGACCAGAGCCGACGCTCCTTGGTCGTAAAACACATCATCGGCATCGACCTTCAACACGTAGTCACAGCGATGTTTCCTCAGGATCTGCAGAGCAGCGTTCCTGGCTGCAGACACGTCTGTTCCGATGCTCTGCTTGAGGAAAACCAGCTTGCCCGAGGAAATCTCCTCCTTGAAGAAAGATTCCACGACATGCACAGTCGAATCTTCGGACCCCGTGTCAATCAGAATGTAGAGGTCGACATGCGGGAGCAATGCGGCTACCACAAACGTGATCGCGTATTCTTCATTTCTACACAGCGTTACAACTCCAACCTTGACCCCTGTGTTGTAGCGTGCCTGATCCATCCTCTTGAAATGGCAAAGATGAGCGATCGCATGATAGCTTATCATGTTCATTGTTGTGTTGCTATATTTGATCAGCCGCGTCTTGAGCGTTCTCATCAGGTTCCTCGCCTCCTGCTGTTCAATGTGGCTTGCCATCGCTCTTTGCAAATCGTCTGCGTTGATCGGCATGTCTGGAAGTTCCTGGGAGTCTACTCCTCGAGCAGGTTCGAGCACAAACAGGCGAGACAGGTTCTGGCAGAGCATGTCGGGAGCCCTCGACATCCTGAGCTGGGTAACATCGCGAGGAAGACGATCGACCGAGGAGATATGAAACAAGACCAGCTGATTGATCAGACCGAAAATGATGATGAGGAAGAAGAAAAGCCGAAACTTTCCGGCAGGAAACCGCATGGAACTCTTCTCTCCTTGCCTGGTCCCTTCCTCTTCTACTGCCTCCTCCTCTGCCATCCCCTTGATCCTCCCCTCCACCTTCGCTCCTCGATGACGCTCGACGCCATCGCTGATAGATCTCAGTAAACCCGAGCATAAACTTGCAATAAACAGAAAAACAACAATAAATTCTAGTACGGCCCGATCCGGCCCCAGCCTGACTCAGTCACGGCCCGCGGCACACGGCCGGGTAAGACTCCCGGACTTGACTCAGTACTAGGACTGTCACGGCTGCAATTCGCCTCAACGGTTGCCACACTGCAAGCAGGCAGACAGGTCCCATGATGGCGGGACGTCTGAGCTGATTGTTGCCCCCGGGCGAGCGAGAATGGCAGGAGAAGCTCATGAGAAGGCTGAGCGAGTTCGTCGAAAGACCCACCTTCCTCGTGACTCGCCAGGTGAGGAGAAGCTGGTGAAGGAAGTTTTCTTGACGCTGTTGCCAGGTTTTATCAGGACCCAATGGTTGGAAAACTTCTACGAGACTCTCTACGCCAGCAACGAGCCTGGTTTCTACATCCCTTACACCGTCGTGTTCCAGTACCGTAGGATCTATGCAGCTTACTTCTCAGACAGCGACGGTGCTGCTGCTTCATCCTCAAAGCTTGTTATGTCCGTCCACCTGAGAGTGCTCGTAGGTTGCGTGCAGAAGGTTGACAAGATCGCAGACCTCGGGCCAGAGCAAGTCCTCGAAGGTCTCAAGGTTAGGATGCTTGTGATGACTGTAGGATTCGAGGATGAAGAGTTGTTGCCAGGACATGCGACATGGAGATCTTGGTGTGAAGCGATCTGACATAGTCTACTCGATCCCTTGCCGAGCATATTACATCTACTCCAAGAGAAGTGAAGAGGGCTTTGCGGGAGAGGTGACATTCTTTGTATGTTATCCCGTCCAGTGACTTGGTGAAATCAGGGCAAAACCAACTTGTCCATAGAATACTTCGATGACTCCGCTGTCACACACTTCCTCACCTATAGGGGCAAGGAGAACAATGGAATACTTCAGCAAGTTCAGGTGTTGATGGCATAATGTTGATAATCATGATAAGGGAGTGCTGCTGCTGCTGCTGCTGCTGCTGCTGCTGCTGCTGCTGCTGCTATGTTCGCTCTGACGTATAGATGAAATGGGGAGTTTGCGTGCCGACGACAATGTTCTTGACATCATGCCAGGAGCTCACCACGCCTAACGTGTCTACGATCCGAGCGTACTGGACTCCCCACTACTGTCAATTGGAGGTACATCAGAAGCCTTTTGACAGCCAAGAAGTTCTGAAAGGAAGGCCGCAGTCTCGAATCAACGTGAACAGAGCAGACGCTAGCAACGTTCCCTTGTTTGAACGCGCCGTGACGTTTGAGGGAGAGCTTCACCATTCCTCCAGCTTTCCCATGAGCTCTCGGTCCTCATGATGGCTCTTGTTTCTCTTTTGACGGTCCCGCAGCGTTGAAAGTCGAGTGCGAGATCTCCTTGATCGAATAGTCTCCAGTGTGCGCAGATGTCTGCCTAACAACCTGGCGATCAATCTGATGATCCTCAACTTTCGAATCGGTCAGAGCTTGTGTAGCTTCATGCTATCCTCATCACACTTGTGCTCCTGCCAGGCCCCAACGGAAAAGTTTTCTTTCTGTACTGCAACTCCCTCAAGCTACAGTACAGCGATCATCACGCTACCAGCGACTTGCGCGACATGGACAACATCCGGCCGCCTTCACCCAAGTACGTCGACAACGATTTCCCTCCTCCAGGACTTCGCGGGTCGAAGAAGCGCTTTGGTAGCGTCGCCCCTTGCTGGCTCTCAGTGACTTTGAGGCTCAGGGCGTGTGTGTCCGAGCACCAACAACCGTTTAGGCCCGTACGATGACTTCAAAGTGAAGGTTCAAGATATCTTCATCCACTTCCTATGGCATGGTCCGCGAGAGGCAAGCTAGCAGATCGAAGCTTGAACCCTCAGTAACAAGACTCCACAGGCTTGGAAAAAATTGGGGAGAGACGTTCCTGACATTCCCTTGGAGAACGGAAGTGATCCGGGTTGCCTCCCCTCCCTCCTTTCCTCCAGTCTTGAAGTCACCAGAGGCGTTTGCAGGAGTGGATGGAACAATTCTCAGATTCTTCCTGACGATGGATCTGCGTCCTGTTCCCTTCGGACGACCTTTCCTGTGGAGCGCGGAGTTTGACAAAACTTCTGCGAAAGAAGAGAATCCTCGATATGTGATCCCCTCTTCCCCGTTCATGTTGCGACAGCTTGACTTGAGTTGGTTCTTCAGTGGTCTACTGCAACGAAAGAGAAACACAAAGAGATTGAGTCCTACATAGAGAACAAACTTCTTGAAAACCCAAAGCTCAAGGCTGCCTATCGTTACTGGGAAGCTACGATGGTCTGGTTGATCTCACAGGAAGTTGATTTCGTGTCACAAGAAAACTTCCAGCAGGTAATCTCGGACTTTTGTTCTTCGGACCAGCTTTGATAATCTGCGATCAGGAGAGGATTCGACCATCGTTCTTGAACCATGACATTCATGCCAGCACGGCAGCAATGTTGGCCTACAACAGCACGAGAGAAGAGATCCTTGACGGGGAGAGGAAACAACTTCTCAGACCCATCCAGTGGGAATTTGGTGAGACTGTCTCGCAAAGAAGCATTCAAGTTTCTCACTTGTACTCGCAGCTGAGATTAGAAAGGCAGCAGTGATCAAAGATGACATCAAGCCTGTCGACAAGAGCAAGGTATCTGACTAACCTCTTCTTCTTACTTAACACGTTGGCGGTAGAAGAAGAGCAGCAGCAAGATGTTCCTCCGACTGCCGGAGTCTCCGGGCCCACACGAGCACCACGATGACCATCGTCCTGCTGCTGCCAAGACTGCTAGGGATGGCGTCGGTCGATTGCAGACGCAGAGGTCGCAGACGTCAGCAGCTCAGTCGACCTTGACCCCGAGGTCGTTCGTGTCCTCTAGGATGACTCGGAACTTCCTCCGTTCGGCGAGGAGAGCGATTTCTTCCAATGGCGCTGCAAGCAATCAGCTCCCATCGGTTGTGGTCGACAACAAGCTATTAGCTCAGTTGATTGAGCAGACTTCACAGCTGCACACCTAGCAACCCTTTCTTGTACCATACAGAGCAGGTTGAGCGACGTTTGTTTACTGATGTGACATATCCGTTAAATTTAGGCTTCAACATTAATCATGTTCGCATTCTTGTTGATGCGTTTGACGATCCCCGCGACCACCTTACCAGGACCAAGCTCGTAGCCTTGTTCGAACCCACGATCCATCATAGCAGCGATGGTGTTCTCCCAGAGAACAGGAGAGGTGACCTGCCTGGTCAGGATGTTCTTGATCGTAGTCGGGCAAGAGTGAGGCATGGCATCGACGTTGGAGATGACGGGGATTCTGGGCTTCTTGATCTCGACAGTAGCCAGAACATCAGAAAGCTTGGAGACTGCTGGCATCATGAAGTCTGTGTGGAAGGCTCCAGCCACAGCGAGAGGAACTGTCATGCGGGCCTTGAACTCTGGCTTTGCGATCTCTGACACCTTGGCGCATGCAGACTTGGCTCCGGAAACGGCATAGTTGCCCGAGCAGAGGTAGTTAGCGATCTGGATCTTCTCCCCTGACAGCTCCGAAGCCTTCTCGCAGAGCTTCTTCACTGTGTCGCTATCAAGTCCAATGACGCTGACCATTCCGCTCTCTGAAGCCTCTGAGGCAGCCTGCATGGCCTCTCCGCGAACCTTCACGATCTTGAGACCATCCTCAAAGCTAAGTGCACCAGCGAAGGAGAGCGCTGTGTACTCACCCAAGCTAAGACCAGCAGCCACAGTGGCACGATCAATAGCCTCCTGTCCTGCTTCCATTCTCAACTTCTCGACAGCAGCAAGAGAAGCCACGTAGATGGCAGGCTGGCTGATCACAGTCGAGTCCAACTTCTCCTTGGGACCCTCAAGGCACAACTTGAGGAGGTCGTATCCCAGGACATCGCTGGCTTGCTCGAACATCTCCTTCGCCTTGGGAACATCCTTGACAAGATCTCCCGCCATACCTAGGTACTGAGCACCCTGACCAGGGAACAAGAAGGCAGTTGTCGCCTTCCAATCGCTAAATTCGGTGTCGCTCTGCTTGCTTTCCGACTGGGCAGCTGTCATCTTAGTCCTGAGAGCATGGGAGGTGAAGGAGAGGGATCTCCTTGCGACAGCAGAGTGGATGCTTGCTGGAGTAGCCAGGAAGGCCTCTGCAATGTTTGCTGACGCCACAAGCGCCGCCGCCATCGGAAGCACGCGCATCATCATTGATCGGCCACCACCCTTCCACCCTACCCCATAAATCTAGAGTACCCCTGATCCTTTACCCCACTTTTAACACGACAAAATACCCCTCCTTACCTTGTTTTCTAACCCACCCCCTGTGAGGTGAGCTCTTACATGTCCCAACGATTGCCGGGGGGGTCGTTAATGGCAGAAAGGGCTGGGTGATACTTTAAGATGTAGAGGGTGATCGACATAGGGTGGGGTAGTGCAAATGACTGAAAAAGGTGGGTACCTGTCAGTAGTGAAGAGGGTAGTAGCACCCCATCACAATGGACTCCAGCGGAGTCGGGGGTTTGGATTTCTATTGTTTGGAGGGGGTATTTACAGGTATTAGACTTGGGGGTAGGGTACTTGAAAAGCCTCGGAATGGCCCGGCGGGGCCCGTCACGCCGCGACTCGGCGAGGCTCCCGGAACGCCGTGCGGGCCCGGCCGAGCAACTCCTCAGTTCAAATTCAATGGCCGGGCCGGACGGGCCGAACCGTTTCAAAGACTCATGTTTCCCAAGTTTCACTGACAGTGCCTGGGAAGCTATACGAACCATTTCCATGGCTCTTCAGGAAACATGCAGTATGTATCCTCATAGTCGACCAGAAGCTTTCGTATCTCATCCACTGACACCATCTTGTCCTGGTCATGATGTGCATTTCTGTTGCTGTCCCTTGACAATACCTGAAGAGAAGGAAGGGTCGGAGAATGTTTTCAATTTAACTAGATTCAGCGTTTCAGTGCATACCTCCTTCATTCCTTCACATCCTCCGTTCTTCTTGGTCCAAACTTTCTTATCCTCGCCATCATAATTCTGAGCCTCTTCATCCGTCAAGACGACATGCTCGTTCCATGAATCCACTGAGCTGTAGCAGAAGAATCACAAGCAATAGAAAGGGAATCTTCGAGCATGCTTACTCTATGATAGAAGGAAAGAAAGGATACACCCTGCAATGCATTGGCCTTGCTTCGTAAATTGAACATGTTTTATCCTCATTCACAAATATACATCTACAATGACACAAAGACAGCATAAGCAACCCTTCTTGGGCTCTCACAAGCAAGCATCTCACCTTCCCTCATCATCAGCATCGGGGGAGACCAGCGTGAAAGTTGGATGATCATCTCCTCTGACCCGATGCACTCTACGAAAAAGGGGCAACAGTCGTCATACCCCAGCGTTTGCGCATTTACCTGCTCATACCTGTTCCAACCCTCCATCTCTTTGTTCACATATTTGTCTTTGAATGCCTTTTCAGTGATTCCAAGGAACTGCAAGATCCTGCTTGTCTCTTCTGGGCTGAACCACACCTCCCCTTTTACATGACAACATTTTCCGCATTGAGTGCAATCGAAAGGCAATCCTCCAAGTTGCTCCCACCATTCAAGATCAGCCAAATTTTCTTGTGAATTCATCGATACTCGTAGGCCTTTGAAGCTACCTGACCTGCCAATCGAGTGCACGCGCCTTGACGGTTGCGGCCCAAGAAGTCCACAAGCGAATCCATTTGTCCATCGCACAATATCGAGCGCTACTAAGATGACGATGTATTTGCGGAGCATTCCAGCTTCAATGCACAGAAGATGTTGATCAGATTCTGACTGAAGAAAATCTTATCAGAAGTTGATGTCAAAAGGTCATTCTATGGATTGCATTGCAGGAATCTTACATTGAGTCGTATCTTATTCTTACATGTTAACAACAGGGAGAGATGAGTCTAACTCTCTACTCATACTTCTGGTCTTGAGTATATTTGATGTCGCCTCACAACACGTGGACACAGTATCCATCTCCATCACTCTCCTCTCCTCCACATCGCCGATCATCACCTGACTTCATCACCTGACTTCTTCTTCTTCCTCACATCATGTGGGCTGCCTGAGGTGTCCAACTTACACACCAACCTGATCTCTTCCTAGCAATCACTTCTCTTCTTCTCTCCCATCCTAGCTCGCTGGTTAAACCTCCCCTCGCCCCCTGCACCAAACTTTCGGGGGAGCCATCACGGCCTCCAATCTATTTTACTCAACTTTGTTTCAGTGATGATAGGCATCCCCGGGCCCCGGGCCCCTGGGCCCCGGCATTCCGGCAAACCATGGCAGTTCCTCTCAGGCAGACATCCTCGGGCAAGGGTAGAGGTGGTCAAATTCTTTCTCTCCACCCCCCATTAAACAGCAATTTACTCGGCATTTGCTGGGGTACTACGACTACCCCACCGTGTTGTTTGGATGGAATGTCATCAGATTCCAGACGTCGTATCATGGCACTCCTTTCCATTGATCTCGTGAAGAACCATGATCTCATCTCCTCCTCTCCTCCTCTCCTCCTCTCCTCCTCTCCTCCTCTCCTCCTCTCCTCCTCTCCTCCTCTCCTCATGTCCACCTCTTCGCTGTGTTTCCATGTTGACCTGCCGCCATCCCTCTTCTCCTTTTGGTCTTCTGGGAAATATATATCGAGAAAAGATTTCGTCTGTGACTCAGTCCTCGCTGAGAAAAACTTTGATGAGCGGAGAAAGATGCAGGCTGAATGACGGAGACGTAGCACAAACATTACAATTTTTAGTTTTTTGTTACCTTGAGCGGGCTGCTGACTAAGTCGTCTTTCTTTTCTAGTGGAATCGGAATTCTCGACTATGGCAGCGTATCGCATAGTTGTCGGGACAGGTCACATTCCTTGTCTTGGTGCATCTTTTTACATTTGTTTTGAATTGTGGCCCACAGTGTACATGTTCTTCATGGCACATTGTACTTCATGCTTCTCATTCAACCCTTCGTTTGCTCTTGGTAAACGTCGAGTACAGGTTCAGAAGTATGGTACTTCAACTGTTGAATATTGAAACCACTTCGCAGTTGTCTTTGGATGCGGAGCTCCGTCCCAGAGGTACATAACAAGTTTTCTTGTCCTTCATTACAATCGGTAATTGGGGCTTGAACTTAACGGGTGCTCAGTTACTAGAAAATGCGGTGGCTTGTTTCCTTTCTCGATGCAGTCGGAAAGGTAACAGTATGTCAGAAAGCACATCTCAATCTGACATATTTGCAAGTGGAGATGCCAACAACCGTGCAAACGGTGGCGAAGAAAAATTGAGGCTGTGGAAAGAAAAGGCGAAAGCTGCGCGCAAGCCCAGCTTGCAACAAGGTTGCGTTTGTTCGGTCATCGGGCATTCCATGTCTAAAGCATGCTTCATATCAGGAGTTTACATTTCCATTTTGTGTGTTCTTGGAATTTCATTAACGGCATATGCCCTGCATGTGGAGCACATGCTACGTCTAAACAAATCCTACAAGGTATTTTTAAGCACTCAACGATTGCACACTGGTAAACTGTGTGATAGGCCGCTTGTGATGTCGGAAGCTGGGCATCATGTTCAAATGTATCCGACTTCTTGTTTTTGGGGATGTTTCTCATGTTTCATGGACCAGGTTGCGAAATCAGCATATGGATCAGGTTTAGGCATCATCTCAAAGAGGGGTCCATTTGGATTTTTGGCGTTCTCAAATCCAATTTACGGTAACGACTTCTTTATTGACCCCAATGTTTCCTATGACTTGATTATTTCTGTTAGGATTGGTATTTTATCTCGCCATGCTTGGGCTACAGGCTCCGCCCATATTTGCCTCTCCCAGGGCTAGAATTGCTTCAGTTGTTCTTGCTTCAGTGTCCCTCTTCGCATCGGCGTGGCTTGGATATTTGCTGTTTGCCGTGATCAAAGTACGCAGACTTCAACATGTTATACTTGCTACTCGAACGAGAGTGACTGTTTTGCTCCAGGAAATCTGTATAGTATGTATCTCGTCGTACGTCTTGAACGTGGTTCGTCAAAGCCTTGTGCGCTTTGTCACCTTGCTGACTTGCTGATTGCAGTTGATTTTTGTCCTTACGATGGCTGATTATCGGAAACTTATAGCAGACCTCAAGAGCAGGAAGCCCTCTTCGGCATAAAAACCGTTCGCTGGGAGGGTAAGAAAACTCTCACGGGAACATGCCCTTGAAGTACTCATCGAACTCATCTTCCCCTGTGGCTGAAGGGAGCATGTCAAGACCTCGCTGAAGAAATTCATGAACTACTTACCATCTTCAAGAACTTGTGCTGGACGGCTCCAGATAGCGCTCTCAACGGATTCTTGTTGCTGAGAAGGATTATCAGTGGAAAGTCACATTGACCAGCAGCAAGTGGATTACCTCCTCCTGACTTTCCTGCTTTTCATTGACAGAAAGTTGTTCTCCTTGGAGTCTCCCTGCGGCAGATAGCAAGTCAAGAGACTTACTTAACCATCGCTTCATAAAATACTCACCTCTGGACGAAAGGGACTGACTGCCTGAAGATTCATGCTTTTCCTCTACTTTTCTGCTGCTACTCTTCCTCTTCCTCGCTTGTGGCCTATCCCATCTTGACTCTCCTGTCTCCTTGTTGTACCAATAGACCTTGCCGGTGCTACGAGACGTTACTTCTTCCCAATGGCCTTCATCTTCTTGCTCTTCTTCAGATTCTTCAGAGTCCGAACTTGAGCTTTGCGTGTCCTCCTGCTTCGATTCTTGACCTCCTTCAAGTCTCCTCTTCTTCTCATTTTTAGCCCGTTTTTTCATCTCCTTCTCCATCTTTCTTAGCTTCTTGTAGTTCAACTTGATCGCACAATCGGGACAAACTCTTAGCTTGACAAGGGCATTCTTTTTCTCACCCGCCTCCTTGTAGGCAAAGTTCATCTCGAAGCTCTGTAACTCATCTCTGGCATCACAGGCCTGGTTGCCACAGACAAACTGTCCCTTTCCAACAAATACCTCTTTCTCCGTCCTCCAACGCAATGCTATCTGCCCTTTCTTATACTTGCTCATGTCAGCAATACAGTACTCCTTGTAAAGCTTCTCATAATACTTGACAGCCATTCTCACTTCCCACTTGGACAAGTCATCTTCTTCTGGTTTCCGAATGAACCTATAGTTTTCATGCAGGACATCATAGTCTGTTTTGCCTACCGACGGCCTGTTCTTCTCGATGTAACGTTGAACTCCTTCCTTGCCCAGAGTCAAGACATAGTCGTTGATGAACTTCTTGTGGCGGGAATACGGGTCCATCCTCTGCATCTTGATCGCCTTGTTATGTATCACAAAGACACCTGCTGCTGCTGCTGCTGCTGCTCCCTCCCTCGCTACTTCGTCTCCTTCCTGTGTGCTCGTCCTCCTGTCAGGCTCCGGGCCCCGGAGACGTTCGGAGTTCTGCCCAACCCAAGGCCGTATCACTGACTCAAACTCAATGCTCAGACGAGCCTTCAAGTAGTGAACTCTAGTGCCGGTGCCGGGTCACGGGTCACACGGGTCACGGGTGGGGGCCCTCTGACCTTTTCGATCAAGGTTCGACTGTTTTAAAATTCTGGAGGAGCTGCTGAAATATTTGGGGGTCACGGTGACGAAATTTGAATTCAAAACTCGGATCACGACCGGTAACTTTCAAATTCGAGTTCAAATTTGAAGTGGATCCGCACAGTTGATTGCGGAAAATCGTTTACCGAAGTCCCAATCATAGAATTTGAATTTATCATGGAGATATTGGAGAGTGGCGGCTGAAATCGTTCAAACCTGTCGTCGGACAGCACGGGCTGCAAGAACGGCAGGATCTTTCATCAATCAGATCGGATCGTTGCGTTTTTAGTCAGGTCACGATTGAATTCGAATCCGAAAGGCGGGGGTCCGTCGGGGAACCGAAGAATATTCAAACAGTACCGGTGGTTAGACCCTATACCCTGATACTACCCAGTGGTGGGTGACTTGAACCGGTGCAATTCGTATTCAATATGCATGGTGCTGTGTAGCGTCCAGGGGTAGGGGTTGGACAAAATGTTCCCACTCGCCGCGGGGTAGGGTGGCAACCGCAAGTTTCAAAAATTGAAATTTGAATAAAAAAAAGTAAAACTCAAACTCACATGGCGCACTGTTTTCCCCTCATGAATTGAATTGGCACTAATAACATTTGGATACTTATCAGAAAGGTTTCAAAAATAGGAGGTCTTGCTTTCAAGTGGTTTCTCTCGCCTTATTTCAACGGAGCCATCGTGCTTACAGGGGGCCTTGTAGTAAACGGGACCCCACCCCCAAGTCAAGCTCATGGGAAGGGACTTAAATACAAACTCGATTCCAAAAGCCTCTTTGGGTAGGTAGTTTTTGCCTAAATGACGGGGGTACGAGTATAGACCAAAGGGGGTTCACAATGAACCCAATGCCAAGGGGGTGGACGGGTAGGGGTATGATAGAGGAACTGGGGGCGGGATCATAGGCAGGGAGGGGGTGGGCGGGAAAAGGGAGTTACCAGAGCAAAATTCGAACACAGTGAAGCTGCCCGCGCGCGCATGGCACACAAACTTGAGATGCCGCTCGTGTTCATGCTCCTTCCCTAGCCTGCTTCTTCCTTTGTCTGCTTGTTCTACTCACTTACATGTTTGTCCTTGAGTATGCTTGTTGAGTTCTTTGCACATACTGAATCCTGGGAACCGATATGTGCATTTCATGCAGTGATTCGAAACATAGGTTGTATCGAATAGCGGATTGATTGAATATTGTCTGTATGCTGTTGATTGCTGTCTCCAAAGCTCGAAATTCAATGATAAGAAGCTGGAAGTCAAGGGATCTTTGATTTGCTGTGGTTGAGAACATTTTCAGACTTTTTAATTTGTGCAAGACCACCCGACAGCATTATTTTGCCTTTGCATTTGCAATATCAAAAACGTTGGATGAGAGAGCCATTTGCTCATTGGTGACTATTACATGCCAGTGTCGTTGTTATTCAATCATATGTAAACCTTCTGTGTTTCCCCAGCGAATATTGCTTTAGTCCCAAGGTAGAATTGCGCATGCGATTCATCGGAGAATGATTCATTCTTTTGAAAACTGTTAGATTTCAAGCAGCAAATGACATTCTATTGTTTAGTTGTATGTTCTAGACAAACCAAAATGACCTCATGCATCTTTTCTCTTGATTTTTGGACATCGACGTTTTCAAATTTTCAAATTTTCAAATTTTGAATTGCATTTGACGTTGTGCTTGCAGATCCCTTGAACGCTTGGAACTTTGCTCCAAGATAACCATCTTCATGACAAATCCAAGCTTAATGAGATGTAATAACTGCACTCAGTGGTATATACAGCCTAAAAATGATGTTTTCTTGTTGATAACGGAACTTTTGCTCAGGTGCAAGTGTGATCGACAACCTATGAACCTAAGATCGCGTAAGACGGTTCGGACAACAAAACAACCAAATTCAAAAAATGTAAATCATGAAACTTCATCGAAGAAGAATCAGGCGGGACAGCTGATCAGAAATCACAAAAATCTAAGGGTGTATGAGATCCCTGAAGAGATCTTGGACTCCATTCTAAACTTTGCGGTGAGGGGTCACTGCGACATTTGTAAATACTCCTTGACGTGCAAGAAATGGTATTCTGTCGTCAATCAAGAGATGTGCTGGAAGAGACTGTGCATCCGGGGTTGGGGTCATCGATCGGATATTGTCCAAGTACCTTTCTGCAAGGAACCCTCTGTTACATGGAAGGACTACTACAAAACTCGGCTTCTTTCCCACCAACCTCTTCAAGGATATATGAAGTATCAACATCAGCTGACCGTCAGTATAAGGTATGTTCACTTTGTTTCTCAAATCTTTTTTGTTTTCCACTTAGCCACATAACTGACATTTCACTTTTTTCTTCAGATCGATTCTTATCAACTGGCTGCTTGCGGTGATCGACGAATTTCAGAGCACCAATGTCTTCGGCAAGCCCGCTGTTCATCACTTGACAGTATCAATTCTGGACAACTATTGTTCTTCTGTTCGGGAGGTCATTGCAACAAGTGAATTGCAGACGATCGGAGCGGCCTGTGCTGTTTTGGCACTCCACCCTAACTCAGAGTTGGAGGACATCTGTCCAAAATACTACAAACGAGCAGCTTACTACACAGATGGTGCATGTACAAGTGAACAAGTTAGGGCTGTTGCAGAGAATATCCGGAAGTTTTTTCCAAGACTCCGCATACGGGAAACCAAAACAGCATTTCACACCATAGATGCACTTTTGGGAGCAATGCAGAAGAATCATCCATCCTCTTCCACCTTCTGCTTAGCTCATTACCTTGGTGAACTCAGTCTCCAAGCCGAAGCTTCATTGAAGTTTACTCAAACTCAGATAGGGGCTTCTTCATATGCTTTGGCTTGCCACACGTTGGGTTGGTCTGAGTCACTTTGGATGTCTATTATCAAATCTCATCTACCAAATTATTCTTTTGGGGACTTGCAGGAGTGCATGTCGAGTTTGCAAGAGCTCCTGAAACAGGCTTTGAATATGCTGACCAAACGGAACAAGAAGACAACTCTTCCTCATGTGATCGTCAAGTATAGCCGCCGAGACAGACAGCACGTCGCGAAGGTCGTGGTGACACCTTCAGCTTGGCCTTTGGTTTGCCCTCATGGCATCAGCAGAGAGCAGCCGATTCCTTGTACAGAATGCCAGGTGACAGGATCTGCAGTGCTTAACTTGAGCTTGGATGGTGAAATTGACGACGATGACGGTCAAGTATCGGTGTTCTCACTGGATGAAGATCCAGATTTTTTGGATGGCTCCATAGAGGAATCGACCTTCGCTATCAACGGAGGAGCTGATGAGGACATCGAAAGACTGCCTGTGCTTGAACGCCATGACGCTCACACGCCGATCAATGCTCCACCACCAGAGGACAGCTTGCTAAGGGCCCCGAGCGACTCATCTCCGTCCGTCACCTGCACAGGGCAGGGGGAGAACGAGAAGGTTCAAGACCAGCGGGGCTTGCAAGACGTTTCCTTTGGGATGATGAGCGATGCCTGCGACAACAGCTTCATTCATGGTCCGGATGCCGCTTTCGAGCCCTTCGACGATCGCAGGTCATCCATGGGGGAGCGTCGTGCTTCAATGGGCAGTGTCCTTGGGGCAGTCTTTGAGGAGGACGATTCCTACGCATCGGAGACTTCTGAGAAAGAAACATGCTCTTCGCTCTGCTGCGAAACCAATGTTGGGAAACACAACAAAGCCAATATCAGCCTTGCTGATCACAACAAATAGAAGGTATCCATTGAATCGTTAGATGGATTTGTTGGAAGGTTGCAAGCTCAAACAACAATACACGACTTTCTTGGGGGTTACACGATTATTCCTTTTAAACTAGTAAGAAATTAAATGTAAAAAAACAAGCAAAACAAGTAGAAGTCTGAATGCATGTGCCACCCTTATGACTGGTCATCGTGCCAAAGAACTTCATACTCGCAGCGATGCCGAAGCTGCTCCGAACGGTCTAGTTGCTATCTCCTTCAGATCGTTAGGCCTTGAACCTAAGGTATATGACCACTTCCAGATCATATGCCTTGCTCGATACGTTCCGATCGTCTCTTCTCCATGATTAGGCTCTGTTTGAATCGATAGTAGTAGCTTGCTACTTGATTGATTTTGTGACTGACGTTTTTTCAGAAACTACATTCATATGATATGCTGCCCTGAACTGATGCGACAGGTTCCTGTCGAACCACAAAGCCTGCTGAGGGTAATTATGTAGCAGTAGGGCAGGGAGTGGCTCCATTTCTCCTTCCTGCCTTCCTGATTTACCTCGTTTTTTCGAATGCTCTATTAACAATCACTGTCCCTTCTATCTCAGACATTGCTCCGTTCCCACGTCATTGCGGTGTCAAGTCGCTTTCTCCAAAGCAATTGCTTCTCGTCTTCACATCATGCTTCGTATCTCACATTATCCTCAGCGCTCTTTCTGATTATCTCGTCAATTATTTTCGCCCCCCTCTCCACTCTATCTTTCCGTCATCATAATCTCAATTTTCTATTTACACCTTTATCTTGCCACCTCATCTCTTTACCTTTTGCCACCTCTATTCATCTTTCTCGCTCCTCTGCTGGTCTTTTCTCTCTGTCGTTCTGCATTGTCGTATCTGCTTATTGCTTTCTCTGTTCTTTCACTCGATTTTGTCTGCTCTCTCCTCTCTCTTTCTTCCTTCCCTCCGCCGTGCCCAAACTTTGTGGCGGACCTCATTTGCATTTGTCGGGCGAAAGATGCGAGTACCGGTAGTTTCAACTTCAAGAAAGGGGGTAGTACAAATACATCCTCCAAAAAGAAGGTGGTGGAGGGCGATGATGGTATACGGGTGATTCGGACCACTATTGAGGGGGTACTCATTTTATATTATGAGTACCCGTACTTTCTAGAGTACCCAATAGGGTTAAGGTAGCGCTACGAATACCGGTGTCTTTGACTATCTCATGCAGTGGTAGGGTAGCGCAGACGGGTTGCACGAGGGCAAAAAAGGAGGGAAGATGAAATCAATTCGAATATTGTACTGTAATTTGAAATTTAGAATGTTAAATTGATTAATTTCACCAGAACCTCATTCCCTCCAGGAAGCTCGTGAGAGGAAAATTAGGGTTGGGAGAATGGCAGGCAGAGGGGAGGCAACAGTGGGGAGAAGAGGCGAAGAGGATGCGGTTTAGATGGGAAGAGAGGCCGAATATGCAGAAGATAGGAGATCGTTGATATGAAGTGAATGTGAAATCAAAGGCAATCAGAACATAAGGATCAAATCGAAATGTGTGAAATAGAGCGACTGAAAATGTTCGCAAGATGAAGGTGTGACATAATTTGATAGGGTAAGAAAAGGATAATGATATGATGATGAAGAGATGAAATCAGTGGAAATGTGGCGGCAGAGGAACCGGGACAATGGGTTCAAAATGTACTGACATACACAAGTGCTGGGAATATTTTGGCAGAGGATAGAAGAAAAGTGAATGGACGGATGAAGCATTGTTTCATGAGGTTACCAAGAAGGTTAGAAGGAGAAGGATAATATTGAATCAGACATTCACTTCTGAGCAAGTTGGAAGCTAGCTCTGCCATGACGGCTTGTCCGCGATCATTGACGTCTAGGTATGGCAGATGACGAAGGTTAAGGAGCCACAGGAAGACCCTGTTGTGGAAGATGTCGAAGATGATGATGACGATGATGATGATTCCGACGACGTCCCTGACCTCGAGGAAGCTGATGGTTCCGGTCGTGGCAAGCAGAGCAAGATGGAGAAGAAGTCCAGGTAGATTAACTCGAAGTGGGCATCGGAATATTCTGATGTCTGGAATTCAGGAAGGCCATGCAGAAGCTCGGCATGAAGCCTGTCTCCGGCATCGTCCGCGTCACCATCAAGAAGAGCAAGAACATCTTGTTCGTCATCTCCAAGCCCGACGTGTTCAAGTCTCCCGCTTCCGACACCTACATCATCTTCGGCGAGGCAAAGATTGAGGATCTCTCAGCTCAGGCTCAGGCAGCAGCCGCTGAACAGTTCAAGAAGCCGGACATTGCTGGTGATGATTCCTTGATGTGCTGGTGCTGGTGCTGACTCTGTCACAGTGGCTAACGACGAGCTGTCCAAGGCCGCCAATGCCAGCGATGATGCTGATGATGAGGAAGTGGATGACTCTGGTGTCGAGGAAAGTGACGTCAAGCTGGTTATGGACCAGGCTCAAGTGAGAGTTCATCTCCCATCAACAAGCAGTTGGCTGACGTCCCGCAGGTCTCTCGTGCTAAGGCCATTAAGGCCCTCAAGGCCAACAAGAACGACCCTGTGGACGCGATTTTGGCTTTGTCCGAAGAATCAAACACTTGAGCATGCACGTCGAAACAGAATTGTTTTGTATAAAAGAATAACCAGAATCTCCTTGCGTGTTCCTCTTCTCAGATGAGAAGAGCGTCTGCATCCGCCTCATCCTCCGAGCCTTTCTTGGACGGCATGTCGGCTCCCTGAGACCCAGTCAACCGGAGCTCATGCACCCTGAACCCCTTGCTACCTGCTTCTCCTGCATGATGTTCGTAGGGTAGCTCCAGTCCACGAGACCTGAGGAGGTGATGAGGTTATGGGGAGCGGGAGAGTGAAGTACCAGGAGGAAGCATCGAATCTCCTTCTGTTTGCTGCTCCAAGAGCTCTTCTTGCTCATCCTCCATCCCAAGTGTCTTCTCGGGAGACAGAGCAAGAGAATGGAATGTTGCGCTGCCTCCCTCAATGCTCTTCGCTCTATCAGCCACACAGCGCAAAGTTGACCCACGTACCTCAAGGAAGGACTTGCAGTTCTCCGCGGTGAGAGGAGCGGGGAGCACAGCAGCTCTGTTCCTTCTGACTTTCCAGACGACAAAAGCTGGGTCTGCCTGTCAAAGACATCAGGGCTTGCAAATTTGAGATATGTCAGCAAAACCTGTACAAGACCTTTGAATGCATTATAAAGAGTTTCCTAGGAAAATCATCAAAGATTCATTCCACTGAACATCGTTTCCTGATCCCCTTATGTCCCTCACCTGAGCAGATGAAGCCCAGACAAACTTGGCCGTTCCCGATCTTTTCTTCAAGCTCTGGAGAGCACGACCGGGATCAGGATTGCCAAACAGTTGTGTGTGAGGTACCTTGAGGAACGTAAGGGCTTCGTTCGCAACTTTCATACGCTTCCTTCGCTCCTGCAAGAAGTGTTACAGGAGAAACACAAATTTGAGAACAGAAAAGAGCGTCAAGACATAGAAGGGGGCGTACTTTCAAAGTCTCCTTGTCGTTCCCATGAGGAATAAAAACGATGAAACAAACCTCGTCGCACAATGTCCGGAAGGTCTCATGGGTCAACTGACTCATCCCAAATGTTTCAGCTGGTGCGATCGACTCATCTATTCTCGTCCCTCGGTTCTCATCAACTGCGCTTCCTCTCAGGAACTCTACCAGCTCCTTGCGCTTCATCTCCCCCTTGTAGGAGATGAAAGTTCCGCTCGTCGCATTCACCATGACAACGGCTGGAAGGGACTCAACGCGGAACCGCTCGCGGACGTCAGAGGACAAGGACCGGATCTCAGCAAACGCGTGCGAGGATCTCAACATAGTCGCAATGGCCGAGATAGAGTGCGGGAGCTCGAACTTGTCATGGAAGCAGATGACAGCCTTCCTTCCCTTCACCTCTGTCTGGAGCCACCAATCCAACAAACGGGTGCTGAGCTGGGCGACGGGAGGGAGGACATTGTTGGTGACAAAGAGGAAGATGGCCTTGGCGGTCATGGGGCCCGAGTACATGATCGGATCGCCTGCCATGTAGAGGATGGTCTGAGGAAAATGCGCTACCTTGACGCTCAAGCAATCATCCAGAAAGTCGTCGCAGTTGATCATGCCCACGTCCACAAGACCTGAAAGGGGAGAGGACACTTGCTTCCACACTTGCACGGAAGCCTCTGACTCCTTGGAGTTGACGGGAGACGAGTAGAAGAGCACGAGCATGTTTCTCGACCCCAATCCGCTCCTTATGCTTCCGAACTTCTCGCCGTCAAGTTCCACCACGTTACCAGCACATACAGCGAAGCAGATCAAGAACAGGTAGACAACAAGAGTGATCATCTTTGCTAGAGGCTGGTGTCCTCCGCTCCTCCCCTCTTCCCAAACCTCGCGCCTCTTGCGCCTTCTGCTCTTCCTGCTCCTGTTTTTCTCCTGCTCCTCCTGCCGCTCCTGCCGCTCCTGCCGCTCCTGCCGCTCCTCCTGTTCCTGCTCCTCCTGTTCCTCCTGCTCCTGCTCCTGCTCCTGCTCCTGCTCCTGCTCCTGCTCCTGCTCCTGCTCCTGCTCCTGCTCCTGCTTCTTTCCCTCGTTCGTTCCCTAGCACACTTGCAACCCCTGAGTCACCACCCGGCGGGCCGCAACTCAGTGTGATCCGGCAAGGCCCCGGCGCCTCTCCAGTCCGAGCCTCCCGAGGCTGGTGAACGATCCGTAGCTCTCCCTTCAACGGCCTTGTCCTCTGACGTCTTCCCAACGAGTCCCAGGGCTCAGCTTGTCGTTCACTGCCTTCAAGAGTGCATCATTGCCGCGCCGCTACCTATGCAAGCTTGTCACACTCAAAAGCGTTAAGAGTTAACGCTCAGGTTGTCTCAATGACGAGCGACTCGGATGTGTCGACTCAGCTGGGCCCGGCGTCCGACACTGAGAGCTCAGTGGGCGGCCGGCGGTTCCGGGCCGGGCCAAGTCTGAGCCGCTCTGCAGCCTGAGGCGGGGCAGTGCTGGGCCGTACCTGGTGTGAGGGTAATGAGGGTGATGAGCTTCTGCCTTGTCAGGCATGGCGGAGCTAAGGGTAAGTGAGAGTGAGGGAGGGGGAGGGGAAGGGGGAGGAGAGCGAGGAAGAGAAAGATAGCATGAAGGAGAGAACAGATGGTGCACCATGAACCAGGGGATAAGGAGGAACAGGAAGATTGATGGAGTTGGAGAGGAAGGAGGGAGCAGGCTGTAGAGAGGAGGGGGTATGGCGGAATGACTGGTAGGGTAGGGGGATATCAAGAGAGGAAGGCAGACAGAAAGCAAGAGAGTTGGAGAAGAGAAAGAGATGCAGGGATAAGGAGGGTAGGAGAGACTGAGAAGCAAGGAGGGAAGAAGTGAATGAGTGAAGGATACCCGGAGGTGTGTGGGTGGGAAAGAGACTAGGGAAAGTCAAAACAAAGGAGAGGGACCATGGTAGCAAGTAGAAGGGAAAGAAGACAAGAGAAATTTATTCATGGTATGATCTTGGAGTGATGGGACAGAAGGAAGCTCCACGTCGTCTAGTTTTGTCAAGACATTTTCAGACGATGGAGGGGGAGGGATTTGGCTGAAAGATGTGTTCTCAAACTGATTCCCGTGCGCAGAAACTGAGCTGGAGGGTAAGTGATGGCAGCGAGGAAGCAGATGTCTGACTTGAGAGGTTTCGAACTTGGCGCAGGCGAGGATGAAGCGACGGTTCCTGTTTCATTTGGAGTATTCCATCGTCATGATGATGAAATGTTTTGACGTCGGGCTGAGAGCCATGGGGCCGGTAATCAAGATGACTTCCTGGGAGAATGCCTTTTGATTGTTCGCTGCTGTCAGATTTTTGTGTGTTTTGCGATCACTCTCATCTCGGGTGTGATATGGACATGGTATGTATCACTGCAAATCAGCACCAGTGTCGTGACAAGTGTATCAAGGTTCACATACATCCTCCACAAGATCTCAGATGAAGGGACATGGCTGAGATACTTTCACCTTGCCATCGCCTTCACGCTCATCTTCAACGTTCTCTACAACTACATCGCTACCGTCTTGACGCCGCCGGGGTTCCCAACGGACGAATACGTAGTGCGCTTGCGTGCGAGGAGGGGTGGTGATGGACAGGGCAGGAGGACCCCCCGGTAGACATTGAGGCAAGGACGGCTGAAGCTGTACAGTTCCACATCGACGGCTTCGGAAGATGGTGCAAGAAGTGCAGGAAGGCGAAACCTCCAAGGACGCATCATTGCTCGATATGTAGGAGGTGCGAGCAGCTACTGGAGGAGGCTCTGTTGGTGCAACTGCTGTCCTGACGTGTTGTGCTGACGTGCACTGACATGTTATCCTGACATTCTCTGACATGTTATCCTGACATGCTCTCTGGTGCAGGTGTGTGTTGAAGATGGACCACCATTGCCGTATTCTTTGTTTTCTCCCCCTCTCGCCTTAGTGGTGATTTCGTGGAACAGCATGGGTTGCTCAGTGCGTTGGTTTCCGCAACTACAGGACTTTCTTTCTGTTCATGTTCTGGTTGTGGGTTGGTTGCATTTATGTGCTGATGACCATGGCGCCAAGTTTTCTGCTTCACTTTCGAGTGGTGAAGAAGACGAGTTGTGCTTTTTCCTACCTTCTGAGATGATTATCACGCAGAGGAGGCACAACCAAGAGCAGTCGGCTGTGGTGTTTTCTTGCATCCTTGCTTTCTCTGTCTCTCTTGCCGTCGGGTAGAAACACGTCATGTTCCTGTCATTGTTGGATGCTAACGTCTTGTTGCTACTGTAAGGTTTCTCCTCTCGTGGCATTTTTATCTCATCCTGACCGGACAAGTGAAGTTGAGATGTGAGATTTTCAGAAGGTGACATTCCTCCTTCAGACAACCATCGAGTGGTACAACAACCGGATGAGAAGTGCCGAAGCGAAGAAGGCTGGGATGGTGCGTCATCAAGTTTTCTTATCTTTTCTTCTTCTTGGCTCTACTTTTTTCGTGTTCTCTTCGCTCTCGTTTTTATATTCTGCTGCAACAAACAATCTTGACACCCTCTTTACTGCTTCCCAGACTTGAGTGTGTGAACTTGCTGATTTTCATCTTTCTTTGTTGTCTCCTGCCTCCTCCTCTTCCCCTCCAATCCTCCTCTCCTCCTCTCCTAATCCCACTCTTCTCTTCCTCTCTCTTGTACATGTTCTTACGTGATCTCTGACTACAAAAACTTCAGGTGTATCACAATCCATGGGATCTCGGCAATAACACGTTGGTACCTCACGCACCTACTGACCTCCATGTGCAGGTTACCACGAAAACTTGTCGGCAGTGCTGGGAAGCAAATAGTGAGAAGCTTGCTCCACTGCTCCTCTCGCGCTGATTTTCACTTCAAGCTTCCTCCCTCTGTCTTCTTCTCTCACCTTGTCTTATCACCTCCAGTCCCTGCGTCCTCTCATCCCCTGCGCTTGCCCTGAATTCCCGCCTGAACCTCCTCCTCCTTCTCCTCCTCCTCCTCCTCGTCCTCCTCATCGTCCTCCTCATCGTCCTCCTCCTCTCCTCCTCACCTTTCTGCTTCTTTCCCCTAGTTCCATCTCCTGTTTTGACTCCATGCTGACACTTCCTCTCCTCCCGTCTCTTCACAGTTGTCAGAACAACCCATTGCTCTGGTTTCTTCCCACGTTGTCTTCTCCTCTGGGAGACGGATGTGCATTTCCTCACCGCTACACAAGAAGGCTAGCAGGAGGAGGAGGAGGCGGAGGGGGAGGGGGAGGGGGAGGAGGAAAATCGCAAGACAACGAGGAGGAGGATAAGTCGCGTGCAGAGACGACTATCATCGTTAACCTCCAGCCGCACAGCGAGTGAGAAGGAGGAGGGCAGGGAGGAGGACGAGAGACGAAGATTTTATTCTTTACGATTACAACCTGCGGGAAGGTTGAGAACGAAGAAAGAAAATGAGCGGAGGAGGGAGAGCCAGGAGCGAGGATGGTGGGAACAGGGACGTCGACCGGGCCATGAGCTTGTGGAGGAAGTGGGATGGAGGAGAAAGCAGGAGGAAGCGATTCAGTGGCACAGAGGAAGAAATTCGATCAAGGCTAAAGCTGACGAGGTGGTGGTGGTGGTGGAGAGACAGGGCAAAGCCACAGTGCGAGGACATGATTGAAAGTCAACAGCAACGGAAAGTGAACAAGTAAGGGAAAGGTGAAGGGCAGGAGGGGGAGGGGAAGGAGGAGGAGGAGGAGGAGGAGGAGGAGGAGGCAGACCTTCGAACGGACGTTTTATCGTTTTTTCTTGGTCTTGGACGACTTAGTTGGCGGCAACTGAAAGGAAAAAAAGCGTGAAAACAAGACAAAGTCTAGTTCGGAAGAGAAGAAGAAAGATAGCATGTGGAAATTTAGACATGTAGTGAAATGCTTCTCTCACTTTTCTCTTCTTCACGTATGTTGCTTTTCGGCGGATTAGATCTTGCTTGTCTGCTTTCGCCTGGTCTCCGTCTTCTTCTTTCTGAGGAAATCGAATCAGAAGGTTTTTGGTATCATCATTCATCACAATCACCATCATCACCATCACCATCAACGTCATCTCACCTTTTGCTTCTTCTCTTCCTTCGCCTCTTCCACTCCGAGCCAGTCGTCCTTGCAATGGCTTTCACCCTCCTCCTCCCCTCCTCCTCTCCTCTCACCTCATCACTTTCTTCCTCCTTCTGCAACAACGTCAGCCAAGTGCCTCTTGATGGTAAAGGTCACCTTCGGCTTTGTTTCGCCTTCTCCCGCGAATAGCAAACAGTTCAATCTCTGTCAACCTCGTCATCGCTGCTGTTGTTGATCTCCCCCTCCTGCCCCTTCTCCTTTTCTTCTTGCTCCTCACCTCCTCTCTCTTTCTTCCCTCCTACCTCTACCCCACCACCTTCTCTCTCTTTCTCCCCTCGTCTCTTCACCTGCTTGGCGTAGATTCGCGATGTCATCATCGTGGTGTTTGCGTCGTAAACTTCACGTCATGTAAGGAGATGTGGGACAGCAAAAGAAGCAGGAGAACAAAGGCGGAGGCGAAGAATGCGCGGGACCGTGAGGAGGAGCAAAAGGAGGAGCAGGAGGAGGAGCAAGAGGAGGAGGAGGAGGAGGAGGAGCAGGAGGAGCAGGAGGAGCAGGACGAGGAGGAGCAGGACGAGGAGGAGCAGGACGAGGAGGAGCAGGACGAGAAGGGGTGTTGGGGGTGCATGGGGAAGGGAGAGAGGCAGGAGGAGGAGGAGGAGGAGAAGTTTCATACCTCTCACGAATCTGTCGAGACTTGCAGCAGCTACGAGAGGAAGGGAGGGATGGAAATCAACAGCTCTGACGGATCCAGCTATGTGCCTGCCGCTCCATCAAATCGCTTCCTTGCAATCGTCCGCCAGCACTTGAATTTGCCGCAGACTTTTCCTTGCTTGAGATCGATCTTTCTCAGTCCTCCAAGGGCATCCCCTGATACGATCGTGATGAGTCATGCAAACTGCATGAAACTCTTGCAGCCGTTGATCCTCCTCTCCTCTCCTCTCCTCTCCTCTCCCCCCTCTCCTCTCCTCTCCTCGCCCCGCCTCCTCTGCACTCCTTTCTCTCATGGTTCACCGGCAACAACGTAAGATTCATCCGGCGACAACGCCATGCACGTGAAACGAGTTCCCGCGTTCAACCTGACCTGGTCGGGTTCCTGCAGGCTTGTCAAACCACTTGTCAAACCACCAGGTCAACGGATGGAACGTCACCGGGGAGCAAGAAGCGTTTATGACTGGTCGACGTTGCGCTCGAATGTCATAAAGTCGGATCTGAGCCAAGAGGTGTTAAGAGAAGCATAGTGACAGTGACAACGGACCTGCCCGTAGGCTGTACAGATCACAAGCTTGTTCTCATCTTCGGAGGAAAGATACTGCCAACATCATCATCGGTGTGGCTACGATCGTCGTCATGGCCGTTGAGACCTGGAGGTCTGTCACCCAAACAGGCAACCTCAGTCGAAGTTTGTTCTCAGGAACATTCTTAGCCTTCCATGACACCTGCAAACAGCTCAATATAATCCGCTACAGCTGCTGCTTCTCCTCCCCCTCCTCCCCCTCCTCCCCCTCCTCCTCCTCAATCACATCGTCCTCCACTTGCCCTTCCCGTCCTCCCCGTCTTCCTTTTGTTTGACTGAACGACATCACATTCCAGGTCTCTTACCGTCTGTGTCTGCAGATCGTAAACTTGCAACTCGTTCTCCTGTCCGCCATAGGCGATCTGAAACAAGAATGTCACTGACTGCCTTCGTTACATGTTGAACATGCGCGTGCATGTTGACATGCCTTGGTACATGATGGAGACGGTCTTGCTCTACTTACAGGACCCTTGATGCTCAGAGCAGTCTAGAGAGATGTTCAGTGTCTTCATGTCAAACTTATTCACCCACATGCTCCTTCACCACCCGAAGGGTCTGGTCCAAACTCTGCAGCAGCACCTTTCCTTCTTCATTCACGGTGACCAACTTGGTTGAATCGCTCTGCAAGCCCATCACATCGCTGACGTCTCCTCCTCCTCTCCTCAACCTCACGCAGCATGAAGACGCTCCTCGGCTTCGTACACGCCTCTCGCCCAAGTTCGAAATTTGCCTGGCGCTACTTCACACGAGGAAGAGAAAGAATCTGATGTCACACCAGCTCAACAGACGCCTGCGCGTCCCAAAGCTTGACAACGCCATCAGCTCTGAGGAGGAGGCTCAGCAACCGCTCGCCCCTCCACTCTTTTCACCTCCCCACGAAGAAGCTGAGCTCGCTGGCATCTGCTCCCCCAAACATCAGACCCTCACAACTACACAGCCCTCAGACCTCTCGACCAGCACATGCACTCAGCTGCCTGTCATCATCATCGTCACGTCTCGCATGGCTGCATCAAAGTCGTTACATGCTCTCGCTTCTGTTCCCCAAATTTTGCTATCACTGCGCTCTCCTCCGGGGCTGAGATCTAATTGCAAGTCATGTGGAAGAAGGAAGAGAGAGTGAGAAGTGGGGAGAGGTGATGTTCAGAGCAAACAATCGAATTAATGTATGAAGTTGATGAAGTCACCTTGATCAATCCGGTCTCGTCGCCAGTTATTATCTGCAACGATACTTCATTCATGCACCTTTGAAGAAGAATTTCACACCTTCATGGTACTCGTTGATCTTCCTCTTTCCTGTGTGGCAGACTGCTTGCCACTCTCGCTCTTCGCTCTTCCTTCTTCTCTTCTTCCTCTTTTCTCTCCTTCTTCTCTTCTCCTGCTTTCAATTCGCCATCTTCACGTGCCGCACCCTCATAAAGCCCCTCGTCCCCACCCTTAAACAAGGTGACCACATCCCCGCTCTTTCATTTACCCTCGTCCCCGCTCACTCCCCTTTCGGCTTCAGCTTCGGCAGTAGCTGCGGCTTCGGTGGCAATGGTCACTAGCTCCGAGGGAGGAGGAGGAGGAGAAGGAGGAGGATGGAGCGGGTGCGAAGGGGAGAACGAGAGAGAGAGGAGGAGGCGGAGGAGAGGTTGCTGATAGAGGCTCCCTTGAAGCTGCTCAGTCAAGCACCGGCGTTGTAGATTGAGGTCGGAGCGAAACGAACAATGGACCATTCACATTGTCGACTGAGGCGAGATCCGATCTGCTTTGAGGTTGACCAGACTCAGGTGTTCTACGACGAGGCCAATAGATATCTCATTACGTTTCATAATGGGATATTTAAGATCCTCTCGGTAGATGACCCCGGAATCCCTCCTCAAACAATCGATTTCGTGCGCCATGGTGCGGTTTTGGGAGTTTCATTGTCCTTGGACAAGAAGCATCTTTGTGTTCAGAGATCAAGTGCAGATGTAGACATCATCTGCTTGCAGGATGCGAGTGAGATGTCGTATTCTTGCATGGCAAAATCGCAGGGTTGCATGGTAGTGGGGTTTGTGTGGGTGAACACAGGTTTATGCGACATTGCCTTGATAACGACTGGTGGGCTTGAATTGCTGAGGATAACCAGCAAAGATGTCGTTCAACTTGTAAAACATGACCGGCGAGCCATCCATTGGTACAGGTACTACCATGAGACAAGGCTCGTCATGGTTTGTACTGGAAAAGAAGCCAATACCATTCAATGCTTTCAGTTCCTCCCGGACAAATTGATGAGGATGCCTGACTTCGACCCTGACGTCGCTCTCAATGCAAACGGAAAGAGGAGTCGACTGGAGAGAAACGACTTCATCCTGTGTAAGATATACGAGAAACTTTGTTGTGTCTACGTGTTCGCAAAGAGACAAGAGATGATTGTGTATCAACTGGGGAAAGATGCAATTGGACGACTGTGCACCATCAATCTCTACTCGGCATGTGATAACTACGCTCTGAGCATCGTTGACAACCTGCTGATTGTTCACAACCTTGACTCGAAGATAACTTTGATCTTTGACATCTGGCTTATGGTACACTCTCCTCCTCTATTCTTCGATTCTGCAAGAGGTTGACAGGGATGTGCAGCAATGGAGCGACCATCCTGTAGCGGCTCCTCTTCCTCTCGGTGCTCCAGTCTCTGCTCACAACGAAGACAGAGTAAGGAGCTGTTGGTCCATGAAGAGGAATCTGGCTGAGCGATGGTTGTTGTGTTGTGTTGTTCGACATTGTCTTAATTGGACTGTCATGAACTTCCCGTGTTGTTGTTTGCTGCATGTGATCTGATCGAAGTGATCAGCATGAAAATCTGCCGTCTGAACTCTCGCACGCGGACAGCTATCTGCAAGAATGGTATGTTCTTTGTGGTTTTGGAAATCTTCAACCTCGTGACTGCTAGAATTATCAAAGGAACTTTGAGCAGCCGAACATTATTCTTGACAAGAAAGCAGGGAAGTTGTGGTTCTTAGAGGTGCGCTTGAGGCTTACCACAGTATGATCTTGTTAATCTTTGAATCGCAACAGATCAGTTTGCAAAACCTGTGCATCATCAGCAGTGACAAGGTGAGTCGGCATATCCTTGTTCTGTCGGACATCTTGAACGGTCTGTGTGACGTGCGTTGTTGGAACAGGTCAACCTTGTTCGATGTCTGTTGAAACGAAGGGATGGGATCAGCGAGACGCTGTCGGTGATCAGGTAACTTCCTCGTTGACTTGCATCTTGTCCCTCGGTGGTCATTGGTGTGCAGGAATGCTGTCCGGGACCGGGAACCGCTCTTTTCTCTCTATCAGATGTTCAGGTGCTTTCCATACTGACGTGTTGAGTGCTGTTGTCTTGACTGGTCTTGACTTGTTTGACTGTCAGTGTGGTTGTGGAAGCTTCAGTTTCGCTCTCATCGGCATCGTCGAATGTCAAGATGAGCAAGTGGTGGTATTACCAGCCAGACAGACATGATCCAGCCGTCAAGAATGCTGAGGAGAAGACGGCGAATGGTGTGAACACCCGTTCAAACACAGGGGAAGACGGAAAATCGTCCAACACAACACAAGTTATCGATCAAGAAAAGATGACAGAGAATGTTTTTAAGGCAAGCACCTGAATTGCGTGCATATGAACAGTTGATTGGTGTACACCTTATGCATATGAATGCGAACTGTCTTGAGTATTCCATATAGTTTTGTTTCTGTTTGTCAACTCTCTAGGACATGATGATCCTGTCCTGTGTCTGAAAAAGATTTTCCCATTGTTGACCAGAGAACCTTCTTGCTGACCTCATGTTGATTCTAAGGACCAGAACGCTCATCTGATCTTTCCTGTGCAGATAATTCATCAGGAGAGTGTTGTCGACTCTTCATATCTCATGGCAGTTGTCACTGAATATTTGAGGAGTTTGAGCGCAAGGGGGATCATGGCGGAGGTAAGTCAGCAATACAACCTCTCATCTCAAAATCAGCATCATCAGCTCCAGTGTAGTACTGTGATCTCTTCTTCCCTCTTCTCTTCATGCTCTCTCCTCGATTCTTTCTCACCTGGTCCTATTGATCGAGATTTGACCTCTTTCTTTGCTCGCAGACCTTCCTCGTTGACTTCCAGCTGGAGCTGATCACCTCGTCCGACCCTCCTCGTTTTGCTGTCCTTCATCAACTTCTGCAGTACCATGTGCTCTCTCTTCTAGCTATCCGTCCTCCTCCCTTACCCCAACTCTTCCTTGATCTCTTCATTAATCCTTACTCCTTCCTTCTTTCTCTTCCTTCCTCTCACTCCTCCCCCCACAACGTACAGGAACTTCTCACTCTCTCGTCCTACAGGTCATCCAAGACTCCCTCCCCGTTGCCAGGAGGCTTCTCAGCTTGATCTCGAGATACCCTCCTGCATTTCAGCTGGGGTTGGACATGCTCCATCGTTTGCGGCTTCCGCAGGAGGTCCAGCTAGCTTGACATGGTAGTTTGAGGGCCTGACTTTTCGTGTCATCTCAGGTTGCCCGGGTCCTGCTGGAGTATGGCAAGCTGACAGAGGCGCTGAGGTAAGAGTCATGTGTCCCTGCGCAAACTTCCCAGCTCTTTGGGAAGTTCGTTGATGTCTCGCCCAGCTGCTCAACAGCTTGTCTGCGGCCTCTTGCCCGCCTTCTCAGATTGTCTGCTCAGGTACATCAACACCCGCGCAAGCGACGTACACGTGCCTGCTGCTGAGATCCTGGAGGCCGCCAGAGCGACAGGTGGGAGAAGGGAAGAGGGAGGAAGAGAAATGCTGCTGCTGCTGCTGCTGTTGATGATGATGATGACGACGACGATGATGATGATGATGATGAGGAGGAGGAGGAGGGTGGTAGTGGCGGGGAGCGGGATGCGGACAGGAAGGATGATGATCGAATCTTCATTTGACATTCGAATGTCCAGGGGACAACCAGAAGTTCTACCTCGCTTTCCGGTTCGTCCAGGTGCGAGAGGAGGGAGGGGGGACGAGCGAAGCTGAGAAGCAGCCGCAGGCAATGCACGCGGACCAGTACGAGCAGAAGAGGAGAAACTCTCCTGGGTTCCTTCCGTCCGACAGCTGTGAGGAGCATGTGGAGTTTTACAAGAAGATGTTCGAAAGCGTGTGATGGGTAGCAGTAGCCTTTCTTGTTGATATTCTTTCCATCTTGTGTATGAATACCATCGGGCAATCTACATCAACTCCTTTCGTCCTCCCTCTTCTCCCTCCTTCAGCTCCTCTTCCTTCTCTCCCGTTGCTTCTCCCCCTCCAGCCCCTGGCTGGCGAACAAGGAGCGGAGGCTGTCGATCTGCCCTGACCGAAGGATGCGATCTAATCGATTCAGCTCGCTCCTGTAGTTTCCCTGCTCTCCCCTCGTCGGCAGCGTTTCCTTCCTCGCCTCTTCCCTCCTCGTCAGCGTGAAAAGGGACGACCAGACGCTCCCTTCCCGTGTTTCCTCCTGCTCCTCCTGCTCCTCCTCGTCCTGCGCTCCCTCATCTCCACCTCCCAGACCTTCTCTCCTCCTCCTCTCCTCCAACAGTAGTCTCCCCCCTTCACCCTGGTCCTCCAGGAAGCAGCTCACGGTAGGGAGCATGCTCAGCAGACGGTCAAACTTCTCCAGGAAGAGAGCGAGGTTAACGTCTACTACCTCCTCCTTCCTCGCTGCTCCTTGAGCTATCAGCGACACCTGCTCTTCCATCGCTGCCCGCAGACGCGGCTGCACCAAGCTCTCGTCCACCTCCCGCAGCCCCGCGATCATCGCCAGCCCCAGCTCCGTTGGTTTCAGGTGCCTGACCCCCAACCTCTTTTCCCCTCCTGCTGCTCCTGCTCCTGCTCCTGCTCCTGCTCCTGCTCCTGCTCCTGCTCCTGCTCCTGCTCCTCTTCCTCTTCCTCTTCCTCTTCCTCCATGTGTCGCCCCTCCCCGTTCTGCTCCACGTTCTCTCTCCCAACCCGCTGCTCCCTCTCTGCCTCTCCCTCGCCCTATCTGTCCCCCTTGCCCATCTCCAACACTCTCTATTCCTCCTACCTCGCCCTCCCCTTCTTCCTCCTCCTCCTCTATCGGGTTCCCAAAAGCGTCCACAACCTGCACGTACCTCCGCGCCAGGATGTTGGCGATATGGGACGAGATGGACGCGTCTGTTCCGATGCCGTGCTTGTCCATGAGCTGCACCAGCTCTGCCTCCTTCAGCGGCTCAGGAGCACTCGTCTCCTCCTCCACAACCCTCACGCTCCTCACTGGGACAGACCTTGTCCCCTCCTCCTCAAGGACTTGCAGGTCCTGCGAGAAGTTGAGGGAGGCGATCATGGTAGGAAGGAGTTGCCCCAGGTGAAGCCGCTGCTTGGTAGAGTGGCAGCAGAAAGTGAAGTACTCCCCCTCCTGCTCCTCCTTCCCTTGCCCCCTTCCTCTGCCTCTCCCCCTCCCCGCTCCTTGTGTCCGTCCCTTCCCCTCCTCGTCTCCATCCTCCGCCCCTCCTAGCTTGAAGATGCCTCGTCTCTCTAGGAAGCGGAAAGTGGGCATGAGGGACGCAACGGTGTTCGAAGCGACCAGCTCCCACAGTCTCCTCTCCTCCCTTCCCAAACTACCCATGCTCCCACTCTTCATCGGCGTGATCGGCGGCTGTCGAAAGAGTCAGAGTACGAGTCCGAGCCAGGGGAGGACGACGAAGACGAGGAGGCAAACTGCAAGGAGGGGGGAGGCGGCGGGACAAAAAAAGGGGGATCATGAGGAGGAGGAGGAGGAGGAGGAGGAGGAGGAGGAGGAGGAGGAGGAGGAGGAGGGGAGGAGGAGGTGTATGATGATGATGATGATGATGAGGAGGAGGAGGAGGAGGAGGAGGTGTATGAGGAGGGGATGGAAACGATGCGAAAGGTAGACTTACATGATCACCGCGATCGACTCCTCGGGATGGGACGGAAACGCATCCTTCCTCCAGCATCTTCTCCACAAACCTTCCCAGCTGCGACCCGTCCACGAGCGGTCGCAAGAGGTCGGAGGGATCGAAGGAGGGAGGGAACCTGCTAGTCTCCGTCCTCGGGTAGGAGATGTATCCTCGCGTGTACAAGCGCTCAGCGATTGCCATCGTCTTAGCCGGGGAGAAGCCCAGCCGGAGAGAGGCGAGCTGAAGGAGAGCAACGGTGTTGAGAGGAAGGGGAGGATCCAGGGATCGCTCTTTCTTCTCGACCCTCACTAGCCGAGCATGCGAGGTCTGCTGGCAGGACCTCAACGCAAGGAGAGCTTGGTTGCGATCGAAGGTCGACCCTCGCATCCACTTGAGGTCCAGCGTCCTGCTCCTGCTGCCCCCCACCAGCACCTCCACCTCCACCTCTATCCTCCAGAACTTCCTGGGGACAAATCGCCGGATCTCCTCGTCCCTACGGACGCAGAAGAAAAGGGTCGGAGTCTGACAGGGCCCGAAGGAGAGCAGCTTCAGCTTACTGTCGTTGAACTTTCTCCTCGCACCCTCCAAGAACCTCCTGGTCAGCAGGCGGGTGAAGGTCACGCCCACCTTGAGATCCATCTCCTGCCTCGCGTCCACCGCCATGGCCTCCTCCTCGTTGGGCTTCCCTGGGCTCGAGAAACTTCTCTTGAGGCTGTCGGAGGAGAGAGCAGAGAATCGTGCTCGGAACACCACGTCGTCAGACAGGAAGTAACCGCGAGACCGGAAGAGCCTGAGGATCTCGAAGCAGATGTTCTCCCCCTCCCTGTCGCAGTCCAACCAGAGGAAGAGGTACTGCCGTCCCTCCGCCAGGCTCAAGAGGTGCCGGTCCACCTCCTCCTCCTCCACCGAAGTCTCGAACACCTTTTTCACCCGGGCCCCGAACAGATTCCTCGGATCGCTACCAGTGTCTTCATCGAACTCCATGGCCTCGACGTGCCCAATGACCGAGGTGAAACTGATCAGGCTCTTCCTCCTAGCAGGTTGAAAGTGGTAGAAGAAATCGTGGATCCTGCACATGGGCGCATGCCCTGCAGGATTCGATCTGCTTCTTTTCCTGCCGTTGCTCAGGATGGTGGCAACGGTGTTGGCGACTGACGGTTTCTCTGCAATACAGAGCACACGAGGACAGTCTTGGTCCTCTTCGATTCCTGCCGAGCTGTCCTGCTGTTCATGGCGAGAGGACGGAGGTTGGTCATCGCAAGCTTTCGTTCTCTGCTTGCCCTCTTGCACGTTCGATCTGTTGTTTCGAATCCTGTCCTGCTGTGCAGTTTTCTTTGTACCTCCCCCTTGGTTCTCTTTCCTCTGTGGACGAGGGCAGTCCTTGGTCTCATGGCCTTCAACGCCACAGTTTCCGCATGCTCCAAACTGCCGGCAGATCGCTTCAGGAGCGCTCTTGAGATGTTCTCTCCTCAACGCAAGGAGCTTCTCCATCTCTTCCTCCCTCGCTCTCCTCGTCCCGATCTTGTTGAGCTGGTACACATCGAGCGTCTCTCCCCTCTTCTTCTTTACCAGCAATTCTTCAATCTCATCAAGTTTCTCTTTCAAATGCCTGCAGATCAAATTTCACCCAGCATTCTGTCAGCAGAGAGAACGAATCGGGACATGTGGAGAAGACACTCGAACGACAGGGTTAAAATGAGATAGCAACATAGTGGAGACAACAAGGCAGGAAAGAGAAACGATGAGTAATGATGTTCAGACAGGTGTAAAGGATCAGGGCGGCTCCGAGGACGACCAGAAGGAAAAGAAGAAAGAGAGGACGAGAACGAGATCGAGGACGTGAAAGTGGACGAGGACGAGGATGACGAGGAAGGGGATGACGAAGACGACGAACATAACCAGGAGGAGGAGGAGGAGGAGGAGGAGGAGGAGGAGGAGGGAGGGGACAACGACGAGGAGGAGGAGGAGGTCGTGGTCGTGGAGGTCGTGGAGGTCGTGGAGGTCGTGGAGGTCGTGGAGGTCGAGAACGAGGAGGACGAGGACGAGGACGAGGACGAGGACGAGGACGAGGAGGAGGAGGTCAGGGTGTATGGATGGTTCAGCTATCTTGCTCGGTCTCACTTGATCTTGTAGCTAACGCTCCGAATGCGCGCTGCTTCTTCATCCATGACCTCAAGGTTGTAAACAAAACAACCGTAAAACATAAAAAGATTTCAATTGTGCAACAAAAAGCGATGGAGGGAATGGTAGGGAAGGAAACATGGAAGCTGTACGTTCTCGATTTTCTTCTATAACATTCAAACACAACATCATAAAAGTGATAACTTGGTCCTTCATCTCAGTCTGCCACCCCAAGATCTGGAACGATATGTTACTAGCTTCGAAACAAGAGGAGGAAAAGGAGGAGGAGGAGGAGGATGGGCAGTGGCAGAAGGAGTAGGAGCAGAAGGAGTAGGAGCAAGATAAACGAAGAAGATATTTGCATCATCAAGAACAACTGGTCAACCTGGACTTTAGGGAGTTCAGTGGTGGCAAACAATTTCTTCGCTCAAGTTGTTCTCCGGTTTGTGTGCCACCCTGCCCTCAAGGCGTTTAGTGGGAAGAAGCCACAAGCAAAATCTGAGATCCCCGTCTCACCAGAAACATCTCAGCGACTGAGCTCGGTCTTGATGGTGAGATATGCATAGGCAAGTACTTGAAGGTATGGGAAGAAGACGAAGAAACAGTTTCGACCTGAAATTCACAAGTAAATGTCTTGAATTTTTCTAGCATGAACTTGTTTCATATGCTCACCGCCTCGAACTGCTTGCTGTACACTGGTGCAGTGAAGAGATCTGAGATCGCAGGAGGTGATCGAAGAGACAACGAAGAGCTTGATATCGGGCTCGGATAGTAATTGAGATGCGCATTCTTCATATCAAATCCTCCCTTCCTGCGTTCCACTCAGATCAGCGGCTAACGGTGTTCACATTTTCCGCAACCTTCGCACGATCCCAACAGGGATGAAGATGCTCTCGCTGGACTTCGACGCAAGCTCGTCCATCAACGAGCTGGTGGTGGAACGGACGGAGCTGGGAAGTTGCGACTGACTTGTAGAAGGCAGATTTCGAAACCAGCTCCCGCTCCTTGAAGGAGAGGATTCTTCAAGACCTTGTTGACAAGTCTGATCATTCAGAAGGCGTCGCAATGATTGTTTCTCACCCTGCACGCCATTTCTTGCCCGATTGCTGACGAATATCTCCACGTGGCCGAAGAGCTCTTTGTCGAACCTACAGCTATGAGAACAAGTCAGCGGTCCATTGTCAATGATGAATTCACAAAGCACCTGATTGTAACGTCGCAGCTCCAACAGATCTGCGGTGCAACGTAGTTCTTCACAGTAGAAAAACTGTGAAGGTAAATCACATTAGAGATAAGACACCATCCATCGTTCTATTCACAAACCTGATGTTGACTAGATCCTCGATGTTTTTCGAGCACCTTGCTCTGAACAGTTGAGCAGAGTTGGAGATATTCAACGCTAAGATCCTGTATTCGTTTCAGAGTTCTTGGGAACTTCAGCTTACAAATTGACCTGAAGCTTAATTTCTCAAAATATCCTTCAGGTACAGACATCCCAAGGTAAACGCCACCCATCTCACTCCAGCATCTGGATCTGATCACAACAGATGTTTCTAGTTTCACATCAAAAGTTTGGCAAAGAGGAATACCTGTGGGGATGGGTGTTTGATTCCTATCAAACAAAGGTCAGAGTTTTTATCACATTCACAGGTAGCTCACAACTTGATGAAAGGAATATCCTCCATCACTGCGATCTCTAGCACGGTGAACTTGATTTCCGGACTTAGGGACATGGCATCGCATCAAATTCTCAAGACCTCGTAACATCTTCATGACGTACCTGATTCACTGCGGGACTCTTTGGTCGTGGTGCTGGTTCCTCCCGGTACTGACTTCCAAAAACGACTTTTGCTTTTCTTTTCTTGGTCTTCGACTTCTTGTTTCCCTTCAGCGATTTCTCCGTGCCAAAATATCCATCCAACTTGGACAAGGGATATGAATGAGGAGAGATGTTTCTAGCCAGTTCTGCTATTGTAGGAGATGCAAATATCCCTGTTGTGTTGACCGGCAACGATTCATCAAGCCTGTGATCTTGATTGCTGCTATCTTCTTCTGCTCCATCCAGTAGTCCAGCTGGGATTTCAGTCTGGGATTTATCATAGAGGCAACAAACTCCAATCAGACACTGGCTGGTCTCCTGGACCTCTATGAGGCTTCTCGGCTTATCTCGAAAAAGAAAGTTGTAAGATGGAGACTGCACGCCATTCCAAAGTTTCTTTGCCGGAACTCTCCGCAGCAAATCGACGATCCTTGGGCAGTACGAGTCCATTGTTGTCGTGCGTGTGTCACTCAAGATGTGTCAGTTGTCTTCATCGACAAGTGAGGTCTCATATCTCTCAGTAACTTCTTCATCTCCTCTCATCTTAAGGACTTGCTCCATCTCCTCTACTCTCATCGCTTCCCTCTTTCGCCAGCCTCAACATGGTCGCGACTTGACAAGGCTGTGTGCGGTTATCTCATAGCCCCATAGTGTACGGGCCTGCCTCAGCCGGCGCTGTTGGCTGATCGGATGATCATTTGGATTCACAACAACGAACAGCGGAAACAGTCTGCACCTGTCCGAAAGAAAGCGAGCTACAAGTTGAAGACTGCAAGTCCTGTCCGGTCGGCAAATACAAGAACTTCACGTCATCGCTATTCAAGACGCTTCACGGCGAAATCTGCGTCAGTTGTGACATCAACACCTACAAAGACTTCATCGGGTACGATGCCTGTATCAACTGCCCTTCATACTCCATAACGCTTTCCAACCAATCTTCGTCCTTTGATCAGTGTCTTGCTATTGCTGGCTATAACCGGGACGGAAAGAACTGTCCTACCGCGAAATATCTACCTTGGTCCAGATATGCGAGCTTCGGAGCCGACCAGTGCAAGAACGTATCGAAAACCTGCCCTGCTGATTCATACATGATCGAACAGGCGAATATGTCTTCCAACATTCCATTTACCAAGCTCAGCAATAACGAAAATATCTACTGGAAATTTACCGACACAGGCGGCGATCAGACCGCCTACAGTGTCAATGTCACTATGCCATCGCTGGTCATCATGCTGATCATTGCAGGGGGCGGTTCTGCGCGGTGACGCAGTCGGAAAGTACGTGGCTTTAGGTCAGTGTATCGGCGGTGGTGGAGCCGGTGGCACGATCCGTGTTCATGACTTCTGGCTGCCTGTTGGTCAGTATACCGTGAAGGTTGGCAGGGGACGAGTGAAAGGAAACAGTACAGATAGTTCTTTGACCAGCGCCAATCTTAGCTACGTAGCCATTGGTGGCGGAATGGGTGGATGGTACGGGGTGAATGGAAACACGGTGGCTCCGGTGGCGGTGGCGGTGGAAGTTCAAGTGGTGGCGGAAGCGTTTCCGGTCAAGGCTATCCCGGTGTCACTAGCCCTTTTGGTGGAAGCGGAGGTGGTGGCGGCGCCGGTGGCATAGGAATAGGATACGATCAAACATACAACGGCAGAATCCCGGGTGTATGCATCTATTCAGACATCACCGGAACTTCGCTGCCTTATGGTGGATCGGATGGCGATTTGACCATATCATGGAAGAATACAGCGAGCATGTGCGGTATCGGTGGGATCGGTGGTTATTCCGGCCGTATAACTGGAACGAATGGCGCTCCGGATACAGGATCTCGCGGTGGTGTCGGTGGATTCTCGGGTGCAATCATCGCGCTAGAAGTTAGCCTTCAAGGCGATACATCGCAGGCTTCTGGTGGAGCATCTGGCGTTGTTATCATTCGTTCAGCTTACTTGCGATATTGTCAAATCTGTCCTGCTTCAAAACCTTACGCTCCAGTAGGATCAACAGATCCATGCCACTGCCAGCGCTGTCCGCTTGATTCATTCGACTTAGGTGATATCTGCGTGAAACGATGCCCTGCCAATTCGAAGAAGCTGCCTACAGAATCTTACTTCAACTTTACATGCATCGCTTTTCCTGGATTCTATCGTTATGGACCTGACTTCCAGCGCTGCCCAACTGGAAGCTACAAGGATACGTATGGAAAGACTACCTGCCTTGCCTGCCCCCTTGGCACCCATTCCAACACCGAACAGAGCACGTTCTGTTTGAATTGCCCAGTGGGTTACTATACAGTTTCGACGGGCTCTTCGGTGTGTGTTGCTTGTCCCGCCTTCTTTTTCTCGGTCTCACGGACTGCCCCAGCGGAGCGCCAACTCATGAGATCTCGTGGGCACCAGAGGTAGAAGACAGCTGGGCAGTCCTCCAGAGCCAAGGCCTGCCACGGTGGTCGGCCATCGACGCCACCGACCTCCATAACATCACCAACACCCTGTCGCTGGATCTTCCGAGAGCCTATGATAATCAACAACACTACGGCCAACAATGTCCGCGGCGGCTTCTCTGAACCACCGCGACCTACTTGTAGGCTGAAGGGAAGACAAATCGGAGTTGTCAGGCGCATACTCGCCCAGACTGCTGGTGCTGGTGTTTGAGAGGACACTAGCAATTTTGATATGAAGATGTAATGATAAGGTGGATCCACTCTCTGGAAGGACGCGAGTTTTCTCGCCCGCCTCTCAAACGCTAACACACGATCAGTCTTATGATGGCTCAAGAGAGGCAGCGTTACGCCTATTGATCTTGAATCCGAGTTTAAGCATCTCGAGTATCATATCATTGGTGTACAGACACAACCGCATCAACAGCTGATTTGGGGTCAAGCAGGTGCGATGGCATGATGGGTAAAGTACAAAAGCTTCTCATCTCTCATGGCATCTCCTCCTCCTCGCTGGCGGAGATGTACCATGCTATCCACTTAGGGTCTAAAGGATATTCTCCCTCGACTCGCTCGCTTCCGCCCTCCTCCTTCGACGCGTCCGTTTGCTTTCGCTGCTTCTGTTCTGCACGCTCTGCTTTCTTGAAACGAGACTGGCGCTCATACGGCCAGCGGGTGACGCCCAGCCGCCGGCATGCGCTCTTCAAGGCAGTGAGCGACAAGCCCTGGGAGTGGGAAGATGTCAGAGGACGACAAGGGTGGGAGAGGGTCACCAGAGAGGCGGCAGCCTTGGTTTGCGGGAGGTGAAACAGGTTCGTCAGGGTGGAGCGCTGCAGGCTGACGCCTTGCCTTCCCTTGCAGATGATGAGAGATCGCTGGAGAGTTTTCCTCCTCGGGAAGATGCGGACTGACGTGCTCATGAGGAAGGGAGAGAGGAGGGGAGAGGTAAGGCGCTGTGCAGGGAACTGCCCTTTTATGTTGTGCGCGCTGGGGACGAATACTTATTATCGTGTCTCTACGAGGATTTGAAAGGATGCGACGGTTGAACCTGGTTTGTTTGGGAAAAGACTTCTTTTCGATGCTGGAGGGACTCAAGTTCAACCTCGAGGCGGCTACAAGGGACCCCCACCCTCCCCCCTTCCCCTTCAATAAGACTGGTACTTGCTGACAGAGCGGATGTAGTAGCCACCCCCTCACACCAGCTGATAATCGACCAGCTAGCCATGTTCGGTCTTCCAACCCCTTTTGGTTTCGTGCATCTCGAGCCCGCCTCAACCATCTGAGTGGCTGACGACAACGCAACTCTCCGGAGCGTCTCGGGGGCCCGGCCATGAGCAATGGCAGGTGACTGCAAATGTGGCGGTTGAGGCAGACAGCATATGAATCTACTAAAGCAACAAGATTCCAACACTCATTCAGTCTCTCGGGATCTCAACTATCAGACAGCATTCAAGGTTTGAACATTGCAGGGTCCACGTCTTCACGCGGTTCACTACTTTCATAGCATGTTGGTTTTGCCTCAAAATACACCTTCCGTGATTGCAATCTGACGATTGCAATGACTGCTGCCTGAGTGCAGGTGATTTTTCAACGGTATGACAGCGTTGCGATGGTTGAATTCGAGAGTTTCAGCTCGTTCCCAAGAGTTTCGGATGTTTCAGAGATGTTGTTCGACTAATACAAAGTCGACCTCTCCTCCTCCCTCCACTCATAGCTCCTTACGAGCCTATTTCTTTCTTGCTTTGTCAGGCAACATTGGCTTCTTGTTTGCTTCTTCTCTACTAGTGCACCAACATGGAGGACTATTAACGTGCACTGGCATGGCAAGACAGAAAACTAGCCATGGCTGCTGATCCGACCAGATTCAAACAGAATCGTGCCAGCCTCTGATGACTGAGCCCGTAAAGCACTTGGAACAGCCTACAAGTCGTCAAGAAGAGCCTGAGGACAAGAACTTAAGTAGATTACTGTACTTTTGGCTGTTGTCAGCAATCAAAGAAAGACACTGGTGTGTTGGAGGGTGCACATGACTGAAGGAAGAGGTGTGAATATGCTCAGTGCATTTGTTGCCTTGCCCGAGAGTCCCTCTGGTGCCAGACTTCACGCACGCTAGATCATTCTTCCTTCTCTGCTGTTCCCTCTATCATGTTTTCCATGCCCGAACGCAATTTGCGCATCAGCCCTCGAGTCACGTCAAATCTCACGTGCAAAGATGCTGCAGACAAGATGCCGGAGAGTAGGCAGAATGCGACCTGACGGTCATTGGTAAGCAAAGCAAAACTATGGGAAGACAGTTGCAGATATTACCAGGAAGTAAACAGTGTTCCAATCAGTCGTCGGGTTGGAGCAAGACATCAAGACTTGATACATCGGCTAGTCCTCACTCGCTTCCTATCCGAGCTCTTCCTCTCTCTCTTCCTTGCCCTCTTCTCTCTATTCTCTACCGAGCGCTTGCTCTCCCTTGTTCTGCTCTCGCCAAGACTTTTTGAAACGGGGATCTCGCGAGTTTGACTAGGTTTGACAACCTTTTTTGGGCAGAACGATTTCGCTGTTCAGGCAAGGCAGGCAGGAGGAGAGTTGGGAGGGAGGAGGAGGCAGAGGACAAGGTGAACACGTATGATGGCAGCTTTGAGCAGGAAGTAAGTGCACAGCATCGGCCATCCTAACTTTCCCTCCGCTTCCATGGTGTCTCGCGCGGAGGGTCATGGCTTTCCAGTCAGGAACGATGAGTTCATGACAAGTTATGAGAACCTCTCAAGGGTGCAGCGGACTCTGAGACTGGACAAGGCGGCTAGTGAAAGCCTCTCAACTGAGTACAACAAGGTCTCCCGTGCAAACAGGCCCAAGTCTTCCATCTTCGATGTGTTCAAGTTCAAAGGTACACTTTCTGCCTTGCTCCAAAGTTCCCCTCTCCCTCCTCCCTCCCTTACCTCATCCTCCGAGTGTCTCACGTGAGAGTCTAGAGCTTCAGGACACTCAGCAGACAGCAAGAGATCACTGGCTGCCGGATACACCTCGACCACCAGCGCCTGTTGCGCAGGTAAACTGAGCGATCACTGAATTTGCAAGACTTGACATGTCAAATAGCACACAAGTTTTAAAGCAGAGGAGCAGTTTTCTGTCAAAGACACCAAGAGTAATCTATCTTCATCATCACAAATTGAATCTCCATTGCCTTCGTGATCCTCTTCAATATCATCCTCTACTTTGCAATCATCGTCTTCATACCATCATCATCCTTCTCTCCGTCCCCACCTTTGTCTTAGATTGTCATCACGATCACTATCGTCGTTCCTTCATCATCGCAACTTATCTCATGCTCAGGAAACATCGAGACATGGGATGAAGTAAAGGCAGGATACATGTCACTCTCATACTACTGCATCTTCTTCATCGTCTTCCTTGCAGTCTTGGTATGTTCCTGACGCGAACATTCTTAAGAGAACATCTGTTGATGATCCATCTCTTCAGTCCTTGCAGAACATTCCTACAGATGCGTACGATATCGGCCAAAGTGTCCGGGGAACAGTCTTCAGCGAGGACTTGGACCTTACAGGGGTGACGGATTACTTGACCTTGTGGGATTATCTGGTCAGCGTGTCTTGTTTGTTCCGCAGTCTCCTCTCATTCCCCTTGCAACATCAGATCGGAGAGGAAGAGGCCCAACCCGCGGATCCGACTGTAGCCTACACTCAGTACGCACAGACAGACTCGCCTGGTGAACTTGAACAAAGAGAGACCTTCCACCTTCTTCTCCACCTCCTCCTCTCATGACCTCCTCCTATCATCCCCCTCTATCTGTCTCTCTTCCTCCCATCTCTCTCCCTCTCTCTCCCTCTCCATGACTCACTTCTCTCTGCCTTCTCTCCTCCTCTTCTGATCTCACCCCCTCTCAGGCGCTTCCTCCAAGGGAGGGCTTCTCGGCAAGATTTTCATGGCGCAGTACTACAACGACGAGCTGATACCCGAGAGAGACCTGGGCTACGGCATCACCTACATGAACCGACTGGTTGGGGGCCTGCTCATAGTCCAGCAGAGGTCTGATTACGACAACAAGACTCGCTCCTCTTCGCGGTATAGCCAGTGGTACCTTCCCTTCATCTCCCGCCAGGAGTCCAGGGCAGACTTTGGGCTGGCTGTCTCCCCTCCAAGTGTCCAGGACCTAGGGCTTGTCGACGCTCGATTCTCCAACAACCAGGACGTGCTGGCACAGGCGGACGTGAAGCGGCAGGAGGTGCTTGACTGCTTCAGGTATCAGGAGAGCATCGGCGGGTACGGGAAGCTCTTCAGGGCGTCGGTGGAGCGAGACGTGCACATGGAACTAGCGTGGAGGCTCAGAGATTCGCTCTGGATCGACCAGCACACGAGGAGCATTGAGGTCAAGTTCGCTCTCTACAACGGCAACTATAACATATTCACCTTCTGCAAGCTCACCGTCCGCTTCTCTCCCAGCGGCGGCATCGACCGGCTCGACACGACGCCCTATTCCCTCGTCACGTCGGGGATACGAATGGAACCGTACGCGGGCAGCGGGGGAACGAGGCTGCTGCTTGTGGAGCTGCTCTTCTCCCTCATGATAGGATACCAGGTGGGCGAAATTTTCGTCACGGCCGCTCAGAAGCTAAGTAGCTCAAGGAGAAGCTTCTTTGCTTTCCTTACCTCCTTCTGGACCCTCCTGGACATTGTCAACCTCTTCCTCTTCATCTACTCTATAGTCAACCGATATCAGTTCATCGTCCACCTGCTGCAAAACCCCATCAAACTCCCTTGCAACCAGTACGAGCCCATCCTGGAGGCCACCAGCAACATGCAGCAGAAGCAGCTGCAGCTCAACGGCATCAACATCTTCCTGTGCTTGCTGCGCTTCTTCTCCTTCTATCGCTTCCAAGACAAACTCAACGTTCTCACCCTCACCTTCCAGATTGCCTGGGTCGACATCTATCACTTCGGCATGCAGCTGGGCGCGGCCTTCATCCTCTGCGCCCTGATGGGCTTCTTTCTCTTCGGCTCCAGCACCGCTTCCTACTACCGCATGGACTTGGCGCTTACGTCAATCTTAGAGATGTAATCAATTCAATGTTGTGACCAGTGCGCTGATCGTGGGAGAGAGAGTCTTGTTGGGGATTTCTTGTTCGCACAATCTGGATGTTACGTTTTACTCTTGTTGTGATTCGTCTTCGAATGACATGTCATTTCTCAGAGTGACTTGTTCATGCAGGTGCGTCAACAACTACGACCTCCCAGCGCTCCGACGAGCTTCGCCGCTTCTTGCCGATGCCTTCATGCTGTTCGTCTCCATCTTCATCGCTCAGATTTTCCTAGGCTGCTTGCTCGCCATCCTCATGTCCTCCTTCTCCAAAGCTGTCACGGGGCCCAACTCCGACGGTTCCGACGGCATCAGTTTCACCATCGGCCAGCAGCTCGGCCAGGCTCTCTCCCGCCTCTACTTCGCGTACCAGCAGAAGTTCGGCAAGGAGCAGCAGCGACCGCAGGAGGGGGAAAGAACGTCCAGGATGCTGGTGAAGATGTGCGAAGAGCTGCTGCAGGAGGGCGTGGAGGCCTTGAGCAAGGGCGAGCTGGCCGCCAGGATGAGGATAGAGCAGGACGTGCCGGAGGACAGAGCGAAAGAAATCAACCAGCAGCTGCATACACACAGCTTCTGGTTCGTTCACACTGAGCCTCCTCCCAAGAACGTTACAGGCTTTCGTGATGACGTGGACTTTGGGGACGAGCAGCTATGGGACGAGGTGGAACTTCTACAGTCGGAGAACGAGCGTCTGCGCCAGCAGCTCAAGTTGTTCAGCACAGACACTCCAAACGCACAGGACGCAGAAGCTTCAGACAAGCATCTTACGCACAAGACAGGCTACTTGAGGAAGAAGGGAGGATACGGGGGAGGGTCCCAGTGGATCGCTGAGGGGAGCAAGCAACTCAGCGGGCTCAAGTGGGAGTGGAGATGGTTCTGCATCACTCCGAAGTACATCTCCTTCTACAAGAACCACAACCAGACAACTCCTGCCTTCATTATGTCCTGGGTCGAGATGGTCAACATCGAGATCGACGCTCAGCCGCAATCTTCGTCCCTTGACAGCAGCGCGATAGGAGAAACCCCACAGAAAGCTTGTTTAGGCTTCGCCCTGATCTTCAACACATGCAGGGTGGAGGTGATGTGTTATGACTTCAGGGAGCGCGCAGACTGGCTGGTGTCCATCAAGGAGTGTATCGACGAGCTTGTGCAGCAAGGAAAGGACAGGTACTTCCTCCTCAAGAATCGCAAGAGCTCGATTGCAAGGATGGACGCTAGATGAGGCGGATCATGCGATGCTTGTTGTAGTTGTAATACATCAAATAGTATCAGGAGGAATCAGATTCCTTGAAGTTGAACGCTGGAGGGGGCGGATCGATTACATGATGACGACATACCTGAGAAGAAAACAGGAGGGAGAGAGGAGGGAGGAGGAAAACGAGAGAGTCAGTATCCATTCAACTCAACAGAACAGGTATGTTGGAAAATCCTATCGAAGGAGCAACAAATGAGAAATAATTTTTCATTTTGGAACCATCCTGCCATCTCTCCGTCTTGCTCCCTTAATTGTCATTTTTCACTGACTACTTGTTACACTTGGGCTATCATGTGCTTTATCATAGTCTATATCTGCTGCCATGTCACATACTGTATCATATGCTACTTTGTCTGGACTATTCTATATCATGTGTCATATCATTTGCAATTTCTGTTGTGCAACTTATCATATACCGTACCACTTTCTATCTCATTTCCCATAACACATTCCAAAATACGTTCTATACCACATTCCATATCACGTTCTATACCATATTCTATATCATAATGTACATCAGAGGTTAATGTGGAGGGTGCCGATCCTGTATGTTCCTTCCTCGCAAGACATTGACTTACCCGCGGTAAGAGCCCTTGGGCATGTTGACGAAGGTGCTCTGTCCCTCGACATCAGTGTTCTCTTGGCAGTCGGTGCATCCTGAGCAGCCATCGAAGCTTCCCCATCCCGTCTGGAGAGGAGGAGCGGAGAAAGGGCCTGTCCTGTACCCTCCCATGGGGTAGCACTCGAGCGCAGTGAGGAACGGCATTGCGATGGCTCTTCGATGTCCACCCACCCCTCCCTATCAATTAGGGCAAAGTTTGGGTGGGGGTATACACCCCTACCTCCCCATGACCTCTCGTCTCGGTGACTCGAGTTTCACATACCTGGTATTTTCAGGGTGACAGACCAGGTGAGGGTGGGTACCCTCACCTGGTACAGAAGACTTGCCTCGTACATTGTTCACTCAGTCCGGGCCGGTGGCGGGCGGGTGCCGAGGCCCGGCGGGGAAATGGAGGCGAGGAGATTGTTTTGTTAAATGGTAGGTGGGTGGGTAGTGAGACCCCTACCCCTTCATTTGATGCTTTTTGTTGGGATATTTCAGGGGTACTTTCCTTTCTCGTTCTATTTTCTGTCATACCCGACCCACTGATTCTGACACCCCTTTATTAAAGGTCACAAGAAGGGGTAATTGAACAACAACAACTTTTCCCAAATAATCATCATATTTGTTTGATTTAGTTGAAATCCTATGATTCAATTACGCATCCTCTCATTTATTTCAAATAATTGTCCAACTTGTGAAAATCAAGTACCCCCCTTTCTCAACACACCAACCCTCTAAAAAAAAATCCCTCGTGCAGGCCGACTGTGGACTTCACGAGCTATGGCTGTCGGGTAACGCATGCTCCCGCTCTCTTCCTCCTCCTCCTCCTCCTCCTGTCACTGTGATGAAGTTCTACAATATCCTGAACGTCTCTGAATGCACGAGATGTGAAGGATGTGTTGAGTTTGCATTGTGTCTTGTGTTCTTGATGTTGAATCCTGTATTTCATGGCTTTCCAAGTGGTATGGAATGACAGGGGAAGATCAGGGGATGGATTCAACTTTTAGTGGAGAACAGCTGTTGATGCATACAAAATGAGGGATATTTCCTCACACTTGGCATCCAGCGTGATAATGTGACATGTTGAGTGCCGACAAGCCAAGGATTGACTAGGATTGGAACGACTGCATTGAATTCCCGCAGGGGGCAACATGAAAGCTATTTCGCAGTTGCCGTAGAGGATTCGAAAATTGTTGGAACTTGGCTCAATAGGATGTGTATGAGGATTGTACTTGATGGTATTTCTGAACCTGTTAGGATTATGTCCCCCATGTGCTTTGATTTCGTGTTTCCTACCTTCCTCCCTCTGCTCACCGCAATCGTGGTCGCTGACTTCTGTTTCTCAGCAAGAACAAGCGTCTTAGCAAAGGTAAAAAGGGGAAAGGAAAAAAGCAGGTAGACGCCTTCTCCAGAAAGGACTGGTACGACATCAAGGCGCCCAATGCTTTCCAGGTTCATTTCCCTTGCACGTTCGTCTTCCTCCCTCGTGATCGTCCTGCTGCAGATCCGTAACGTTGGAAAGACTCTTGTCACCCGTAGCTCTGGCATGCGCGTTGCCACCGAATACTTGAAGGGCCGCGTTGTGGAGGCCAACCTTGCGGACTTGAACAAGGACGAGGACCAGAACTACCGCAAGATCAAGCTCCAGATGATGGTTAGCCGTCCTCGCCTTGCCTTGGGCGTTCGGTTGACTCGTCTTGCAGGACATCTCCGGAAAGAACTGCCTCTGCAACTTCTACGGAATGGACATGACCACTGACAAGATCCGCTCCCTCGTCAAGAAGTGGCAGACCACCATCGAGTGCACCGTCGACGTCACCACCACCGACGGCTACAAGTTGAGGATGTCCTGCATTGCCTTCACCAAGAAGAGGGCAAACCAGTTGAGGAAGACCACCTACGCTCAGACTGCTCAGATCAAGCAGATCCGCAAGAAGATGACCGACATCATGACCAAGGAGGCTTCTACCGTCGACCTGAAGGACCTTGTCCGCAAGTTCATCCCTAACTCTATTGGCACCCAGATCGAGCAGGCTTGCCAGGTTGATGTTAAAAGATCGTTGCAAGTTTGTTTCTGACACCTTCGTTTCTGCAGTGCATCTATCCTTTGAAGGATGTCTACATTCGTAAGGTTAAGACTCTTAAGGCCCCCAAGTTCGATATCACCAAGCTCATGGAAGTTCACGGAAACGCCACTGAAACCTCCGCACCAGCTCCTGCTGCTGATGAGGGAACCAAGGTTGACCGTCCAACTGAAGCTTAAATTTTTCTTGCAAACAAGTAAAAGATGAAAATACGCATCAGTAGTCCTTGTTTCTTTCTTCATCCGATGGGGACAGATGCGTTGAAGATTTACTTCAATCTCAAAATTCCCTCCAAACATCATGCAACAAGGTCAATCACTTGCCTTCACGTCTGACCCTGTTGCATCCTCTGCAGCCTTTCCGCCTTGAGGGGAAGGAACGAAGCGGAGGAGCTCGCGAGCACAGAGACGTCATGGTCGACATCGTGCATGGACTTCTCAATGCCATCGAGCCTTTCATCGAGGTTTACAAAGGATTTCTCGAGCTTCTCGTTCTTGATTCCCTCGCTCCACTTGGCTCGACGAGTCTCCAGTACGAGAAGGGAGATCCCGATGCCGAACACCACCCCCTCAGAGATCAGAGTGGCTCCTTGCTTAATAGCTTCTTCTTCTGCGAGGGGAGCAATCTCCTTCACGCGGATGCTCGTTCCGAACAACTTCATTCTGATCTCCATCCTGTGCATTATCTGTGCAGCCCCTGCGCATGTCCTTTTGACCCTGTCGTACTTGATGGATCGAGCTATCAGAACGTTGGCCATGGGCTTTGCTGCTTGTCGTATCGCTAAGATCGCAACCTTGAAAAGAGGCAGAATTGCCATTTTGCTCCTCTACCTTGCTGGAGATAACTATGACGAACGTAGGTTATAGGTCCGTACTTGCCACTTCTTGGCGCTTGAAAATCACAGCACTTTTATGAGCAGCTCAGATGTGCGTCCTTGACGTTGTCCGAAGCTTTTCCAGTCTGCTCCTATACTACTCCTTCACTGTGAAGTACTGTGCTGTCCCCCTCGCTGTCCTTTCAGCAGCCCTTTCACCTGTGCTCTCCTCTACACACTCCTCTCCTCTCCAGTTTTTCTTTTGCTCTTCTTTCTCCTTCCCTCTTCTCTTCTCTCCTCTCTTTCTTTTACTCTTTTTCCTCCTCACCTCACCTCTCCTTTCCTCACCTCACCTCACCTCACCTCTCCTTTCCTCTCCTCTCGCCTCTCCTCTCCTCTTCTCTCTCCTCTCCTCTCCTCTCCTCTCCTCTCCTCTTCTCTCTCCTCTCCTCTCCTCTCCTCTCCTCTCCTCTCCTCTCCTCTCCTCTCCTCTCCTCTCCTCTTCTCTCTCCTCTACCGTCTCGCCTCGTTCCAAAGTCCCACCTCCGTCATTCTTCCTCCTTTTCCACCACCCACCCCTCATGACCGCATCTTCCTGCCTGCTAGTACCCCTTCAGAAGTACCCCACCCTACGATCGAGGAAACTGATAACCCCCTCCTTTGGCTTGTTGGACCCCCTCTGATTGGGCCTGTCAATCCTGCTGTGATGGCGACGGCGATTCTGGAACGGCGCCATGCCCAAGACATCAGGAGCCGCGACCGCTCACAGACTGAATGCAGTCCCGTTGCAGGACATCCAGCTCCTCCATCTTCTCGTTCTCTTCCTCGCTCATTCCAAGGAGAGGGACTAGAGGCCTCGCGTCGCTATGATGACATGGAACAGGCCAGGAGGTCTGGTGTCGGTTTAGCCTTCGACCATGGCAGCCTGCGCGTGGATGAGATCCTGGAGGGGTACTCTGCCATGTATAGCCACATCGTTGAGAAAGGAGACAAGCTTGTGTTCGTTCAAGGCGTTCCCGGACAGGGCGATGCACAGTTTCCCAACAACGAATTTGCCAAGTTGTTTGGAGAAGCCATTCCAGGAAGGTTTGCTCTCAATGCTGGGATGTAGAGCCTTCTTGACGGCATTTATCAGACAAGGAACGTTTGTGAAGATGGGGTTTGAGTGCTCCAATCCAAGACACAGAGATGTCGAAGACACTTTGTACAGCAAGTGATGATACCGTAGAGCCTTGATGGGGCTGTTCTGATTTGCCTTGCAGAGAATTCTCCTCCTCGTGGGACCACAAGGCATTCCATGTGCTACTGATGCGGGGAACCCGTCAGTATCTCCTCCTTGTCAGCAGAAGACTTTTGCTCGAGCGAACTGTCCAAGAGTTCAAAATCCTCAACGAGAAACTACGGGGGATGCTCGGCATGAGAACTTTTAACCCTTCATCGGTCTCGATGACTACAGAAGAGCTGATAAGTTCGATCTACGTGAACAAAGACATGATCTCGCACAAGTCAGAGCGCGTGAACGTTGTCGAAGCTTTTGGTGTCTTCGACAGGGAAACGAACTCTGTTATGGGGCAAACTCGAGAGTTCATGATGCAGGAAAGCTACCTTGCTGTCTTGGTCCTCTGTGTGAACTGTTTGCATGACAGGTGATTCCTCGTCCGGGCAATCAATTCAGCTACGTCAACAAACCGCTCGAGAGGTCTGTCACTGTTATGTCATACAGTGCATGTGATAGCAGAGGTCGTTTCAGCCAAGTATCTGCTAGATTCCAAAAGCTTCCAGGCGCCCAGTCTGCGTTCGAGTGGTTGAGGGAAGCAAGGAAGGTAACTTCACCTCCTGCCTCCTTCTCGATTATGTTCCGACGTGCATGCGCAGGAGCAAGATCTCCTGCAAGAGAGGAGTGAAGCGCGGCAGCGTTGCAAGGTCTGCGTACAGTGGCACGTTCCCCTCCTCGTCCCCCTCTGACTTTTGTCGTCTCGCAGGAGCTACTTTCTCGCCTGCAAGGGATTGTTGCGGTCCTATGAAAGACTTCGATTGACTTCCTTTGACCCCTTGACAGAAGCTGAAGAAGCTGGAAGATCAGCAGACGGGCATCGATGTGGAAACGGTGAAGGGAGAAAAAAGCTTGAGGTAATCTCCCTCCCTTCTCTCCCCTCCCCTCCTCCCCCCGCTTTCCTCTCCTTCCCCGTCCTCTTCCTCCCCATTCCCCCTTCTTTCCCAGCAGACGCCAAAGTCTCACTGCTCCCATTTGCTGCTGCCCGGCCTGTTGCTAACTCCCCCGCGTCTCTACCTGCCTCCATCTCGCTCAACTCTTACCTGCAGGATGAGGGAGCTTGAGAAGAGGATCGAGGAGGCAAGGACGAGGCAGAAGGAGGTGAATCGCAAGCGGAGAAGAAGGAAAGGCTCACGCGTGTACAGGCGATAGAGGAATTTGAGAAGCAGCACAGGAGGAGGCGAGATGCGGAGCTGAGAATAGGAAAAGTGGGAATGGCGTCACGGGCCATGGGGGGTCAGACGAGTTAAAGTCATGACGAAGGTGGGCGCGGAGCCGTTCATCTATGGTTAGTAGATAGGAATAAACGCTGGAGGACCAAACATGAAGGTCTGTGGGACGGCGGAGGTCCGATGATAGCGGGGATGGAGCAGCAGGAGGCAAGCGCTGTGAGAGGAGGAAGAGGGGAGAGGTGCGATGTGATCGATTTATACACTCAAGAGGGTTGCTAGTCTAAGAGCGTTAGGTGCTTGCACAAGTTACTTGACCTTCTCCAGCGCCTGCATGGGCGTCATGCCGGGGTTGGCAACGAGCATCTCCTCGATGGCGATGATCTTGGTGACTCCGTCGATCATCTTCTGGACGAGCTCGACCTCGGAGAACCCGATGCGCTGCTTGTTGGAAATGTCCCACTTCCCTCCTACCGCCTCCGAGTGCTCGCCCGACGACCCGCGCGGCTGCAGGTCGAAGGCATCGCAGACCTTCTCGAGGGCCTTGGGGTCCTTGTTGAGCTGGGGGATGCGGATCATGACAGAGGCGCGGAGGCCAGTGCCCAGGTTGGAGGGGCAGGTGCCGAGGAAGCCGAGCTTGTCGCTGTACATGAGCTTCGCTCCGTTCTTCTGCGCGGCCTCGGCGATGGTGTCGGAGATCTTGCAGAAGCGAGCGAAAACGGACCAGACGTCTCCTCCCTTCTGCATCGAGATGATGCGGCAGTGGTCCTCCTCGTTGCACCAGGCCAGGGCAGTCTTCTCGTTGTTGTGGAAGATGCCACGGTTGTCGGGCCACTGACGAGCAGCTCCAGCAACAGCAAGCAGCTGGGCTGGTCCTGGCTTCTGGAAGAGGAAGCCGTTGGACTGAAGCATCTCCTCCTCCTGGGCGGTGAGGTTGCCGAGAGGGTAGTACTTCCCTCGCAGTTCTCCCTGGAACATGCCGAACGCCTGCTTGAGAACGTTCTCCACCCCCTCGCGCTCCTTGGGAGTGGCGCCGCAGGGAAGCGAGAAGCCGCTGATGTTCCTCGCCGCGCGCACGCGGGTGGACTCGACGTACTGGTCGAACTTGAGCTGCTGCTCCCTGCTGAAGTTGAGGTGGAGGGGGTTGAGATCAGACCTGTGGGACTGGGTCTCCGGGTCGAACTTGTGCCATCCCTTAACGATGGGGTAGATGATCTCCTTGAAGAGGTCAAAGCACTCCTCGTCTCCTGCGGTGAAGCCGACGCCAAGATGAGGCTTCAGGACTCCGCACTGGATGGCGTTGGAGAAGGAGTAGCCCTTGGAGGAGGTGATGTCCTTGTACTTGGCGAAGAGATCTGCAGTGAGGACCTTGGACATGAGCGAGCGATGGCCCGAGTGGAAGGGAGGCAGCTCAGTAAAAGTGATGAACTTAAAGTCCTCGGTGTCCTTGGGGTCGGGCTTCGAGTTCTTCCTCTGCTCCTCCAACCACTTCTCGAACTTGGCGACTTCTGCCTTCTCCTCGGCTGACATGCTCTTCTTCAGAGTGCTCTGATCCATGAGCACATCACAAACAGCAAACTGACTATCTATTCATCCTCTTACCTTCTCAGACTTTCCTGCTTTGGACTTGGGAGCCCATGGCTCCACATCCTTCTGCAGGTGGCTGCGAACTCCTGCACGTCAAGGAGTCAGCTTCCTAACAGGTTCAATCATTGCCATGGTGGAGAAACGTCCGAGCGTGGAGGAGGAAGGAGGACAGCGGTAGCATTTCGCACTCACCATAGGCAGCAGCCAATCCAAGGCTCAGGGCGATGCCAATCTCGAAGGCAAGCTGGCGTCCCTGCATGGAATGAGCAATAGGAAGAGGACGCGCTGCTTGTCACACCTTGATGGCGTCATTCGGTCCAGATGCAAAGGTGCGGATATAGACTTGCTTCGCGCGAGAAGCATAAACCTTGGATACCAGGAACCTACGAAGGAACATTCCCTGGCGCAGGTCATCAGCAATGTATGAGTGGAGAAAGGAGCTGAATCGACGAATGCTGGTCGTCCATTTCACGCTGGCATGCATTCTATTCCGGTTTCTTGCATCATTCATCCACCACATCTTCTTTCCAGCTCACAAAATCCTTCTCCTCAAGTATTCCTTCCCTGCTCTGAACACTTTCACTTGTGTGTCATCAGTACCCCTTCATAGGTGGGTCAAAGTCAAACATTCGATTCTAGTCGTCTTGTCCCACTTCCATCTCATTGTGACATGTCTTCATCCTTCTCCTATCTACTTCCTTCCTCTCCTCTCCCCTCTCCCCTCAGCATTTTCGTCGCTGGAACTGAAATGCCCTACATCTTCTGCATGCTCTACACCCTCAAGCGATCCTGCGAGGCGGACATGCGTGTCCATGGGGGTGGGGGTAGATGCCGGGGAGGTAGCCAAGATCAAATTGCGGTAAAGACGGTATTTCAAGGGGTACTTATGTGGTAAATTGATGGTGGGGGTCCATCAATAAGGGGTGGGTGATCCCATACCAAATGACATTTCTATATTGGTTAAGTGACACACTATGACCAATGGTGACCCAAAAATTAGAATCTCAAAAAAAAATGTCGAAATCGCGGTGAGGTGCAAACCCCGAACGGTAAAACAACAAAGGAGCAACGAGAATATAGAATGTTGTGATTAAAAAAAAGAACATCCCTGCAAATCCACCTGTACAAATCAATTCTTCCGAAGTCTAAACACCCGTCTGTTTATCTATCAAAGTAGAAGTAGGGGTGGGTACCAGGTTTGTGGCTCAACAAACTTCGAATATTTCCCGCCTTCCCGCCCTCCCGCCTTCATCCGAAGTCTAATAACTACCCGTTTGTTTATCTGTCGAACTTGAGTAGGGGTGGGTACCAGGTTTGTGGCCTTCCCGCCCTCCCGCCTTCATCCGAAGTCTAATAACTACCCGTTTGTTATCTGTCGAACTTGAGTAGGGGTGGGTACCAGGTTTGTGGCCTTCCCGCCCTCCCGCCTTCATCCGAAGTCTAATAACTACCCGTTTGTTATCTGTCGAACTTGAGTAGGGGTGGGTACCAGGTTTGTGGCCTTCCCGCCCTCCCGCCTTCATCCGAAGTCTAATAACTACCCGTTTGTTATCTGTCGAACTTGAGTAGGGGTGGGTACCAGGTTTGTGGCTCTGTAAAGATTTCCCCGCCCTCCCGCCTTCTCTCCCTCCCTCCCATCCTCCCTCCCGCCTTCCATCACTCCCTTCTTCCCGCCCTCCCTCCCTCCCTCCCTCATTCCCGCCTTCCGAAGCTCCCGCGTTCACCCTGATCAAATATGGGGAAAAGGAAAAGAGGAAAACAAAGAAAGTCTTGTTCTGATTCACAGACGACTGTCAAGATGTGTTTGAAAAAACATCTCAAACAACACACAATGATCGGTGTGATTGATGATTGGGTGAAACACATAAGCAAAATAAGCCATCGAGGTAGCATCATCTTCAATCATCTATTGTTATGGTGTTTTGAGAAGGATTCAATGCAAGGTGATGATACGTACATTACAAGGCTGTTTGATCAGATATACAATCGTACTAGAAAAGTAACAGACAAAGAAAAAGAAGAAGGGATGCAAGAAGAAACGGTCAAGACCAATGGTGGAGATAAAGTTTTCTTTCGGACCTGTTTTCTGATGGGTGAAAAACGCAGAGGTAATGCAATTCAGTTTGATATTTTAGACGAGTTTTGGCAAGAAAAAGGGAACAAGTATCCACCAATACAACGCAGGAAAGAAGGGGATATTCGAGTACTGTACTATTCTGCTGATCAATATGCAACAAATTTCCAAAATTACATATTCTATACGATGGGACAAAAACAGACTAGATACATAAAGGAATGGGGAAAGCTCAATGGGATTTCTTCAGAAAATGAGATACAGGATATACGGAATACAGTAAACGGATGGAGCTTTCCACCAAAAACTCGTGTTCTCGAAAGACAGGATGTCATTGATTTCATAAGGGAACAAAAAGAGATCATTGGATGGGACAATCATTATAACTTGTCATGGACCCGTGACAAAATCAAGAAAAACCCTGATCAGCAAAAATGGATGCAATTACACATGCCAAATCTTGTCAAGTACCATTTTTCGGTTCTGAGGTTTTTGGAGATTCATGATATATCTGATCGATACACGATCGCTCCGATTTTTCAGATACGCAAACAATTTATTCGCGTAGACATTTGGGGTTTATTCTACATTATGGATCAATCTGGTCTGTTGCAATATTCAAAGGGTGGGAAAAGCAAATGCATGAAAAAGTTCACACAACAAAAACATAAGCGATTCTTGTCGGTGTTGAAGCTACAATCAAATTTGAGAAAGAAAGGGACAGTTGATAGCATACAGACTGACGGAGTCGCACTCTGTGTGACGTTCAAGAAGAGAATACACAATGAGACAGACAATACTACTACAAAGAAAAGCAAAACAAGAGATTGTGATGTGTCCTCAAGACGAGTTATTGCAATCGATCCTGGTCGCAATGTACTGATATGCGGTGTCGAGCAAATACCTGGTCAAGAAAAACCAAAGCAGTATCGATATACTCGAAGGCAGTACTATCATGAGTCTCATATTACTCGGAATAACGCCAAGTTAGAAAAATGGAGACAAGGCATAACAGAGGAATCAAACGATATTGCAAGAGTGTCAGCAAAAACGTCTCGGTTGGATCACTTTGAAAGATACATCGACACCGTGGTGAGACTAAGCGAGATCCTGTTCGAACACAATTGTCAAAACAAGTTCGCACGCCTGAAGATGGATAACTACATCCACAAACACAAGGCGATTGATACGTTCTTCAAGAAGATGAAAGGTAATGGGACAGATCAAAATCCAATAATTGCATACGGTGATGCATCATTCGGTTGTACTGGGCGTGGAGAGAAGTCAGTGCCTGTAAAATGGATCAAAAGGCGATGTCAGAACTTCTTCGAGGTGACGGCAGTTGATGAATACAGAACGACAAAATGTTGCAATCAATGTCATCAAGAATTGTATGATTTGAGACGCAAACAAATCAACAAGAATGGTATACTTGCTGACGAAGTGTCAGTGGTGCGGGGTTTGAAATGGTGCAGATCCACCAATTGTGTTCAAAACCGTATCAAGTCTCGTGATGTCAATGCTGCTATGAATATTCTATTGTGCTACATGTCTCTACCAGCACGACCAGATTTTCTGAAACGGCCTTGAATCACACATGGGTCTGGTTATACTTCAACCTGTTCTTCATAGAAAGGATGAAGTACGAGTCAGACACAAGGAAATATTGGCGTGTGGGTCTTCAATGATCCATAATTTCGACGGAAAATTTAGAATTTTGAAATTTTATGTTTTGTGTCGTTTAGCTAATATCCTCACAATCTCCCTACCCCCATGGAATGTTTTGTGTGCAAGACAATCGTCAGGAAGGCGGACAGACGAGGAAAGCGACCGATGGTTCCAGAGAGAGTGTAGGCTCGGCCTTGCCTTCTCGTGTATCTGATCAAACCTCGTCAAAACTGCCTTGACAGCATCAAGTCAAACTCACTCGAGCAACTTCTCTCGTCGTTTCTCACGAAGCTCAGTAGACTGCAGAGATTGAACAAACTCTCAGAAGATATGGAGAGGAACAAATTAACGAGCAACAAAAAGAGCAGAAGAGAAGAGAAGAGAAGAGAAGAGAAGAGAAGGCTCGTCTTCGACCTTGGCGTATGTCGCCTGCATTTCTTTCCTTCGTTCTTCATACTCGTTGTAGTTGCCCTTGTGGTGGGTCAGACGTCGGGCTATGCCGCTGATGTGCAGCATGTCGGTGCAGACAGCATCTAGAAACATGCGGTCGTGCGAGACGACGACGACGATCCTGCTCTTCCACACCTGCAGGCCAGTCGGAGAACTCAGAGAGCAACGACACGCTGAAGGGGTAGGACGAGCAGTAATGGTTTGGGGGCAAGCAGAAGTATGAGGTGGTGGTGGTGTAGGGAGGAGAAGGAGGAGGTGGTGGTCCATGTGGTGGTGGTGGTGATGTAGGAAGGAGGAGGTGGTGGAGGAGGAAGAGGAAGAGGTGGAGGTGGAGGTGGAGGTGGTGGTGGAAGAGGAGATGTTTGTTTTACCATCGAGGTAGCAAGAGTTCGCTGCAGCCACAGCACGCCATCAATCGAGAGATGGTTCGTCGGCTGCAAGATCAAAATTTCAACTTCCTGCTCCTCTTTCTCCTCCTCTCCGCCAACCTCATCCAGCAGTAGGATATCGGGCTTTGCAAATAGAGCAGCAGCGAGAGCAACGCGCACTCTCCATCCTCCAGACAGTGCCTGATCAGAAACCGTCAACAACCTCATCATTTCCCGCTCCCCCTTCCCCCTTCCTCCTGCTCCTGCTCCTGCTCCTGCTCCTGCTCCTGCTCCTGCTCCTGCTCCTGCTCCTTCTCCTGCTCTCCCTCGCACCTTCATCGGTTCATCCTCCTCCTCCTCCTCCTCCTCCTCCTCCTCCTCTCCCTCGCACCTTCATTGGCCTTGATAGGAGCTCTTCCGAGAATCCCAAGCTCACCAGCATCGCTCTTGCTCGACCCTCAGACTGCGCGGGCAAGTCAATCCCCGCCCTCCTCTTCCCCATGGAATGTTTTGTGTGCAAGACTACCCCTAAATTTATCAATTAATACCCCGTAATATCCCTATAGTAAAGATGGGGTACTACACCCCTACCCTTACATTCGACACATTTCCGTTGATCGAGGATTTTTTTCCTCGCTCAGGATCAACGGCTGTCGCCGGGCTCGGTGCTGTGACTGCCGGACCCGGCCCCCCCAACCCCCCCCCCCACCCGGGGCCGGCCCGGCCGAACCGTTGACTTGAACCGTCCGGTCCGGGTCCTGCGGCCGGGCGTACCGACGGTCACTGAATAGTTGCTGATTCAGTGACGGCAGTGAGTACCCAGTACCTGGGTACCTGGCCGGGTAGCGGCCGGCCGCCGCACAGGCTGCAGCGGGCCCGCCGGGGGGGGGAGTCACCTCCCGGCCCGGCCTTTTTATATTGTCTATTGTTATAACATTTTAGATGGATCTGATACCAGAAATGGAATTAGTACGACTTGATATTGTACCTGTTAGGCTATTTTAGGGTGATTCACTGTGTGATCTCTGAGCCAATGGCTCAAAATTTAAAATTGAAAAACCACTTTCTGAATCCACAAACTTCTACAGCCCGGGTTCCTACCTCATTCGCAACATTTTGAACCATTATCTGAAACATTGAAATTTTGGACCACAGATTCGAGATAGGTTGCCCTGACGATGGCGGACAAGAGGCATGCCCTCCCCTCCTTCTCGTGCCCGATCACCATGGAAGTGATGAGCGACCCTGTGACCTCCTGCGATGGTCACACCTACGAGCGGTCCAGCATTGAGACCTGGTTCAGACAGAATGCCTCCAGCCCCCTCACTGGTGCTGTCCTCGGCTCCAAATCCCTCCTTCCCAACATTGCTCTGAAAAATGCGATCCAAGAGTGGCACACGCAGAATGCATTGCACATAGAAAGACATGACATCGAATTCGATCAGGGCGGTCCGATATCAGCAGGTTCGTTCAAGACAAGTAGCTGTGCTCAAGGTGAGGCGAGGCGACGATGACATGACTGAAGCTGGAGTTTTGCTAAAGTTAGGAAGACACCCTCGAATTGTTCGCTTCATAGGGCAATGTGAGGATAAGGATGGTCGCTTGCTAGTGACAGAGTTTGCCGAGTATGGGTCTCTTAGTGACGCTCTCTGTCACGAGCTTCGAGGTCAGGTGTCGTTGGAACATCAGCTTGTGATGATGCAGCAGATAGCTCAGGGCATGGAACATGTTGCAGACCATGCGGTTGTGCATCGTGACCTGGCGGCGCGTAATGTGCTACTATTCAAATTTGACGTGAACGATGTGCGGAAAACATCGGTGAAGGTGACAGACCTGGGGCTGGCAACAGAGCTGAACAACCGCACTCATGCTACACTGGGGGAAGGAGCGCAACCATATCGGTACATGCCTCCTGAGTCGATTCAATTCAGACAATTCTCAGAGAAAAGTGACGTTTGGGCATACGGCGTCACCTGTTGGGAGATCCTTACTTGTGCCAAGATCCCTTACTACAACATAACACAGGACGACGGAGTCATTCAGTTTGTGTGCAGTGGAGGGAGGCTACAAAGGGACGAGATAGAAGGAGAATGCCCCGATACCCTCTGGGAGCTCATGGAAGATTGTTGGCGCACAAACCATGGCGATCGCCCCAAGTTTTCAGAGCTGGCAGTAGCACTTGGATGTCTGGACAGAGAAGAACGTATAAAGCAATTGGAGTCGAGTTTTCAGGAAGACCTTGTTCGTAAAGAGACCGAACTTGCTGCTGAAAGAGAAAAGCTTGCCATCAAACGTACAGAGTTGCATGCAGTCAGCGAGAAGCTTGCCGCTACGGAGAAAGAGCTTCATGACACCAGGAATGAGCTTGGTGCAGACAAATCTAAGCTGCGTATGTTACAGGCTGAGACGATAGATGTCAGCAACAAACTTGCCAACAGCGAGGCTGAGATTGCCATCAAACGTACAGAGTTGCATGCAGTCAGCGAGAAGCTTGCCGCTACGGAGAAAGAGCTTCATGACACCAGGAATGAGCTTGGTGCAGACAAATCTAAGCTGCGTATGTTACAGGCTGAGACGATAGATGTCAGCAACAAACTTGCCAACAGCGAGGCTGAGATTGCCATCAAACGTACAGAGTTGCATGCAGTCAGCGAGAAGCTTGCCGCTATGGAGAAAGAGCTTCATGACACCAGGAATGAGCTTGGTGCTGAGCAAGTGAAATATCGACAATCTGAAAAAGATTTGAAAGACACAAGAAAGGAATTAGAAGATATCAAGATTGTTGTTCTCAAAAGCGATGATGGGCCAGCATATAAGAAGTTTAAGTTTTGGTCTTCTGGTTTGTAGAGGATGAAATTGAACGACAGGAAGATGGGTCATACAACATACACACAGTCATTTTTGTCCTGTTTGCCTTTTATAAAAAGGTGAAAGGATTCTCAGCTTTGCCATGAGACTTCGAGCACCAAAGCAATTTTTCCAAGCGCAAAGACGAACTCTTAAACGTAGTTGAATGCAGGAGAAGTTTCCGTAAAAATCAACAGCATTAGCGCCGATTCGACGGTAGAATTTTCAATATATTTTTGTAAATTACTGTAGATCATAAGAGCATTAACATCACCGCTCATTCTGCATGCATGATTCAAGTAATACACATAGAATCTTGATTTTTCAATGTTTTTGAATTGCTGAGTAGGAAATGTCAAGACTCTTTCATCGTATGTGAGATTGTCGTTGAAATTTGCGTAGTTCGAAGACAAATTACGCTTTAGAGCTGCAATGCAATGAGATAATGGTCGTGTCCGCAAAATCGATGCATCCTTTCCAAAATAAACATAGTATAACTTTCTATGTGCAAAACTCCGTTCCATGCCTTTGCAGAAAACAATGAAAGGTTCTCCGAACTGACATTTCGTACTGAGTTTTCGGTCCATATTATCAACCTCATCGGTCACGTATATGTTATTATTTGCATATTTGCACATTACGGCAATGCTCTGGCTCTCTTGCAACAAAGGTCGTATTCTCGAGAGGTCATTGTATAGATAGTAGAATACGCTGAATCTGATCTTAATTAAACTGTAGTAGCATAGGATTATTGCAGCTGTTTGAAGGAACCTCGTCATACTCTCATAATTCCCACAGAGGTCAACAGAAAATGCAGTGATAAAAGCGAGTGGAAACCAAACCAATACAACCCTGGGTGCTGGCCGGTATAACAATATTCTTTTAAAGTACTTCCTAGGTGCATCATCGAGGTCTCCCAAGTATGCATAATCTTTAAGGCACAGATATGTGATGCATACCAGGACAAGCTGTGCGATACACACTCGGCAGAGGTAACTTGAAAGAAAAACAGCACATCCTCCTTCTCTTGTTCCACTCCAAACGTCCAACAAAGTAAGGCCAGCGAATCCAATTTCTAATAGAACAATCCCTAAACAAACCCAGAATAGAAGCTGGGGCAATGCTTCACAACAGCGCAGAAACATCAACGAAATTATCATCAACATGTAGAATTCATAAAATTTCATGTTGGCCTGATATTCAATCTCCGACAGCTTATTCGCGGAAGTCTCAGGAAACAAGTATTCATATACAGCCATCCAAATGGAACTGAACAGAGATGTATACGAGTCCATGGAATGGTCAGGCTCGCTGGTACAGGCCATCACATTCCATCTTGCTTGCTTCCACATCTTGGCCATCTTGCCTCCCGTCCAAGCTCTCAGCTAAGAAATGTCAGTTTTACTCAATTCAACAACGTATGCACGGACCGGGCCTCCGACTCACGGTACGGTCGGCACCGTGACCGGGGCCAGATGGAGTCCCGGATCTGAGTGATTGCAGCAGACAGAGACTGAAGACGAAGTTCTGTAAGGCAGTGTGACTCACACAAAGTCACATCTCACGTGACTCGTCGGGTCTTGACGCCGCCTTGGCCCCCGGGCGGCCAGTACGGCCGCTTGGCGTTAGGGAGGTGGGCGGTTATTGCCACAAACCCGTCCATTCTAGCATTTTACAATCGGAAACAGAGGGGTGGGTGGGTGCATACGGGGGAATTATAATTGGAGGATGACGGGGAAGCGGCGAAGGCTGTAAGGCTGCCTCCATACATCTTTTGACTACAGTACCCCAGGTATAGACCACCCCCTGTTCCCCCTCATACTATAGTACCCCTTCATGTGTCATCAAAGTAACCACCGTAACAATTCAACCCTTACAGAGTTCCTGTCGCCCTTCGTATCTCAGCCTCGTACTACCCCACAGGCTCTTATATGTCTCCTGCTTCAGTCCACCCCTCCTTTCTCCATCCTTCACCCCTGTTTGAGTCCACACCTTGTGTACCCACCATCTTCCCCACCCCTATTGCTGAAGTGACCCTACCCCTTTCGAAACAGCGACTGGCAACGTGATACCGAACCGTTGCAGTCTCAGATCTAACAAATCTCAGGTATCATAGGTGTTTGCCTGGTGCGGAGCTGGTTGGATTATGGCGATGATTCAAGAAAGGGGAGGGGAGAAAGAGAGTGTTGGAAGCTCCAAACATGCTGATAGCCGCATGCTCCGATCGAACAGCCTCTATGGGAAGCGCACATCTCCTTCAAATGAACGTAACCCTGATAAGAAATCTCTGGTGTTGGGCCATCACAACAACTCAGGCCAACAGCTACAGCAGTATAACCTGAACAATACGAGCGAAGGCTCCGTTGTTTGCAATCAGAACAAGAATCTCCTGAACGAAGCTCGTCTGAATCGTCATCATTCCACTGACACGCACCAACATGCACCCGACAATCAACATCTGCCCAGGCCCTCACTGAAGAGTTCCAGTAGCGGAAGCCGTTTCTATGCCAACAAGATCTTTGCTAGCATGTCTAACTTGTCTTTGACGAATCAAAACAATCATAGTGAAACGGCCACTTGCGACTCCGAAACTCATCCTTCGGGGACAGCTGAAAATGATACGAAAGGAAAGAGCAACAGTCATCCCCAAGGGAAGGGTCCACCGCTGGCTGTTCTGCAGTCTGGGGCATGCCCGTTTGTTCAGACCAAGAAGAGCAGTCACTTGCTGAAGAATGCTCTGTGTACTTTAGAATCAGTTCAACCGACACATCACGGTAACGAAATTCAGGATGACGAAGATCCAAGTTTCCAAGGTCAAGTTGAAATTCAAGGCAGTCTAGACTCCGAGCATTCTATCCCTGTCTCCTGCCAGATCACAGCAAGACATGACAACGGTGTGACGGAATCGAAACTTACACTATATGCCTGCTCCTTGAAGCTGTGTGAACTCTATCTGCAGCATGTCACGGTAGAAGCAATTCCTGGAAAAGAATTTCTTCTTCGTATCAGCACGAAATCTGTGAAGAGTCCAGCTAGTCCAGATGAAACAATATTCTTGAAGTGTAAAAGCAATCTTGAACACCTTGTCTGGATCAAAGCTCTGCAGTCATGGGGCGCTGAAATCAGATGCAGCGAGGATTGCAAGTCTCGTTCCTCCTATCCTGCGAAATCTAAGAAGAATCTGCAGTCTATTATGTACTTTGTGTTTTTTGTGTTGTTTCTTGCCATTTCTTTGCCCTGTTGCCGTAGTATTATGCTTTCCAATTCAAATTAAGGAGTTTTTTTTTATTGATGGTTTTCAGTATTCTATTCACTGTCTTTGACAATTAAATTGTGAAAAAAGAAAAATTTATTGGTTTGATAATGTACAAATTTTATACAGAGAACAATCTCTAACCTTTCTGATATGGTTTTTCATGAATCCATTTCACGGCTACCCACTTTTCACCCCTCACAGGCGGCAGAGCTGCATGGATTGTTTTCTGGCACAACAAATTCAGCAAGCGCACCTTCTACATCATAATTGAATATTTCACTGACCTTCTCAACGCAATCAGGGTCGGTGCCGGAGCAGTGCTCCTTCAAGTTGTAGAACATTAGAGCATCTCCGGGTTGAGCTGTCAACTTCAGTCCCAGCTCCGGGAAGTGTGTCTCCCCCCCTTCAAGCGCAGCCTTCATAGAGAACGTAAATGTCAAAGTCTCAGAGTTGCAAGCAACAGACTGCAATACCTCGAGGTAAACTATCACAGTGATGTATCGATTTCCCCCTTGTTCAAAGCTTTCTGGGGGATCCCGGGCAGGGTCGAAGTAGTCATAATGCTCTTGGAAGAATTGTGCTCCGTTGGAGTAATGGAGCACCTGTAGAGCACATACGATTTAAGACCAGAAACACACAGGACAAGAGCTTTGCTCGAAGCCAGACCTGCAGGTTCTCTCCTTGTTGAGGGGTGGTCTTCGTGAGCTTTCCCAAGGTTTCTTCCAGTCGACGAACAACATCATCTTGCAGGAAGTCCAGCCATGCTCCATCATTGGTTCTCGTTGTACTCTCTACAAGTTTGTGCGTCCCATAAGGCATGATCATCGTCTTGGAAAGGCCTTTGCGAAAGGCCAGGAGCATCAAATGCTCACATTCTTGCTTGGTCAACAAATTTCTGATCCTGAATACTCGCGGTGAAGCATTGATCTGCTCCAGATAGGGCAGGTTGGACTTAAGGGACTCAAGGCCTCTCAAAGAGGGTGGCTGATGGAATGAAGCATGAAGGGCATCATCCGAAGAGGGATGAAACCTCGTCGAGGGTGGAGCGGGCTTGGAGAGAGTTTCTTGTGTCAGCTTGTTTGTCTGGGATTTGAGCAGAACCATGGAGAATCCCACTGAGTACACAACCACCTGAGAACGAACAAGTAAGAAGATCTACTGACTCATGAGCTCACACTTCTCACAAATGAACCACAGATAAGACAAACCCCGCTGAACGGGGAATACTATTGCCAGGATTTCAGGACATCAAGAAGAGTTGAACTTACTATGAAGAAGAGGACAGAGAGGCACTGATGAGTCTTGACCTTCTGTGCTCTCCCCTTGACCGGTCTGATGTCGTCAAACGCCGTCACCTTGCTAGCTCGCAACATTTCTCTCTCGCTTCTCGTCGCCTCCTCCCTCCTTCTGAAATATCTCCACAAACTTTCCCCACCCCACCCCTCCATTTCCATTTTTGATTATAGTGATGGGGGGTACTCGTGTGTCAGCGGCTCTTCGAGAAGGGGTTGGCGTGCTGGAGCAATGTGAGGGATTTTGCGATGAACAAAAGAAAAAACAGAAACTAAACAGCATATGCTCTACGGTCAAAGGAAGCCAAAGGGGTCCCTAGCGCATAGTACAATACGGATGATGATCCTATCACATAAAAATGATACTTTAAAAACTGTTGGATTCTCGTTACGCTGACTGTGTTCAAGCTGGCGTCTGACGCCAACGTTGGCTGGGCTGACATGATGGTGCGGGCTGAAAGAGGGTCTTTTTTGCCTCTTTTACAGTTCAAAAAAAAATGGAATCAATAATGGCAGCGACCAGCCGGATCTTAGTTAGCAGTATAGAACGATCAACATGCATGTGACGAAGTTGAGTAGAGCTTGAAGCACTGCTCGTCATGCTAAGGAGGTGCAGGAATGCAGAAGAAGAGGAAAGCAATCTGGGGTAGCTCGATACGTTTCCAATGGCTGTTACATTCTTCATTAGATAGCAACACTGATATTCACAGCGATGGATGTAGACGACTGCTCATGATTGGTCTCGCAGGCTAGAATCTTCATATGGTCTCGTCATTGAAGAGATTTCGACAAGGAAATACAATCATATGGGTGATGGTCTTGTGCATTCCGTGCGTTTCAAGTTTTGCAAGTCTGAAAACGACCGGTCCTTCCGGAGCTGTGAGGGTGAGGAGGAAGCTAGTCAAGTCATTGTATTGCTTGCGTCCTAAGACGAGCCGAACCTCGATGTACATGGACCGTCTGAAAATGAACTCAGGAAACAATCAGGTTCTTCGAAATCCTGAGGGACATGAAGACATTGACTCTCTTTCGAAGGAACCGGAGTCAATGAAGAGGCGGAATTTCATCGTCCTTTGCCATGACGTGATATGCTGCAATTCAAACAGAAGAGCAATGTGACGGATGTTGTTGAGTGACTGCCCGCAGGTGAGCGAAGAGGTGAGCAGAGGAAGTTTCGCGCCAGACAACTTGCTTGAGGGGAGAGTCGACGTTCTTTGTCGATGCGTCACGTCTGCACTTTATGTCTCTAACAACCTTCGACGGTGCATGAAGGATCTGCTTCTTTAGCTCACTCATCAACATTGTTTGCAGCGACACCAGTATCTGGTTCTTGCTCAGTCCATGGGGATATAGCGTACAAGTTGATGGCGATGCGGTATAATCCGCAGTGCTGTTACGAATGAGAACGTTATGATGCCGGTGGGTTCAAGGTGTCTGGACTGAATCCGGACGAGAAAACTGTTTCCTTAATGTACTCCTGTGAAATTCAATTCTTATTCGTTTAATTGATGCTGAATAATGATTCTTTGCTTTCACGCAGGCTCCAGGTTTACATAGTATACCTTCAAAGTTAAAGGGGATAATCTTTCTTCAGAGATGTTTGCAGGTTCAAGACTTTCAGGACTTCGAGGCCTTTGAGGCCTTCCATCTCAAGGTATGAATCAGTCCTGCTTACATTTCAATGATATACCGTCCCAGTTTTTGATGGACGATAATCAATCACCTTCAATAAAAAGCGGACGACTTGCTAAGTCAAGCCGGTTCTGAGCATAATGTTCTTGCGTGCTATACTTGGAGTGATCTGGTTCTTCAGCAATCAACAAGAAGCGGATGAGAGGAGGATCAAAAGTTGGTGCCTAGCGATGACTCTAATTGCTAAGGGCTTGCTTGTGATTGGAATGCACCACTGCAGGATTGAAGGGCATGATCAGAAAAGGAGTCACTGTGCATGAAGGAAAGGTATTCGCGCCGCCAGGTGAGCTGAAGAAAATTCAAACAGCATCACTTGAATCTATCATCCACATTCCTGAGCGATGAATGCTTATCATGGATGGAGCAGGGTTCACTTTTCATCGGGAGGACTCCCTGCTTGCCCGCATTGAAAGCTTGAGAGCGACGACCAATGATGTCTATGTGCTTGTGAGTGCATCAGCAATGACATCTTGGATGAAGCTGATTTCTCCTCAGCAAGAAAATGGACGATTCGTGCGAGATCTTCTTGATAGCAAGTCGTCACTTTCTGGTACAAGTCAGGTTTGATACGACAACAAGGATAAACTTCTGGATAAAATTGTTTAACATCAGGGTTCTGGAGTGTTCATCATAGGAGATCAAATCGGATTCAGCGCGGAAGAGGTTTGAACGCTTCATAATACACACAATACAGAAACTGGATGGCACAAGCTAACCCTTGTTGTGCTGCAGGAGAAGACTCTCAGCGGGGTTGAGGGGATAGAGAACATATCCGTGGGCCCGATATCCCTTCTTGCCAGTCAGTGCATCACCATTATCCATCACTATCTAGATCTGATGAGCAAATGAAATATATGTAGCTATCTTCTCTTCACAAGGGCTGCTCCCACAGCAAGAGCGACGCCAGCCGCTGCTGCAACTCCTCCTGAGAAGACAGCGAGGCCGATTGCTCCCTGCAAGATAACGATTGAAGATAACATCAGTTGTCTACCAAAGCTTCACATCTGCTGCTCACTTCTTTTCTTAGAACATGCTCGATGAGAGCCTTCAGGTCTAGCGCAGGTTTGTTATTTGGGTCGATCGCCAGAAGCTGTAGACAAGTCACAAAGTTCTTCGTATGGTTGATCATCGATTATAGGAAACCAACCTGCTTAAGAGTATTTCGTGCGAGCATATACATCTCTAGGCGATATCTGCATATACTTACTTCCTGTGTGAAAAGGCGAGCAAAGCTTACTGGGCAACAGCAAGGTAATAAAGAGCCTCCCTTTGAAGAGATTTGATTTCTGCCAACTCTTGAAGAAGCTAGCCAACAACATTCTTCAGAAAAAATATTTCAGCATAGGTTGTTAATACCGTGATTCCTGTTCGAATCTCTTCATGGTCTTTCATGTAGATCAAACACCAGGCATAGGTGAACTTCTTGTTTTCCAGCTGAAACCACTGGTTTCAGCATCGCATTTTTGCATGTCTTGAAGTACGAGATACATGCCTCACACATTAAATCACGAAGCAAACTCGTGAAAGACGAAATGAGAAAGTGACATCAAACAAGCTTCGCACCAACACAAATCTAACTGAATCGCCTATGACAACATGGGGTTTCCAAATATGTGACGAAGGCCGCATGCGGCAGGGAAGGGGAGGACAAGGTCACCTCTTCTCCCGTCTCGAGAGCTGTGAAGTACGCAGCTCTCGCTCGTTGCAGCTCCTCCTTGGGCTCCATCTTTCCCTCCGCCTCCATCCTTTCTGCCGCTACCCGCCGGTCCCCTTCCATGTTGTGTACGATTCGTAACGGTGCTGCAACGTATATAGATCTATAACGTAGATCCAACGGTCATGGGGAGGGTACGTAACGACTTTTTAACGTTTTTTCGAAATCGGTTGAGCAACAATGGCGGCGGTAATGCAGCCGATCAGCAGCGTAAGTGACGCAAGAGGATGACACATGCTGTGTAGAATGATCGATGAGATGCCATGCCATACATGATAAGCTTCACATGCTACGTGCCTGATGCCTCATCGATCACGCATTCTACTTCCCCTTGTTTACATCAACCCGTGAATTCAACTCGTTACCTCTTCAACCGATGGAATTCGAAGCAACCATTGAATGCGGAATTTACAGAAGGACAATGACGACGACATTTATGAAGGCTTCGACAACCCCATGACTTCAGCGGTAATGCAGATCTTCTTGAAATTGAGTGGTCTGACTTTCGTGAGCAGATGCAGTACATGAATTTCGAGTCGGCGCAAGGCGTGTCAGCTCCTATGCAAGCAGCATCGATTCTTCGGGCGCAAGAGAAACGTGATGACAACATGCCCTCAGCAACGGCATGTCTGAGAACAGACGATGACAGGTCTGGGTACATCGCGATTGGGGACTGCGGCTCAGCGACAAGGGACTGCTCGCATGGGGACGGCTATGAGAGGTGATCATCGAATGTTGTGGGTCTGCTGCTCACTTGCAAGCCAAGGCTATCAAGGAGGAGAAGAAGCCAGACCCATGACCTCGATCAGAGCTGCTGGTTACACTTCACAGGGAAAACCAGGGTCGGCAGGTTTCATTTTGTTCTTGTGTAGCGTGTATGAGACTGAAACAATCAAGGGATGAATGCGTTTGCGAGTGCCGGCGGAGGATCGGCTCCTCCTCTGGTGAACATCTTGGATGGTCATCATCGATTCATTGCTCACTTATCGGAACAGGAGAAGAAAGACGCTTCCTCGCCCGAGGACGAGGCAAGGGAGCTGGAGAAAAAGGTAATGAAATCCATCGTGTGCAAGCTCTGATCATGGAGGGAAGGTGAACAAGTTGTTAGAGGACAGTGCAATAGCAAGGAGCGAGAACAAACTGCAGCTCGCCCTCGACCTGGTACGGAGCGATGGTGATGGGTAGTGTTGATTTTTGACGTTCATCAGGCCAAGGAAGCAGCTCGCAAAGAAAGGCAGTTGGGAAAACTGAGGGAGCAGAAACAGGTGAAGATGATGGCATTGATTTCGCAGCTGTTGAATGTCTTTCAGCTCATGGATCAGATGAACATCGATCTTACATATGCGGTGAGTCGAATACCAGTCAAAGACCTGTAGGAGTCCAGCAGCATTGCTGATGTTGTACCGGCGTTTAGGTTTACTTCAACCTCGCTAGCCAGCTGGAAGCAAACGAATATTGGCCTGAAGCTCTCAACTCTTACTCTCTCATCGTCAAGAACAAGCAGTACGCGAATGCAGGACGTCTGAGGATCAACATTGGCAACATCTACTTCAAGCAGCAGAAATATCCAGCAGCTATCAAGATGTATCGGATGGCTCTTGACCAGATCCCACACTCAGGAGAACACTTGCGGTTCAAGATCATGCGCAACATCGGCAATGCTTTTGTTAGGATGGGAAATTACCAGGTGGGATATGAGAGAAGAAACGTAGACTTCAAGCTTCTCCTCACCGACTTGATAGGATGCGATCATGTCATATGAAGCCAGCATGGAGGGAAAACCAGATTTCCAGGTGAAACCTATCCGAAGCTGTTTCTGTAGGCAAAGTTCTCACGGTTGTTGGTTCTTCAGTCTGGCTTCAACCTCATCGTCTGTTACTTTGCCTTGGGAGACAGAGAAAAGATGAAGCGAAGCTTCGCAAAGCTGGTTTGTCTTGATGTTGTTGATGTCCGTGACTAACATTTTATCGAATAGCTTGACATCAAGGATTCCAACTTTGGTGAGGAGAATGATGATGATGAGGCCAACGAAGACGAGGATGAGGACGGTAAACGAGGCCTGCTGCGATGCTAGTTGTTGATCAGTTTGTAGAAGCTGTGATGGAGGAGGATGAGCTGAAGAAAGCGCACAAGGAGTATCGATCAAAGGCGAAGCATCTTGTGCTGCAGGCAGCAAAGCTCATTGCTCCGAAGATCGAGAAAGACTTTGTCGCTGGGTTTGACTACATCATCGAGATGCTGCAGAAGAGCCATAACTACATGGACGTTGCGAGCGACATGCAGATCTCAAAAGCGATCTACTTCTTGAAGCAGAAGAATTCCAAAGACGCCAAAGACAGCCTCATCGCATTTGAAAAGCAAGACAACAACGAAATCGATGCCACGACCATGAGCAGAGCTTACACCAACCTCTGCTTCATCTACTTCCTGGAGGGAAACATCAAGGAGGCAGATAAGTACGGCACTAAAGCCATTCAGTCTGATAGATACAACGCCAAGGCCCTTGTAAACAAGGGCAACTGTGAGATGAACAAGGCCTACGCGTATGAGGAGAAGGAGAAGTACGACGAAGCGAGAGAGCACTTCACCATGGCCAAGGAGCTCTACATGGAGGGCATCGGGGTTGAGGCGGACTGCATAGAAGCGATCTTCAATTTGGGTCTCTGCTGCAAGAGCATGGCGCATCTCGAGCACATGCTTCAGAACGACTTGGACTACCAGAAGAACATCCGGGCGGCCCTGCAGGCCTTCGAGAAGCTCTACTCCATCATGCCGGACTCCCCCGAGTGCAACTACAACATCGCAGTCATCTACGACGAGCTGCAGAAGACTAAGAAAGCCTCCGTCGCATACCAGAGGCTCATCGCCCTGGTCCGCCCTCTTGTCCTCTCCCGCCCCCTCTTTCTACCCTATCCTTGTCCTTCCTTCTCCTCGCCCCTTCCTCCTGCTTCCTCCCCCATCTTCCCTCTGCAGCGACTGACTCTGCCACCTGCAGGTCAAGACGGATGCTGGCGTGCTTGCTCGCTACGGCAGTCTGCTGGCGAGAGAGGACGACGAGGCGGCGGCGTACGAGAACCATCACGAGTCGTACAAGTTCTTCCCCGTCGACATGGAGGTCATCTCTTGGCTCGGCGCCTACTTTGTCAAGTCGGAGATGTACGAGAAGGCCATGGAGTACTTCCAGAAGGCCGCGCAGATTCAGCCCAAGGAGGTCAAGTGGCGGCTCATGGTGGCCTCCTGCTACCGGCGCATCGGCTCCTACCAGCTGGCGCTGAGGACATACGAGGAGATTGAGAAGTCTCATCCCGACAACCTCGAGTGCCTGAACTACCTGGTGAGGCTCTGCAAGGAGCTGGGGATGAAGGACAAGAAGGAGGAGTACCAGAGCAAACTGGCCAGGGCCGAGCAGGAGCAGGCGAAGCTTGCGTCCATGAGAACGATGCAGGACGTGTCGAGCATGCATGCTCAGCAGGAGTTCAATGGAGGAGGAAGCCGTCGGGACGAGGGATATGTAGGCTACGGAGAATTCCATGCTCGAGCACCGGAGACAGACTCGCTGATGCAGCAGGGGCAGATGGACGCGGCTGCTGAGGTTGCTCGAGCCGTCGCGGAGCGGCAGGCGGCAGGAGGAGCCAAGAAGGTGATCAGCAAAGCCAAGAAGGAAGAGGACGACGACTGGGGCGACGAGGAGCTGGGAGAAGATCTGCTGCCGATGTGATTGAAAGTTTTTAACACCAAGAGGAATGGGTCAGCCCCGCATGCACACGAAGTGCAGCGGAAGGCAACCGCTCGAGCCCTTCCCGATGATCCTCCTCCCTTCCTCCATCTGCCCTTGCATGTCAGCTCCTCCCTCTCCCTCCTTCTCCCTCTCCCTCTCCTCTTCCTCCTTCTCCCTCTCCCTCTCCCTCTCCTCTCCCTTCTTCTCCCTCTCCCTCTCCTCTCCCTCCTTCTCCCTCTCCCTCTCCCTCTCCTTCTCTTCCTCCTTCCTGCATCTCCTCACCTTCACGGCTGCCTTCACCGTGAGAGGTGGACGAGACTCTTCGGGTGACGAGGGAGGGACGAAAAGATCCTGCGCAGCATGAGACAGGCAGAAGGGAGGAGGCAGCCTCGTGCCTGAAGACTGAGAGCTCCTTCCAGCGCTGAAACTCGTCCGCACTTGCCTCCTCTCTCCTCCAGCAGCAGCACAGCTCGGCATGACAGATCGACGTCGCAGAGTTTGACGCAAGAAGACAGCTCGAGCGAAGTTGCTGTTTCCCACCTCACCTGCAAGAGCGTCAGCCCTCGTGCCCGCGCTCTGCTGGGGAGGAACCGAGATCCTCGTGCCCTCCGAGTTGACGTGCGACGTCTCCGAACCATCGGAAAAGGAGGAGCGACTGAGAGCAGCCCACATGTCGAACGATTCCACCATCATCCTCCCGTCCACCTCCACCGCCAAGCTCGACGAGCTGGGTGCTCCTGTCACCGAGAAGGAAACAGAGTCGAGAACCATGCTAGAAGTTCCCTCCTCCTCCTCCTCCCCTCTCCTCCCCTCCTGCTCCTCCAGGCTCTCTCCTGTCTCTGCCAAGATCGCCTCCATCTTGTACTGGCCGGGCTTGAGCCCGAAAACTCGGACAGTGCCAGAAGAGGACAGAGGAGCCTCAACGACGAGCTGACGTCCAGCTGAGATGAGGATGGAGGCCTGCATGCCCCACGGGAGGAAGGCTCCCCAGACCTGCACCTCCACCACCTGTTGCTGGGGGTGAGCTGGGAAGGAGCAAAAAGTTGTTTTCTCACATCAAGCAGAGCGTCTCCTCCTGCTGGTCGCCAGATGGACAGGACAGGAGATGTGCCGCAGCAGAGGAAGAAGGGAGGAGGAGGAGTGACGTTGAGCAGAGAAGCGTCGATCATTCGCTGCTCGATCACAAACAAGCTAACCTCCCAAGTCAGGGTCAGCTCGCCGAGCAAGACCCAGCTAGGACCCACCTGAAGTTTGACGTGTCATTGACATTGGGAGGGTTCCCAACTCCGGGAGGAACGACGATCACAGCAGCCCGGCTCATGATGATCTGCTGGCTGTCAAGTTGCCGCTGCTGCCCCGCAAACTCCCACCTGCTCCACAACAGCTTCTCTTGCGGACTCATCCCACCTGTTCGAGGAGGGGAACCTCTTCGACCCCAGGCTCTCTTCTACGAACCTGGTGCAGAGTTGAGCAGGAGGAGGAGGAGGCCAGCAGCCAAGCACATCATATCTTGCTCGTTGCCACAGTTTGTAGCGAGGAAAATGCCCGACAAGTCGAAACCGGCGATGACGTCTTGAACGAAACCAACCTATGAGGGACGGAGAGTGAAGAGAGGGAGAGAAAGAGCGGAAGAGAGAGAGGAGGATGTTGAGAGGAAGCAAGTGACAAGGCAGGAGGAGGGAGGAACCATTCTCTCCGGTGCAGTGAGCGCGACATCAACGTGGCCATGGATGTGCATTTCTTGTCGATACGCGCGATCACCTCGTCGCCAATGGATGGCAAGATACTGACCTTCTTTAGTCCAAGGAACAAGGAGGAGGGAGAGAGGAAGGGAAAGAGGCAAGGAGGGAGGGAGGGATGGAGGGAGGGAGGAAGGGAGATTCATGTGATAGACAGGAAGGAGGAGAGAAAGAGGGGAGGAAACCTGTCCAAGTCCATTGGAAGGATTCAAACCTCCACTATCAAGATGAGACAGTCGCGTCAAGATTCAATCCAGCCAACGCATTGCAAAACTCACAAATGTGCAGCGATGAAGTCTTCTGCTCTACGAACGAGATCCTTTGCCCAACTGAACGCCTTTCGAATGTCCCACCGAACCTACAACAATCAGAATCCGCTGGAAACTTGACCAGAGTGACTTACGTCGGACTGTCTCCAAGAGGGAAACCTCAACTCAACGAACTTGGCAGGCATGAACTGAGCATGTTGTTATCCGACATGTCGCTCATGATTCACAGACCTGGATTGCAACAATCTCACCCTCAACCAGGAGATTGAGAAAATCGTCGATTGATGAAAACTAGACAAAAAGAATCAGTTTGAATGCACTTTACCCTGAATCCCATTCCATCCCTCTCTCCCTCCCTCCCTTCCTCCCTCCGGCCTCACCTGCCAAGGAGACAAGCACTCGACAGCAGAAACGGAGAATTTGTAGCCGTAGGAGGTCACGGAGGCAGCTTGTCGATCGCAAGCAGGCAGACCAGGTCCTTGAAAGCGCAGGAGGCGATCTACCCGCCCTCCAGCCCGTGAGTGAAAACCTCCGAGGGGTTCGATGTTGGACCCGAGGAGCTTCTGCAGAGGATCGAGGAGGAAGAACGAGCTGAGCGGCTCCTGAACGAGGCCGAGAACTCCCTCATGTATGACTTCGTTCTTGGCCTGCTGGTTGTTGTTGGAGCTTTCGAACCAAGTCCAATTGCGCGCACCGAAGCTGTACTGAGGCTCCACCAGCACTCGCTCAGCCATGAGTGCGAGATAGACCAGCTCTTCCATCCTACGAGTCTGCATGTTGAAGAGAACATCTGTGTTCGGATCTGGCGATGATTCTAAGGTGAGCAGGACAGGTCGCGGCTGCGCTTGTGCACAGAGTGCGCATAGGAGAAGCACGGTCTTCAAAGCGATGGAGCCCATCACAGCACAAGATATTGCTCTCTTAGTCCTCGTGCACTGGAATCTGAGAGAACCTGTATCCTTCATATCCCCGGTATGCACAATAAGAAATGAAAGTGACGTAGGATCCGGGCAGGAAAGCAAGGGTGCCTAGGATAATGAATGTGAGCGCTTGCTCCTTCCAGCTTGTTTCTGGCCACCAGTACGCTGAAGGAGCACACGAGGGCATGAGGTTGAAACGTTAACGACAAGTCAAGGTCACCTGAATCAATGTGCCCAGTGCAGATAAGCACTCCTACGGTAAGCAGTGAGGCTCCGGTGAGGAAGAGGAAGAAGGCCAGGAAGATTGCCCTGGCAAGAGAGCTCATCCAGCAGCTCTACCCCATCGCTGCCTCTCTACCTGTATGGCGGCTCCTCCACTATGAGCTCCTCGCCATCGACGTACTCCACGAACCCCTGCCGCCTCATCCCGCCATCGATCGGACGAACTGTCGAAATGCCGAAATGCTGTCGGACGGATGCTGGGCTGCGCGGGGACGAGGTCAGAATCTGAGTGGGGATGAGGGCCATGAGGTGCAATGGCAAGAGCGCATCTAGCGATGGCAGTCCTGATGGCATCGGCCGCCTGGCCGTCAGCGACAAGCGGCGGCAGATGGGAGGAGATGGAGAGGCGCATGCTGTACCTGAGGTGAGGGGGAGGAAGGGAGATCCTGCTGGGTTCCTGCTCAGAGATCTGCTGCAGAGGTGGTCACGACGTCGACGACAGGTTCTGGAGCTTCCCGACCATAGAAAGGTCAGCATGCAGCGAGAGCGACAGACATCGCTGACTGACGTCTGCTCGCAGATCAAAAGTTAGCGAACCAGAGGTGTTTGATCCTGAGGATGATAAGACTTGCTGATGGCAATGATGTTTTTGTAGAAGAAATCAACCCGATGCCATGTCAAGAAAGCGCAGAGAGAACCGAAGATGAATACTCCAAATTTGAGACTTGCGAGGCTTCTCTGGTGGAGACAAGAATATGAAAAAGCAGAGGAAAACTACTTGAAGACTTTATCTTGGAGCAGAAACGGTAAGGAGAGTTTGCGGGAGCGCCTTCACTCAGATTACTTTTTCGAACTCGCTCAGAATCAGACAGTCACTCGATCAAGTTCTGTGACGGAAGCTTCTGGTCTGCCGTGAGGTATTGAAGACAAGCATAAGATGTGATAGGTCTGCTGAGAGGTTTTTTGTGCTCTGCAGACCTCTTTCGGTATCTTCACATTTCAACGATGAAGCCGCGATTATCAGCGAGTTCTCCATGTTCTTGTACGAAAAGCAAAGGTGCCCAAGGACCAGCGAACGTCTTCTGAGGTGATGATGAAGTCACCGATGTGGACATGTGAACAGGAAGACTGATCATCGCATGCGTCGCTAGGATGGTGCTAGAGGCAGATCCGATGTTCACCATCGCGATTGAATTTCTTGGAGACATCTTAGAGACGGTAGTGACCGCACGCGAGTCCATGGAGGAAGTGAGAGCGAGTGACTGCAGGAGGGGCGATGGGATGAAGCAGAGGCCTTTTACATGCGGTGAATCCTCCTGCTCCCAAACGTTTCGAACTGAATGTCTTCACTTCAAGAGCTCCCGGCCACACGGTTAGCAAGGAAAGAGATGAATCCAACAGCAAGTTTGTGATTGTCGACCCTTGCCCTGCGCATGCGACTTATCTTACAAGGTGTGAACTGATGTTCGATACCATGCAAGCCCTAAAGACATTACGATCAGGTTGGCAAGGGTGTTCAGACGATCGAATTATGTCGATCTTGCGATGGAATACTTGAGGGCAGCCCTCACATTCAAACCTGATCATTCTCCTGCACTGCAACTGCAGGTAAATTCCCTCCTCCACATTTTCATCGTGTCCTTGATAGAAGTCGAAGGGCGTCTGTCACTTAGACGTCGATGAACACATGTTGGCGATCAAGTGCTTCGAAGAGGTGTCAGCTTATAGTGCTCCTTCCATGTGATGTGATGTCAGGCTTTGTCGCTCTCTCCTTCTTCTCTGGATGGTAAGCTTGCGATGGCTGAAGCAAAGAAAGGTTTGAATCGTTCCTACTATCACTTTAGCTTGAGATGATATCTCGGCTCGGTAGAGACTGGACAGTTCCAGGAGGTTGAAACCTTGTTCAAAGAGGCTTGCGAGAAGGAGGAAATTTGCAATTACTAATAGATCTGCAATTCTGATTGGTATGTCCGATGCAGATGGTGTACAATCCTTCTTCTTCTGCTCTAGACTTTGTAAGGTCTCTCCAGCTGAAACGTGATGAGATGCTTTTGTCGACGCCAGTCTGACGTTTCGCCTTGCAGGAGAAACTCTGGAATCGTATCATTGGAAACCTCTGTACAAGTACGCTGTGTACGCTCAGAGACACAAAGATGATATCGAACTTGCGTCTGTCTTGTTCGAGAAGGCGTATGAAGCAGCGCCGCATAATGCCGAAGTTGGTCACAAGCTGTCTTTGCCTCTGATTCATTTACATGTCATGTCAGTTGCTGGTTGGCTACACTCTATTTTGCATCCAAACTCCAGACAAGGAAAGATTTTGTTTTGCTGATGAGCCAAGAATTGTTCCCCATCATATACCATCCCATCCGAATTCCTTCCCTCTCCTCCCTTTCCTTCTCTCCTTTCGAATTTCCTAACATACCACTACAGATTTCAAAGGCAGAGAAGCTGGCTTACAAAGCCTACCAGCTACACCCGAAGGACCAGAACGTTCACAAGATCCTTGCCAATCTTCACCACAACCTCAACGACGACCGGTGATCAAACATGATTCATCTTCCCGTTGTAAGAAGATTGATCTCAGCTCGGCCATGAAATCTCTGCTCAAAGCGCTGTGGCTGGAACCCAACGATCCTATCGCCCTCAATGATGTTGGCCATCTACTTGCAACTCAACACAAGTACGAGCATTGACTGCTTCATGTCTTTGAACGCTCTCTCTTCTTTCTCTCTACTATTGACCACCCTGTACTTCACTTCTCCCTACTCGTTCTCTATGTGATTGTTTGTGACTTCATGGTAGCTATGACGAGGCAAGAAAGCGGTTCGAGCAGGCGAGAAGGGCGAATCCTCTCTATGTGCAGGCAGACATCTCCCTAGCAGCGCTCTACCTCGCCGTCGGTCAATATGAAGATGCGATGAAGTTTCGTGCGAGAGCTGAAAAGGTGATGGAAACATTGACGTGTACGTCTTAGTCCAGCTCTGGTGCTTTGGTACCTCGTCCTATGATGGTTGTTTGTCGGCAGCCTTGACTGCTCCACTCGTGTCTCTCCCTCACGTGCCCTCCTTGCAACGATTACAACGTGATTGACTAGTTCAGTAGACTGCGCCTGACTGCGCCCCGATGGAATTTGTCGCTGGTCTGGCAGAGCAGTATGGAGCTAAGTTCGGGGCGAGAGAAGGAGGAGGAGGTGTGGAGGTGGGGCTGGGAGAGGAGAAAGCGAGTAAGAAGCCTTGTGCTGAAGAAGGTAAAATGGTGAACTCTGCCTTGGTAAGTTCTACGGTGAGTTGGTAGAGGATGTGATTTGTGTGTCAGGGAGCGGTATCGATGGGAGATAGCAGCGAATGAACGGAGGAGAGGAGCTGACTTGTCGTGGAGATATCATATTTGTAAGTTGATGTATTGAAGTAGATGTAATTGATGTAGTGAAGACTGAGAGTCAAACGTGATTAGAGAATACCAGGAATGAGAAGAATTCGCTTAATACTATCACTTTCTGTCACATCACAATCAGCTCGATCTCACATCGTTGGAAATCTCTGAGAAGAATTCGATTCTTGTTACGAGTTGGTTTCTGCTACAAAACGCTGCTGAAGATGTCAGCAAGACATTAGGATTTAAAAGCACATGCTGACAGCATCATAGCCAGTGATTGTGTGCTGGTGAAAAGGAACAGATACATTCTGATAGCTAAACAGATTAAACAGCTCAAAAGCCCTAACACTCAGCTGTGTATTTACACCAGTCCCAGTTTCCATGCTAGATAAGATCGAATACTCTTCTTCGACATCTTGACGTCATCCCATTCGCTGGATGTTATCGCTACAATCTTATACCCCACACAACTCAGCAGGTATCTCTGCAGCTTCAGCTCTCCTTGTTGACTGCCTGCTCGCCTCACTCGCGCGTTACCAGCACCAGCACCAGCAATATGCCTGTCCTCGCCGTGATACTGTATCAGCCATGTCTTGTCTCTGCTCTCCACAAACAAGTCGATGATGTAACCTGTTTGCTGGCAGATGGGGTTTTGCTGGACAAACATCCCCATCTCATCGAGAGCTTGTGTGAGGTCTGACAGGACAGGAATTGTCTTCAACGTCCTCAAATTCCATCGTACAAAGTCCGACTTGAGGTTGTCGCCATGAAGCGATGACAGTCTCTTGGCATCGGCACACAACTCGCTGTCGAGCTCCGGGCAGAGGCGGCAGGTGAGGAAGAAGAGGTGGAGCTTGCATCGCTCGAGGAAGGTGAAGGAGCTGAACGAGCGACAGACGGACGAGGAGATGGGGCCGAAGAGCATCTTGATCACGCTGTTACAGTGATAGAGGACGGAGATTGACCAGGCAATCTGAGCGACTTCGGAAGCCCTCAAGTCAGAGATGAGAGCTGAGACCTGTAGGGAGAGCGCAGCAATGAGGATGTTGCCCGGGTCTCGTGCAAATGTTGCATGTGCCCAGAGCACGTTGGAGATGTCGAGAGAGTCGAAGCGGGAAGAGAACTTGGATGCAGCCAACTTCAACTCCTCGAACAGCTCAGAATGGGGTATGACCTCAGTCTTGGCAAGGGAGGCAAACATCAACGACACCTCCTTTGATGAAAGAACCTCCGACAGTTTCTGTTTGGCAAGAAGAGACCCGAGGGAAGAAAACAGGCTACTCGTCGAGAGATCGTCCAGATCGGCAAGGGCATTGAAGATGATACATTGAGTTTCTGTGTCGTACATGTCTACTCGAGATGAGATGAAAACTTGAATCCTTGAGAAGAAAGTTGCATCTGATACATCAAGCTGGGAGAGGCTGGAGACGATGCTTGCTGTCTGTTGAGCGTCGAAGTATGATAGCGACTGCAAGATCTCCTCCTTCATGGTGTTCCATCCTGCTTCATCGAGCTTCTTTTGAGATTTGGCGAGAGCAGAACAAACTTGACAGAGAAGGTGTGAGTTGTTCTCGCCATGCAGAACTACCGAGCTTGACGAGAGAGCTTCAACTATCTCCGCTGAAGGCTCAAGTCCCATCTGTGAGAGACACCAGATGATACTACAGACTTCATAGAAATCGTACTTGGCAAGGTGCCTCAATATCTGTCCTATCAGCTTGTCCAAGAAGAGCTGCTGCAATCGCCCATGGAAGGCTGCCATCGCTAGGATGATGTTGAGGACTGTCTTGGCACTGCAATCCTCCATTCTCCAAACAAGTTTCTCCTCCAGCGCCTTGATCGACTTGCCATCTGGCACGAAACCAAACTTTGCAGAAGAGAAGAAGATCATGGAAAGGCACTCGGTGTCACAGGCATCATCTGCTATCGCGCGCTTCTCGAGAATGTCATGAGCCTCTGAGCTGAGAGGAAATTCAAACGACGCGAGGGCGAAGAGAAGGCGAGCGAGCAGGTTGACGTTCGCTGACGATACGTGCTCCTCCACCTTGTCTCGACACGCACCGAGCATCTCATCGTTTGGCTTGGTAGGCATGACCTCGTAAGAGGACAAGATGCTCAGCAAATCTTGCAGAGAGAAGAAGTCTTTGAGTTCCATCGCCTTGTCCTCCAACGAATGAATGAAAGATAAATTTGGGCAACGCGGAAGAGCCTTGAGAGATATGAAGATGTCAACTAAATCTCCTCTTGACAACCTGAAGGATCTCTTGCGGATGAGATGTAAAAGAATTTCGAAGAATTCTTCATGAGAATCAACATCAAGATTGCAGATAATCCAAAGCGCAAGACAAAGACATTTTCCGTCCATATCTTCTGTTTGCTCCAGAACTTTTTTCTTAAGATGAAGCAAACATTCTCTCCCGAGAGTGTTCCGATACACAGAAAGGGCATAGATCAGCGACAAGAATTTCATGCTCGGCAAAGAATCAATGGACTTGATTGCCCACTGCTCAATCTCATCCAACACGTTGTGGTGTGCATCTATGTTGATGCTGCAGAGACACATGAACAAGGAGCAGATTTCCGCGTAAGAAAGGACCTCCTTCCTCTCCTCTATACTCCTTTCCAACGACTGCAGGATGACCGAGCCGGGATGATAGTCAAGACGGACAAAGTCGTAGACGGCCTCGCAGATCTCCGAAGGGCTAAGAGAGCTCAGTACCTTGCAGGTCCTGTGCTTGATCGCCTGCATTAGCGCAGGTCCAGGATTCTCTCTCATCTCGGCAAATCCGAAAAGAAGGTCTTGCACGTCCCTGGCTGGCGCACTCGCCAAATCCGTCATGGCGCGGTCCTGGAATGCTGGCAGCAGCTTCACCCATTCGGGGCTCGCCGATCTTTTCAACGAAGAGATGAACTGAGAGGTTTGCAGCAAAGAGAACTCGTTGATACGCTGGTTTGCCTGCCAGAAGAGGATCTTCTCAGCTCTCCTTTCGTCCACTTTGTCCTCATGATCTTTATCTTGCAAAGAAAGCTGCACAAACTCACAGAACAAGCTCGCCAGGTCAACCGTATCAAGGTGCGATTCATTCTTGATAACCCACTGACATAGACACTTGAAATCCATCGAGAACTTGTCGGTAATTTGACTAAGTCTCTCGTCCTTTCTCCACCAGAGGTTTCTTTTGTGTTCTGGAATATCCAGATGCGAGCTACTTCTTCCCGTCAATGTTTCACAACATTCACACTGGAGCCCCTTGAGAGGGCTGACGTCACCTTCCCGCTCCCTCTTCGATCGACCGTAACCATCGTAAAACTTTTTCGGAGCATGGCATGAGCACAGGGGAAAGCTGCAGCCTCGCAGCTGAAACCTCTTCCTAGCAAAAGGTGCAAAAGAAAGATAGGAGTGTTCAGTGTGGTCTTTGACATCTCTAGAACAACTCTGGTGTCTGGGCGAGAAGCTGACCTTATCTGTCGGTTCTGGGTGCGAGGGGACTCCCGCAGATTGTGCAGGTGAGACCGTGAGAATGAAGTCATCCAGGCGAGACCGTTTGCCCTCGTTGCTGCTGTGGAGGGAAGACAGAGATGTGGACTTGTCGTCTTCCCGACATTTCTTGGAAGATTTCATCATGGGGTAGGAGTCAACATATCCTTCACTGCTCGATCCCGAGTGCTGTAGACCTCTGGATCGAGAATCAGCTCCAGAAGGCGCTATCTGTCGTTTCCTCTCCTGCTCTTGTTCTGTTGTCTGCTTCCACTTCCTGTCTCCTCTGATCGGGTCGTCGTCTTTCATCGAAAACAGCCTTTCGCTGCTCGACTCGTCCTGACTGCTGTTGCTCTTTGTAGGCCTGACTGCCAGCTGCAGCGGCTGAGTGCGTTTGAGGATGAGAGAGTAGGCCACCTTGTCGCAATCAGCAGTCGCGCTCCTCTCGAGATGGAGATTGACAGGCGTACCGAACGGTCCCACCACCTTCATCTTGATAACATCTCTGCAGCTTCCCATGCAGCAGAAAGAATCTACTCGGAGCAGCTTGTCTCCCTCCCGGATCAGGCCCGACTTCTGGGCAGGGCCGGAGGGATGGATTGAGTCGACGTAGCAGCACTCAGTCGCTCCAGGGTCAGCGGGAGCAAGAGAAATCCCAACTCCATAGCAGATTTCAGCACCTCTTATTCGGCGAGGCTTCTGGTCAACAAGGCTACTCTCACTGCCTTTGTTGTTGTCCTCTCTCGAATCTTTAACGGTTTTTTCCTTAGAGAAGAGAGAGCCACGTGCCTGGTTCACTTCATGAGACTGATCAGATTTTGCAAAGAATTCTTTTCCCTCAGAGTCGTTCAGCAGGGGATCTGCTGTCTTAGAAACGTTCGGGCCCGATGAGGAAATTCTGTCACAACCAGAATCTTTTGGCATGTAAGCATCTCTTTTTCCTTGCTGAGAATGTATCTGTGCTTTGCCTTTCATCTCCACCTCTTCAAGGGTGTTCAAATCCCCGACAGCCTTTTCCTCTTTAGCGTGCTTGGAGGATGCTTTTCCATTTGAAATCTCGTTCTCATCCTTTTCAATACCATCCTGGTTCTGCCTCACTTCATCACGTTCGTCAATGCTCTTTGAGGGGATGCAAGTTTCGTTCTGCTCTTTCTTCAAGGGCTCCTTGTCTTTCGACGCTCTCAAGCTTGGAATCTCTGTGCTTGTTTCTGCATCCGGCTCTACCTCGAGTAGTTTTGCTCTGCAATGAGCTGCAGTTGCCATTCCAAGATGCGGTTCTGGAGCAGATTGTCCAGCGACTCCTACCGTCTCCGAGCTCTGACCAGCTCTGGCTGGAACACTCATGCTAGCAGCTTCATGGCATTGACGTTTGCTGCTCTCAAACCTCTCGGAGCTCTTTCGATTATCTTCTGTTCGACTTCTTTTCTTGCCGTCCTTATTCAGGTCATCTCTATCTCCCGCCTTGCTTTTCATCTCCTGCCGATTTCCGTCCTTGCTCAGTCCCTCCTTCTCCAGCCGACCCCTGCTCTCTTGCGACCTTCGCTCTTGTCGCCGACGCTCGTCATTCCACCATCGCTCAGCCTCCCTTGACCGTTCGTCATGCTGCCGGCGTTCTTCTGGCCTTTCCCGATCTTCGTGTCTTCCTCGATCCTCTGCTCGAAAGAAACCTTCCTGTCGTCCTCGCTCGTCTGGTCGCCACCATTCCCCGTACTGTCGGCTCTCGTTGTAACGACGGTGTTCGTCCTGCCTGAACATCTCTCGTTGCCACAGCGTCTCTTCCAACCTCCTCCAGTCTTCATGCCATCGTCTATCCATATGTCGCCATCGCTCTTCATGCGAGCTTCGTTCCTGCCCTCGTCGCCATCCCGGCGTTCCCTTCCAGCTCCGCTCCTCCATTTCCCGAGCCCTTATTGGTTCTCATCCCCCTCATTCCCGTCCGATGCACCCGGTCGGGCGCTGGATGGCTTCGAACAAGGGGGTGGAACACGTGCCGCTGCTGCTGCTGCTGCTGCTATGCAGGGCTCGAGTGTCGCAGAACCTGCTCGTGGACATGGCTCGCTCCAGCTCCTCCCGTCTCCCTGTTGAACTTCCCCCGAACGGACCCAGCGGAGGGAGGCTGAAATTGAGAGGAGGTGGTCCCGCTGGTAGCACGTGGGGGAACGTGAGCTGGTTGGATCAAGGATGTGAGGGCAGAGCGCAAGCTCAGCCGACTCTGAGGATGTGGGGGGGAGTGAGGAGAATCTCAGTAAGAGCGAAGTGCGGATCAGAACCTCTCATTGAGTCTGGATAACAGGCACTGGAATTGATCATGAAGCGGCATAGGAAGAAGATGGCGAAAGAGGAACAGCAGAACTCGAGATCTGTAACTCTGTGTGCTGCTGCTAAATCTTTATCCCGACCTTCGTACTCGATAGGAAGATGAGTCCGATACAGCTCCGGCCTTACGAGGACTGCCGCAAGAGGACAGGCAGTTGGTGAGGAGTTTGACCAGTACTGAGCTGATCTCACCCCTGTCCTGGCAGATTGTTGATGGGCAGAAAGTGAGCATATCAAAGAACGGAACATCTCATTCTGAAAACGCGACTTCAATATCTGTGGAGGTGTTTTTTTTCGGTTGAATCTTGGAAGGTTTGACCCCTGCGATTGGTTGGCAGGGATACGACGCAGCCAAAATGATTTATAGAGGTGTTGAAGAAGAAGTTCCCATTGACTACAGGTATTACTTCTGTTCTGCTGTCTCAATTCTTGTCTGTCTTGTTGAGCATCGGGGATTCAGTATACTTCGGACACTCCCCTGTTCGGGCGATGCATGGGCCGGTGGTGTTGGATTTCAACTCGATGCATCTCTGACGACCATGCAGGAATTTTCTTCGATGTCGAGGCAGCGAATGATGTTGAGATCAATGCAATTGGCATTGCTTCGCATGTCTACCGGTGCTTCATCGCTTGCTCTCGCGCTTGGAGATGCCATGTAGACACTGAAACCCTCCTAGACTGGAACCGCACGTGAGCGTTCGCATCTTCTACTGCAACGGAAGCTCGATAGGTTGTCATCATGTGGGGCCCTTTGGCTGCTGGCTGATGTCTATGACAGGCAAAGAGGTTGACTTGACTCAATGGGAGTGCGTCTTCTTCGCTCCAAACTGTTCGTTACCCAAAGTCAGCAGGTAGCTCAGCATTCCGATGCTTGCCCTCTGACACCATCCAAGATTCGACAACCACACCGAAGAGGATTCTCCCTATGCTCATGTAAGTGCTGTGACCTTACGCTGACACTGATCAAGCTTCCAAGATGCAACTATCGCACGGCATTCCGCTCAAGAGCACAGAGGTTGTGGGCTTTGCTGTCTACACCAACAGCTTGTGAGTGTACGATAGCATCCAGAGCTTAGCTTATCGGCTCATGGCAGATGCGGCGTTGCGTTGCGATGGACTTCTAGTCAGCCACGACTTGCACTTGGTCATAGTTGCGCCCAGTCAGCAATCGAGATTAATCTTTGGGTTTAGAAGAGGACAAGGACATCTATGGGTACAAGATAGGCAACAACAGCATTCCCCTTGTTGCAGACTCAGAAAACTTCAGGTGAAATCAAAGATTGGACGAACCTGCTTCCTCTGATGCACCTCATTTCCAGGCGCAACATGCTGAGATCGGTGAAACTGAACGAAGTAACGGATTCTAACGACGACATTCTCATCCGAGCTGGGTAGCCTCCATCTCCTACCGTACCATGTCCAGTGTAACTCAATTCCTGACAGTCACTGCGTGGAAGTCACTGGCTCAGACCATCCGTTCGACGAGGTGGCTTATGACGCTGCCAATCATAATGTACATGCTCTGATCGATGACTCCAGGGGGGATACACGTCGGATGAGAACGTGAGGGCTTTTGTTGGGGAGGTCGTGTACACGGCTTCAAGCTGATGAATAAACTGAGGCCCGGCCGGCAGCCGGCCGAGTTACAGGCCGCCTCAAAGTGAAGTCGCCCTCTGTGTTCCGAGAATGCTATGAGCGGGGACGAGGGTAAGGGCGTATCGGGTCCTAGAACGATTAGAAAAGTAGGCCCTTCCTACTACCACAGGTCTTACGGGAACGCTATGGTGACGTGGGGTCCTAAAGTGTATGGGTGTCTAGACCAATGGGGTACATGCTAGATACAAACTGGTGGGTAGTGAAATTTGATTTGGGGGGTGTGTGCAGGAGGGGTTAGCCGATTGTGAGGGTGGGGTTGAGCGGTAGTGGTTGTGCTAGGAGGCCACGTGCTACTATGGCGGACGAAGGGATTTCGCCGGCGACAATAGTAAGACATGAACATGCTGAGAAGACTTTGACGAGGAAGAGAAGAGGAAGGCAATCAGCTATGATGGGAAGAGGGGATATCTTAACAAAGCTGAATGAGGACTGCTGGAAGTGAGGTGTGAACGGGATTCAGAATCCGCGCTGTTGCTAGTGAGGCTGGATGCTAAGTCCGGTGTATCTCTGATTTTCATACTGGCTTTGCTGCGCTTGTAGGAGGGATGTACTCTTCTCTGTTTCTGATAGCAGTCTGAATGAAATGCTACTTGGGGTGTGCAGAGGACTTTTCAGACCAAGGATAGCTGCTTTAGTACCTCAAGGATCAAAATGGTGGAGTGATAGGGGTAGTGCTGAGAACTTGACTGTGGACTACATCAGTCCTAAGATGTTAAGATGTTGATGACTGGAAGACAGCTGTGAAATGAAATTCCCTGTAATCCCTCTCAGACTCGTTTCTCAGGTTCTTTTGGTTATTGGGCTCCTGGTTGCAGCAATTCTCGGGGGGTGAGCAGCAGCAATGGTTTGATTGGAATCCTTGTAATAACGTTGGTTTCAGTGCCGTCTTCTTGTGGTTTTATGCCCAGAAGCACGCCGACGAGTTGGGGATCAAGAAGAAGAAGAAGGTGAGGATTGTTCTATCGATATCACTCAGCGCACGCTCATCTTCTCCCTTCGCAAGGTTTCCAACAAGAAATTGCAGCGAGAACGAGCCAGGTATACTCAGGTCGGAGGCGATTAATCAACATAAAACATGATGTTTCCCACCTCATCTCCTTCACGGCATCAGTCCTCGCTCCCTACACATGGTGCTCTTGTTGCAGTCTCAGAAGTAAGGGTTGAAAGCAGCATATCCTGTACATCGTCAGACTCGGCAGCAACATCTTGATCATCGCTAACCAGCCCATGGAGTCTCTATGCGATGGGTTCTTGAGCTGCAATCACCATGTCAGGGTATGGGATGGGATGACTGCGGGTCCTTACCGTCCTCCAACAGTCCATGGCATCTTGGCATGAGGGCCTAAGAATCGGATCAGCATGGCCGCGGAAGTTTGACAGGAAGGGGACCATGTAGCCGAAGGACTCTTCCTCTGCTCAATCCCTTGGAGACCCCATCGTAAGGAAGTCCTTCACATGCTGTCAGTGCGACACTGGCATTCTGGTACTCACCGTGCAAGAGATCTTCTCTTCCATCCTCTCCGTGCGGGAAAGGACAGTTCCCCCTCCTGTCACGCCAGTTACACACTTGTGAGGAGAGGGGCGACGAACCAGCAGCCGGGTCTGAGGTTGACCGGCGCTCCCTTCCTCTTGTCCTTTCCAAACCTGCACGGATAGGATGAGCTAGAATGATAGACCCTCCCGACATCACGTCGTCACGGTTGAGGATTGGTTGGGCTTGCTGTTCACGATGTGGCTGTAGGGTTAAATGCTGAGCTCCTCTTACAACCGCTTCTCTTGCACACCTTCCCTTCTGGGGCCACTTCTTGGCCCCCCAGCCATCGCCCACGATTCTTGCGGGCGCAAAACCATCGGCGACGGGATGGTGTCTCTCCGAACAGTTCGTGGGGCCATTGCGCATCGATCCTCTGATTCCGCCTGGTTGATCTTCAGAGACTGAAGGAACTTGATCAGTGCAAGTCAAGCAGCTGACCTGGTTCAGCCCATGCGTTGTCTTTCCACATTCTCTTGAGCCAGCGTCCTCCCTGTCCGAGCGTCAGCTGGCCTGGTGGTGGATCTCGACATGTCACCTCCTGTTGAAAGAGCCCTCCTTCCCCAAACTTCCTTGCTGCTTGTCGGTTTCCCCTCCTTTCCTGCAAATGCATCAACGTCGCTCATTAATCTATTGGTTCACCTGGACTTCAAACATCGACCTCAGCCCGTTAATCACCAGCTTCTCTCCCCTGCATACCGATGTCAAAAGACTCTTCAATCGCTCGCCTCCTTGGCATTCCTTCCATCCACTTGCGGTGGATTCTTCAACCTCGCCACCACCGGTCGATGCGTGTCGTTGGGCTCTGGCCATTCAGGCTGCTCGCAAGTTCAGAGACCGGATACATAAGGCATGTAGCACAACATCCCAAGGAGGCTCTTCGGGCAGAATATTCCTGTTTACAGGTCCTTCGAAGTGAATCAGCGGGCCTCGATTGATCTCCCCCTACCGCCACATTTTAATCTTCCAAAACAAAGGAAAGATATTTCGCGCACCTGCCCAGTGTACAGAGGTCTGGTCCGTCGTAGATCTGCACTGTGCGGTCTTGTTTTCCCGGGATAAAGATTTTGTATCTGAAAAGTGGCTACAATCAATTGTTTCGCAGCAAGGACCGAGGTAATGTTCGGGTTGCAAAACCTCCTCCTCGCGTTTTCTTCACCTGTCCTCTTGCTGTCCTTGGTGGATAATTTGCACCAGCAGATCGAAAGGGAATGTAATTCTCCTTATCCTCACGTACCCCTCTCCGCATCCATGTGGCCGTTGAGAAACCCATGCCTCCGTTCAGGTTGCGGTACAATTCAATCTCCTAATCATTCTCCAGTAAGCTCTCACTAGTGCTTCTTCACTTCTCACCTTTCGCTTCTTCTCGGCAGCCCTGTCTACATGTAGGGGCTTGCAGAGCGTCATCAATAGAACAATGAACAGCAGTGAAGCTTGTCTACCTGATGTTTGGTCAGAGGAAACCCGATCATCTCGCGGGTGTGAGCGCTGCTTCTTGGTCTGTTGTAAGCGATGTCATCGTTTGCATCCCAAGCCATGGGCCTCGGATCATAGTGCACTGTGTCCAACCCATAGTTATCAGCTCCTACGACGTAGAATTCCAGCGCTGGTTTTCTGGGATCTGGAGGATCTCCGTATCCATGATGACCATGTTTTTCAAGGAGGATGCCGTCCATCTTTGCCTGGAAGATTTCAGTCAATTCATGCAGATTTGTTATTTCTATCATCACACGTACACAGCAATTGTGAGTATCTAGAATCCCCTGCACAGTTTTGCTCTCAACACTCCAGCATCCGCATAATGCGCATGACAGGCTCTCTTTTCATGCACAACGATTACTTCTCCCGTTCATTCTTTCCTCTATCCTGTTTCTTCTCCTTCTGGACTCTGCTAGCTTGCTCTATACACCAATGAAGCTCCATAATCTCCTGCTGCTGCTTCGTTTCTTCTTCATATTCTCGTTCTCATGCCCCTGCTCTCCTGCTCTTGCTTTCATGCCGCACCAACGGCTCCAAAAACAAATCCTTGTAAAAGTTAAAAAACTATTTCGCGGCACCGTTTGTGATGCGGGCGGCCCAGCAATCTCCCACTACAGTCAAATACATCTCCAACAGTGATAAGTAAAATAAATACTATTGCCCTCGCATTATTATGGTACAAATGATTTCCATTTCATAAAAAATCTTGGTACTTGAATGATTGGTCAAAATGGATTCTTAGCTTGTTTGAACAGCGAACGAGAGGCGATGACGATGATAGCTGACAGAACCTGCTGAGAAGCGACAGAGAATGGCAGATAGGAATCAATCTGCAGAACAACAGCAACAGACAGCAACTTGTCGGATGGTTTCTGAAGACGTCTTTGAAACTTTAAATTTGAAAGGAAACCTCTGCAAATCGGTATCATCCAGCTCTTGCAACTGTAGTATGTCTATCCACTTAGATCAAGTGCAGAGCTTGATCGCTTCAGATTCAGTTGAGACAGGTTTGTTAGAGATGTATTTCTTGAAATTCATCGTCAGCTTCAATGCGAAACTCCAAGATCCTAACCAGGAGATTCTCACACGACTGTTGAAGACTACAATTCCTGCTGATGGAGTTGAAATCGATCCAAGAATCATGTTGCGACTATTACAAATCAGCAAGACATTCAGGTTTCGACGTTCTACTTCCGACATTGTCTTTCAGCAGAGCCAGGAGGAGATTCGTGGTCTTCTTGAGCATTGCATACAACATCTTACCATAGCTGCTAAAAAACTATCCAACAAGATAGGCAGCGACCTTATCGTCATCAACAATGCTCTTTACAATGCAACAGTCATCAAAGATGTCCCGGAAGGCATGAAGAGTCTTGAGAGACAACACACGTTAGTGAGGAACAAGTCAAGGGAGATCCTGTCAAAGATAGAAGGATCAAGATGTGGTAAGAGTGAAGATTCAAAGTGGCTCGCCCAACGTGGGTTGTCCTGGTGTTTGCATCGTATTGCAGAGTGCTCCACACAAGACGAAAAACTTGCAAACACCCTACGACTTGTTTTTATTGAATCCTATAACGAGCTGGTTCTTTATCAGCCTGATGACTGTGCTTATATGAGCAAAGATACCTGTCGAACTTGGTTGCTGGAAGTTCTGGAGAACTTGAAACAATGCGCTGCGCAATCAACAAAAGCTTGGGCGATTTGTTTTGCTTGTTTCGAATTCATGCTGAATGCCAGCTATCGCTTTCCAGCTTTGCAAGAAGATTGCATCGAGTTTTTAGAGTCGCCTTTAGAGATCACCGACGGCAGCATGTTTCAAGGATTGAAATCATGGATCTCGCGTGAGGAGTTTTCTGTCGGTCTGATTCGTTGCAAGATGATCGAGGTTTTAATACAACTAGCTTGCTGGGGCGCAGAGAAAGTGAAGAATCAAGCTCAGCAAGTTCTTCATCGTCTACGAAGCCACTCAAAGGCTTACAGTGCAGTGATGGCTGGTCTAGAGGACAGCTCGGATGAGTATTGCAAGGTTTTGATGACTCCTGAAGCAGCGCAATGTGGGGTCATCAGGTTCTTCAAGAGTGCCTTCGAAGAGGTAATTGCAGACAGAAGCGTTGCAAACAAGACGGCAATACAAGCCCTTGTACAAAAATTGCACATTAAACATTTTGAAAACACAAGGAGTGTTTTTGAAGTCTGTCAATATCTTGATTTTCATATTTCTTCAAAATCAGAAATGAAGCTGCGCAAGTTCCTGAAGAAAGTCTTTTATTTTGAGTTCAGACAAAGCTATTTCACAGTCTTGTGGTGTCGACTCTGGATTGCTGCATTCTCCGGCTGCTTTCCAGACATCAGAATGCCAGAGAACTTTCTTCGGCCTCTGTCCTCCAAAGTGGATTTACCTGAAGCCAACACAAGCCTTATGCCTGGAAATTTTCCTTACTACCATTTATCTGGTCCCGATCTGTTGGGTTCTCGAAACCAACAAACTATGACTTCGATGAGAGAATCGGGCATCCCACATAACATGAAAGAACCCTTCATGTCAACATCCATAGATGACGGAAAACACGAGTCTACTCCAGTTGAGCTCATGCGGATCAAAGAGAACGTCTCAACAACCCTCGAATCCTGTTGTGGTACTTCTCTACAATATGTCTCAGAGATGGAAGCAGTTTCGACGAACACAAATTTGAAAGCAAGAGTTTCAACAGTCGGTGTGACCCTCAGCGAAAATGAAACAGAAGAGGTTCGCAGAAGCATTGTCAGAATCCAAGAGTTGATTTCGCACAGCAACATTAATCAGAATGACTTTCAGCACGGGAAAAGAAATGTGATCATCCTTGGCGTGACAGGAAGTGGCAAGAGCACGTTAGTCAACAGTCTTGCTGGTTGCAAACTTCGTTGTTTGACGATAGAAGAATCCCTTGCGAAGCATCTCAATCCTTTCCCTCCCGCCCTCTGTGTTGTTCCGGTCAGTGAAGGCGGCCCTCTTGACGCGGTTTCAGACATCGGGTTAAGTCACGACACGTCGCAGACTGAAGTCTTGATGCCCATCAGCCTGAGAGGAGAGTCTCTGGTCCTGTGGGATGCTCCTGGCTTCGAAGACACCAAGGGCTCCGAGGTCAACATCGCCAATGCAGTCAACCTCACCAAGCTGCTGGAGCTGTCGAGAGATCACGGCATCTCGATCCTCTGTGTGCTTGACGCTGAGTCAATGTATGCTGCCAAGGGTTCTGGAGCCCACAGGACGATACGCATCCTCAAGAATCTATTTGGAGGAGACGAGGAGAGAGTCAGAGAGAACTTTGAAAGCATCGTGTGGTGCTTGTCAAAGGTTAATGAGCAATGTCCACTGAAGATAGGAAGAACTCACTTGACGAAATTTCTTGCAGACAATGGGATGAGCACAAGTGAGAAGCAGAACTTGATTCATATCTATGATCCCTTAGAACGACATCACGATGGAATCAAACGATCTGACTTGATCGCGTTGCTGCAGTCTGTTCCTCCTGTTGTAGCAGATGAAAACACATTTCAGACTCCCCTCAATGACACCGACAAGCTGTTAGTTTCAAAAATAGCTAAGGTGGTGAGCGAAGATGTTGTAGAAGCAATGCAAGCAGGCAGGTTCGATCAAGTCAAAGAACAATACCACACATTTCAAAGCTTGAATGTGATACGAAACCAAGAAATTGACCAGAATAAAATCAGAATCCTTGGAGAAATCACTGAAACAGTCAGGAAATGGGAAAATATCATCAAAGAATTCAAAGGAGACTTCTCGACTGCAGGCAGGGAAACTTTGAGAAAGCATGTCAAGTTATTCAAAGCTGCTGAGATCTTGGACGAGATCGTGGAGATGAACGTTAGACTTCGGTTAGATAAATGTGTCGAAGACATCCACAATCATGAAGCACAGAAGCAGCACAAAGAAAATTTGGAGTTGAACAGGTTATTTTCAACATGCTCTGCTTGTTTCAAGAAGAAGATGAATGAGCTTGCGGTTTCAAATCCTCATCGTACTTTGAAGCTTGATGTGCAAAGAAGCATGGAAAACTTGTTGAAGGAATTTCCTGATGTTGAAGAAGTTCAGAAATTCTTTGATTTTTTCTCCATAGCAAGAAGAGTTTTGCAACAAAGAAACTCAATCGAAAATTTTCTGTTTGGAGATCAGACATACCTTGCAATAACGATTCAGCTATACGAAAAAAATGTGAAGAAACTTTTCAGCGAAGTTGTGGGCTTTAGCAAGAAGGCAATCTTATTGCAAGAATGCGACGAAGCCCTAAGACAATTACGAGAGAATGCTCTCATCGTTGTGGAAAGAGATTTTGAGTCTCTATGGAAGCAGGAAATTGACGTCTCTGCCACCCCCACGGTCAGTCTGATTCTTCGCTTCGCCATCATCTGACGTGTACACTTTACGCGCAGGTGAAGAGCTTTCAAACTTTCAACGTGTGGGAATCGCTCGAATCATTGCGATCAGAATTTCCAGAATCTTACGATATCAAGTGTAAAGAATTGCAAAACATCTATAGAGAAATCCATGAAGCTGCTTTTTATCACAAGGGTGAGGAAATTGTCAATGACATTACTCGTTTTTTGGCGGATGTCCGTGAGGCCAATAGGAGCGAGCAGGACAAACTGATCTCTAGCATCAACGAGTTGAGAGAGCTTGATGGAGATTCTCGTCGTTATAAACGTCAGATTTCAAATATCACTGAAGGCCTGCAACGGTTGCACAATGAAAATGAAATTCATGACCTCATTGAAAGTAAACAAATCGGCAAGGTGATAGATCGATACGATTCCTTGGTGCATCTCTCTCAGGGCCTCGAATCTCATCTTGTCGTGGATGTCAGCGCAATCAAGAAGACAGTCTCAAACTGGATGACTATGATGCAGGAGAATTCGTTGGAAGAGATTGATCGAGACATCAAGGAACCAAATTACCTGCAGCTTCAACATCTCAACCAATTCTGGCAAGCATATACATCACTGCGGGCGAAACCAGATCTTATCATATCAGATGAGACGCTTGAGGAGAGGGCATTAAAAAGACTAGAGTCAAACATCAAGAATGTGCTAGATATTCTTCAACGACCACAACATTTCGGGGGGATTTGCAATGTCGGGGAGATGGTTGCAAAACTGTTGATCAAGAGCTTTGGGGTCTCTGAAGTACTTGGAATGGTGGAGAAATTCAAGACATTCGTATCACAAGATTTGCTGGATCGATTGCAGTCTAGCGAAAAGTACAAGGCTGGTATCTCATTGAAGGATTACATTCGTTCTCAATCATCAGATGAAATTGTTCGTATTTCTCAATCAATCCTCTCAACTTTCCCTCAGTTCGAGATGTTCAGCATTGAAATGTTCAACGAGAAAGCTTCTGGTATGAAGTTCGAAGATGCGTTGATGAGGATGCAATGTGAACCCGGTGACGATGTCAACAAAGATTTGCTACGGTCCTGCTATGAGGCTTACAAACAAACTTACGATTCTGTTGTGAGAAAAATCATCAGCAACCGCGACAATTATCAGAGAGAGAAAAAATCATATCTAAAGCAGATCCAAGACATCTCAAACAAGCTTCAACCATATGCGCACAGCCTGTCTCAGGCTCCTCAAGAGCTCGGAAGCTTACTCGGTTACATTTGCGGGCATTGGACCTTCATGTCGATCCCTGAGAATCAGATTGGAGTTGAGAGGAGCAGAGTACGTCAGCCTCATGACACGCAGATCCTGGGAATTCTTCGACTCCTCGGGGTTGATCAAGATCGAATGCTGAACCATCTCATTCAAATCAACACGGGTGAAGGCAAGTCGATCGCTATTGGTTTTACCTCCGTCGTCCTAGCTAAAATAGGCTTCTTCGTAGATGCTGTTTGTTACAGTAAGTACCTTTCAGAACGCGACAGAAGGGCGTTTGCTGACCTTTTTCGAGAGTTGGAGGTTCAGGAGTATATCACATACGGTGACTTCAAGGACTTGTCAAACATGATCATGACGGATGAAATCTTTCCCGATGACTTCCCGGATGTCAGGAAAACTTTTCTCAACTGCATACGAGGAGACGAAGAGAACGAGGGAGTCACTTCTTCGAGGAGGGGGAGACCGTCAGTGTTGCTCATGGATGAGGTCGATGTTTTCTTCGGAGACAAATTTTACGGCCACACTTATGATGCTCGCCAGCGATTGGATGCTGGTTTCAACATCCTCAAATATGTTTGGGACAATCGTCATCGTCTGAGAAGCGATGCTGGATCCATCGAAGAGCTCTTGTCTCTCAAGGAGACAGAGGATCTGTTTTCGAAGTATCCTCTCCTTTCACAAGATCTGCTCGAGCGCGAACTGAAAGAAATACTCGACTCAGTAGCATTGTTCCCTGTGGGCTCAAAACCACATTTGGCAGCTTATCTGGACTACATCGTTGACAAGGAACGTCAATTGATTGGATATATCGATCCTCAGAGCGGCATCCCATGCTACAACATAGGTTATTGCTACATTACAGCTTTCACTTATTTGTATTGTTCCGAATCAAGTTTGGAAGGAATCGTTCTAGATCGGATCAAGCACATGATGACGATTCAACCAAGGTGTGGACGGCTACTCTACTCGCAGATCCCGAAATGTTACACATACTGTCTGGGAATGACAGGGACGCTAAATTGCCTTGATGAAGCTCAGATTCACTTGCTACGAGAGTACAACTTTCATCATAAGACATACTTGCCCTCTACGTTCAGTAAGAAGGAAATTGAGATGAGGGAGATGGAAGTGATAGTCGAAGACTATGACAGATTCTTCGTGCAGGTGCGAAAAGAGATCGAAGAGATGCTCAGAAAAGGCAGAGCAATAATCATCACGTTTGCGACTCAATCGTCCCTGGATAAGTTTGCAGAGAAGCTCATGAACGAGAAGCCGAATCTGAACCAGTACAAAGGCTTCAAGACCTTGTCTGACAGTCTCGGTCTCGAAGAGAGGCAAGAGATAGTCAATCATGCTACTCGCCCCTTCGCTGTCACCTTGATCACAAGGTTTTACGGTCGAGGGACGGACTTCGCATGCTTCGATCAAGCCTTGGTGAGGGCGGGCGGAGTGCATGTCGTAGTTACGTTTCTGCCAGAAGACAACTCTGAAGCTAAGCAGATTCTTGGTCGAACATGCCGACAAGATGATCCTGGGTCTGCAAGGTTCATCCTCTACGAACAAGACCTGAAATACTTGGGAGCAAACCACGTGGAAAAGGAATCGTCGGGGAAGGACTGGTTACCCTATCTCGAGATGAAACGAGCGGAGAAGTTGAGAGCAAAATACCAGAAGCTCGAAGAAAAGCATCATCAAGGTACTGAGGTTCACAAGAAGACTCTTGCTGTTGTAGAATTAGTCAAGAGCCACAATTTTGACCAAGCACAACAAATCCTTCTAGGGATGGTACGGTATTAGCAGCTTATGCTGCCGACTAAGGGATTGCCACCTTTGATTCAGATTCAGAGATCGAACAAGTCGGATTTCATACTTGCTGATTCAAACGATAAGGATATTCTCCTGAGCTGCTTTGATTCGGGCAAAGCGATGCCAAAACAATCCAAGAAGCTGGCGCAAGAACTTGCATTGCTTCTTCTTCTTCTTCATCATCATCATCATCATCATCATCATCATCATCATCATCAGCATCAGCATCAGCATCAGCATCAGCATCAGCATCATCAAAAGCAACATCGTCGTCGTCATCGTCATCATTTACGTTTTCCAATCAAATCATCATTGTTCCCTGCAAGATCATCATCCCCATCATCGTCATTATCCCCATCTTGTCAGCGTTATTATCTTCTTTTTCTTTCACAATCATCATCACCTCTTTCTACTCCTTGTCTACATCGTTCTAGTCGATTGCTCTTGTATCTCAAGCACACTTCATTAACCTACATCTAGACGACGAGGCGAGGAGTAGAGTTGGAACTTGTGAAAGAGCAAGCGAAAAAAACGATTTGTTTCTGTTCATTCTTTTTACATATCTTGAAGATGAAGTCAGTCAGTGGTAGAATGCAATGAGCTTCACACAAGATTGAATTGCTTCTTCTCAACAACCGTTTTTGCCCTTCTCTCATCAGCACGTATTCGAGGAATTTCTTCTCCTGCATTCAAGTGACTCAGCAGAAGTCACACGAGGCTGCAGGTTTCTCACCTTGCAGCAAGAAACGTTTCCATTGCTTCTCGTGCATTGAAACAGCTTTCTCACGTGCAGACTGCAAGCGAAGAAGCAGGTTCCGCTTCAAAGTCTCGTTGCTAAACGGCCGGCTCTGTAAAAGATCTCTCGGGGTATCAGAACCATATGACAACATCTTGTCCTCCCCCCTACCATACAACCGTCAGCCTGCAGCAGGAACAGCAGCAAGAGAATACCTTGAGCTGTGATAGAAGAGCGATTGCTTGATGGAGAGGTCTTGTGGTGGAAGATACAAGCTTCTCACGTGTGGGGTTTTTAACTCGCTGCCGCATTGACAATTCTCAAGAGACAACCAAAGAGCATAACAATCGCGTTCAAGCTTCTTCCATCTTTTCACGTTGCATGTTTTGCCCAGGGCAACTAATTTGTTTTGCACCTCTTTTTTTATGAGAGTTGTTTGCGTTCCTGATGAAATCCTTTCTGCGAATTTCAAATTGATTTCTTCTTGACTTGTGAAGTCAATATATGTCAGATCTGTTTCAAGAAGAGATAATTGCTGTATCAAGGCTTCTAAACCACTCTTTAGATGATTTTCATGATGCGAATCTGAGTCACTATCCTTTCTTGGAACCATCTGTGCATCATGCTTGATTTCACTCTCTTCTCTCATTCGCTGCTGCAGGATCATCTCATGATATCGCACTTCTGCTAGCTCAAGAGCCTTGTTTTTGTCCTCAATGCTCAAATCTCGCTGTCGAAGTGCAAACAGATAATCTTCGTACACTGATCTGCATTCCAGTGTCGCTGCCTCTGCTTGCTTCTTCCAGTAATTAATCTCAACATCTTTCTCACTGATTTCTTGCTCGTGCTTCAGCAATCTTTCATCTCTCTCCATCAAGTTCCGTTTGAGAGAGGATATCATTGAATTCGCTGCCTCGCGGTCCAGCAGGTTCTGGCTTCTCTCATTCTCCAAGATGTTCTTGTAGCTCATCAGATCCGACTGGGTGTGATTCAGCTGATCTCTCAAGCCACCAGCCTCAACTTGCAGACGCTGAATGTCCTGCAGGAGCTCATTCTTGCAGTGTGAATAATCTCTCTCCAACGCCATGTAGTTCTGCTCACACTCCTCCAGCTTCTCGATCAAAGTCTTGCTGCTCCTGTCCAACACCTCCAGCTTCTCCACCTGCCACTCGAACAGCAACCACGAGCACAGCATCGCCTTCTCACGAGCCGACTCGGCGACGCCCTCCTCCCCTAGGACGATGTTTCTGAGGGGGGACCACACGCCCGTCATGTACAGCTGGAACCTGACCTCTTGCACGGTCATCAGGCACAGCAACGTGTGCAGGCAGTGCTCGAGAAGCATCTCTCCTTGCTCTCTCGACCACTGTTCGAGCACCCTGACGAGCAGGTCGGGGAGGTGAAGTTCGACAAGGGGGATCTTGATCTCGTCCACCTCTGCCAGCCTGCTGAGAGTCTGAAGACGACTGAGCGGCGACCAGGTGATTCCTGCCCATATAATCCCATCGAGAGCACATTGCAAAGTCCACACGATTGTTTTCAAGGTTGAGATGTCAGGTAAGAATGGGAATTGCTGTTCTTCTGGAATCAGCTTGACGACGATCTCAAAGATGCTGGCAATGGTACAGGAGACCTGTTCTGATGGATGTTTGATATCTTCTGATTGCTGGATCAGGGGCAGCAAGAGGTCTTCTAGTACTCTCCTCCTCCTCAGCACCTCTCTGCTCCGCCTGTTGGAGGTGAAGAGAATGAAAAGACCGATGATAGAATCTATCACGGCCACACGAGTCTGTGAGAAGGTTTCCAGCGAGGCCCCAGCTGAGTCATGCATCTCGTTCATCAGGGTGAGCTCGATGCTGCTCATGAGCTCATCGTAGCTCACGATGTCGTTGCATGCTCGAGAGCTGACCCAAGCACAGTTGTTCAGCGTTCGCAGAATGGCGATCTGCAGATCGCACTTTGACTCGTAACTGAGGGCGTTGAAAGCAAGAAATCGTCTCTTTAAATCGTCTTCCTGGTTCTGCATCGGACCTGAAGGAGCCAAGTTGTCATGCTGCTTGAATTTGACCTCGATGAACTCCAGGAGGTGGGCGAGAGCTGAGAGCAAGCTGGGGCTCCTACACTCCATGATCCTCAGCGCGTTACGAGAGTTGTTGAAGGCGACTTGACTCAGAGCCTCGCACGCGTGATAGATCGCGTTGGGGCTTCCACTGCGAATGAGCCGCTCACATCCCTCGAAGAAGGTGGGAGTCGCTCCGATAACTTCTCGGTTGACAGCTGCCTGCGGGTTTGAAGGGACGCACAGGTCGCACAAGCCTTCTGCTCCACTCGTCGCCTCGTCCATGTCGTCAAACCAGAGCTGGGAGACGAGGTCGCGGATCGATCGGTATCTTCCTCCTCCCGTGTACATCCCGCTACTCACATCTCCTCGCATCGAGAAGAGACCTGACGTTCCACTCGCTGCAGCTCTGACCTGCTTCGATTCTCTCAAGTGTCTGCAACGCTTTCAGTTCCAAACCATTCTCCCAACTGACAGACCCTTGCGATCTCGGCATCTCTTTCCCATCAATGTCTTCGTTGCGAGCTTCTGGCTGGTACACCTTCGACAGCAGGTCAAGAGCATGCCACCATGAGCATCACTGCTCTCACTCCTCGATCCCCAGCTACATGCACACGCGCTGGGATCGCCGACCTCTCTGCTTGGAAGTCTACTGGCATGTAATGATGGTAATGTTCCCCATGTCGAAGGGCATGCCTCGTTTCCCTTGTGGTTTCATGCATTCTTCTATCGCGGCAGTTAGGCATGCATAGCAGAGAACATAGCGGGAGAACTTGGCAACGAACATGGCGGAGAACATAGCAGAGCACATTTAGATAGTACAACCTCACGTCCTCGCTTCCTTCGGATTCATGTGTCGTATAGTAACCATGCCTGCCAAGTTCCATGCCGGATTCATTGATTCGTGCGTACCTAGAATCCAAGTCAGCAGCATGCTCAGGGCTCAGGGGAAGCAGCCTCACATCTGCGATAGGCGCTCGAACGTCTCTGACAGTCTTCGCGCGCGATCGCTTGAGGCGAGTCAGGGCACTACCGGCGGAGGTTCGCGCACCTGTGAATGTGCTGCAAGGAGCCGTCTCTTCGTTGCCGGGTGAAGTACTCGCCGAGACGATCTTGAGGGCGTCGGTGAATCCATCGAACCTGCATGCAGCCTGTCTCAGTCCAAGTTACCCGTCCTCTCGTCCTCTCGTCCTCTCGTCCTCTCGTCCTCCCGTCCTCTCGTCCTCCCTGGCATCCCCAACCGCCATGTCGTCCCCACTCACCTCGTCCGGACTCGCCATAACGCAAGCCGAGCCCCACTACCTACCCTATCAAAAAACAGTCTGCTCCGGGCAAGATGGGGGGTGATAAGACTAGAGGGCCTATTTCTGTCAATAATAGAAACTCATCGCCCTCCTGCTCGAGCCTCATCCCCACTCAGTTCAGCAAATTAGGGTTGTACCCGCATCCCCTCTCATTCCCCTCACTAATAAATACGATAATAATCTTTTTTGAATTTAGTAAAATAAGAACAGATACAAACGGTTTTAATCACTACTACTACACCACCCAACGGCTGCCCTTTATCTCATGGGAAGCTACACCAATTTCAATTCATATCTTGAAAGTTGAATATTTGATAGTACATTTCAAAGTATGTTTGTACAACAATCCAGAAGTTGAAATTTCCGGTGTTAACTTCCACATCACCCGAGTGCCCCACTGCAACTCGAAGCGACCACCAAGCGAGCAGGTAGCGAGGGGACGAGGAGCGAGCGGAAGAGGAAAGAAAAGGAGGAGCGAGAAGAGAAGAAGCAGAAGCTCAGGAAGACTAGGAGCAACAGCTTCAACGCCCAAGGAAGAATAAAGGGGAGGAGATTGACTGGTGAGCAGTCGAAACTGTCAAAAGCAGCAGTCAGATTTTGAATTGCACAGCAACAGGAGAAGGAGCACGAAAAGCACGAATACAAACGCTATCGCCTTTGCTTTGAACTTCAAAAGATGAAAGGCGCATTCCGAAGAATTGCAACGTTCTTGATCGGATGTTTTGCCTTGGTGAGCTTTTTCCTTGTCTCATTCAAATATCTGATCTTCGTTTGACTCGTTCTCAGGCTGCCGGAATAGTGATTCTTGTGTATTCCTTGAAGGAACGAGAATTTGTCAACAACTTTGTGCCCAAGACCTGCAAAACTATCAGTGTTACCGGTCGGGAATGTATGAATAATATCATAGGAAGTTACTCACAAGCTATGATCACTGCCCAAAGTTGCGAGGTTTTGCAATCATTAAGCACGAAGCGAGTCTGATGATTTGCCTTTCACAGAACAATGTTTATACACAAATGGGCTGCACCTGCCAAGCAAACTCATGCGACTGTTCGGGTGGAACCTACGGGGAAGTGAACACGTATTGGTGGAAAGTGTTGACGTTGGTCGGTGAGCTCGTTAGGTCTGAGGGGAAGGAAGGACAGTGAAGTTCTTGTAGGCGCTATCTCGACCGGCTTGATGGGGCTCTACATGTTGTTTGCTTCATACCTCGCTTTGAGCAACAGCGCTGGTCAAGTTAGCGTGAGGATTTTCAGGTTTTTGACAGCATTCATTGCGAATTGAGGCTGATGCAAATGTTCTAGCGTGCTCTCAGGTTTTCTCTTCATCATCTTCGCAGCTGTCGGAGCGGCAATGATCTACTGTAGCTGCTGCTTGTCTCTGTGTCTGAGCTCACGTTCATCTCAGTGTCAGTGTACATCGAGAAAGATTCGACCTTCAACACCGATCAGTCATGCCTGATGAAATCGCCTGCAATAACAGCAGAAGTGCAAGCGGAGAACTGCATCATCGAGGTTCAATGCAAGACTATCAAAGGTGAGTGCTCTCCAGTTGTGCAAAGCACCTTTCTGATCGAATGCAGACCTCAAGAGTTCGATGAAGACCATACTCTACGGTGACTTGTATCGTTTGCATCTGCTGGTTGCTGTCTCATTTGTTGATAGAGCTTGGGATCCCCTTCTTAGCCGCCGGCTTCTTCTTGTTGCTGGGAACCTTTGCATGCTGCTGCTGTGCCATACCCAAAGAAGAGGTAGTCGTTGACTTGCTATGGCTCGGTGCAACGAACTAATCTTGCCTTCTCCTCTGCAGTCCGGGCAGCCTGTACTGGGCCATCCGATACGGGGCGAGCAGAAAGGAGAAATCGTCATGCATGCGAACCCAACGGCACAGGTGCACGAGGTCAAGGAGGAGCACCAAGATGTCTTCATCTCGATGCCTTCAGCCCCGGAGTTGTGAGAAGGTCGTGAAATCGTTAGGGTTGGATGAGAGAGGAGGTAGAGGTGCTTTGTTACTTGTTTGATTTAATTGTATGTTGCAATGAAAGGTTTGTATCCATTGACTCGTCTAGAGAGCTCCTGCTGTCAATCTCTTTATTATGCTTTTTAGGGTTAACACAAAAGGTGGAGGCTCGTCGTGCAGCTCCACGATCAGCTGGCGAAGGAGCCGCAGCAGAGCTGACGCTCCTGGTCCGACTTGAAGAGAACTTTGCGAACAAACGCTGAGCGTGTGGCATCAGTCGAGGTCAATCAAGAAGAGGCGCTTACAAGCAAGCTTCTGCACGCTCCTCCTCGCTTTCTCTTCCGTGTTGCTGGCGGCGATTTCCTTGAGCAGGTCACTACGGACGCCCTGAGCATCATGGATCAGTTGCTGCAGCAGGGAAGAGAATAGAAGCTGGCAGATTCAGGGAGAGGAAGAAGGGGGAGGGAAGGAAGAGGATGGAGACCGAAGTGTAGGTGTCGTTCATAGCAGAGGAAGCAAGGTTGGTCTCAAATGTCTTGAGGTGATCGCCGAACTCTTTGAGGGAGCAATCTTGAGTTGTGATCAACCCCTGCCAGCCCCAGTGACTGCACGTGCTGCCCGAGAGAAGCAACAAGTCTCACCTTCCACTTGTTGCGCGCCTTGAGGTTGAAATTGTCGACGAACGCGATCTGAGTGAGACTGTCGCAGAGGGAGAGAGCGAGGGCGATATGGTTCAACTTCGTCTTCTGACTTCCTGCAGGTGACTTCCCACCTCCTGACTTCCTCCTCTCCTTGGTCTTCCGTGCCGGCTCTGCCGGCTCCTCCTCCTCCTCCTCCTTCCCGCCTTGTCCCGATGCCTGACAGGAATGTGAGAAAGGGCTCCGAGGAGAAGTGAGAGAGAAAGCAATGAGAAGCATTTCACCATCTTCGTATAATCTTGTGCTACTTGCCGTCCTGATCTCGAAGTCCTCGGGGTGTCTACTCACGAAGAGAAAGGATGATTTCAGCACGTCTTCCCGTCACACCCATTGCACACCTGGCGCCTTGTCTTCACCAGCCCCTTCCTCGATGCTCTTGCCAGCTTCGCCGGTGTCACTTTTCCTCGTCCTGCACGGTCGAGCATGAATGTGCGGCATCGCAAGTCTTGGTCTTCACCTCCCTCCCGTGCTCTTCGTCTCCGCCTTCTTCTCCTTGTCTTGGTTCCTGCCTCCTCTGTCACCCTCCTCCAGCAGCACAGGCTCAGTGACGCACTTCAAAAATTTCTGGAGCTGCTTCATCCTGTCCGCGTTGAACCCCCACCAACCCCACGTGCAGGCCTTGGCCACCTACAACCACAAGGTGAGGAGTGAAGTTGGACGAAGATGAGTCAGTGAAATGTTCGGTAAGGAGGGGGAGAGCAGAAGGAGGAGAGGAGAAGGAGGAGAGGAGAAGGAGGAGAGGAGCGGCAAGTCGATGGTGATAGGGGCGGGCAATGATACCTCCTCGCTCCACTGAGTAGCAATGAGGATCGCGCTGGGGTCCGGCAGGTCGACCCAGATATCCTCGCCGTCTTCGAAGCGGACGCGAATCCTGCTGGGCTTCTTGCCCTCGTCCACCTCCATCTCAACGACGATGCCGACGAACCAGAGGGTCTCGAAGAGGACTTGCACGTGCCGACCGACCGCAAACTCCCCGAGACTCTCCTGGTCAATGCGAACCTCATCGGCCTCTGTCTTGTTAGAAACTTGAACCTCAACGCCTTCGCTGCCCGCCAGACACACGCGCTGCACTCCGTCGACGTCCTTGCTGGTTATCCTTCCCTTCACCCAGCCTTCTCCCTCCGCCCCCTTGCACTCGACAGGGCAGCCCACGTAGAAGGGAACGTTGCTTCCTCTCATCTGCTCCGTGTAGCTCGCGATGGCTTCCTCGTTCTCTGATTCTGCACTCTTCTTGCCCTTGGATGGAGTCTTGCTCGGAGTGTTCTTCCCGCTAGTCTTGCTCGGAGTCTTCTTTACATTCGTCTCCTCCTCAGCTTGCCGCTTCCTCTTCTTTCCCTCGGCCTTGCCTCCCTTGGCCTCATCGTCCGGGCCGGCCTCGGCCTCTACTGCTCGCTGGCTCCTGTCCTTGTTGTATCCCCACCATCCCCACTTTCCCTTCCGCTGCACATGCTCGCTCCACTCCTGCGGCAGCAGCTCGAAACTTTCGTCGGACGTTTCGACCTCCGCGCGGTCGCCATCTTCGAAGAACACCACGAACCTCTTGACCACCTGCTTCTCCTTCTCCACAGAGGCGACAACCCCGACGTAGAAGATGTCTCCTTCGAACATGACCAGCACGTGTCGACCCACCTCGACATTGTTCGCGCCCTCGCCTTGAAAGCGAATCTTGGAATCGACATCCCCGCTCTCGACGGTGATCTCTCCTCCCTTCTCCAGCAGAACACTCACAGAACCATCACTGTTGGGTGGAGCGCAGACGATCCCCGAGCTCCATCCTCCTTCCTCCTTGACTTGGACAGGCCGTCCAACATAAATCCTGCTAGAGATTCCTCTCATGACTCGCAGAAAGTCCGCCTCATTGGAGTCGCTGTCCTCGCTCTTGAACTTCTTGTCCAACAGCTTGTACCATGCGGCGGGCCAGCCCGACTTTTCCTCCTGTGACGCAGTCGACTGCAAGCAGGGTTGTCAGGGAAACGCTTCGAAACGGATGCTTTACCTTCGCTCCTTGGCTTCCTCCTCCTTTCCCGGGCGTCTCAGGCTTCTTGGCAGGGGAACTTCCGTCGGCAGTCACATCGTAAAACTGAGTTTGCTTCCTCTCCCTCTTGCTCTTCCTCTCTTCCTCATTGGGAGTAGCAGCCTGAGCAAGTGCCGTTAGGATCACATCCTCGACCATGTTCCCTCACCGCTTGCTCGCCTCCGTCCAGAGACCCTCGAGAGCTCCTGCCTGCTCGGAAGTCAGTCCATGTTGAAGCACGACAGGAGGAGAACCTCTCTTCTTTGCCGACTTCTCGGTAGCACCACCCTTGTCCTGTCCGATTCGTCACAAGCCACGATGAGAGAGTTGGCAATCAAAGAATCAAAGGTAGTGAAAGCTTACAGCCGGTTCTCCATTCTCTTCAACATCCTGTCATAGATCAATCAACCCCAGGAGAGGTGCGAGAAAAAGACGAGGAGCTTACCATCTTTTCAGTGCTCTCACCCTTTTCGGATCCAGTGCTTTTCCTGGTGTTACGACCAGGTAGTTTCGCATTTGAGGATTCTGCATCTGCCCCTGGCTTCGATTCATCTGTTGAGAAGAATGAATCCTGTCGGATTGTAGCTGTTATTTCCGGTGCCTCACCAGCCTTCTCAGTCTCTTTGCTTGCTCCGCCTTTCGAAGGGGTCGCCTTCCCTTTCTGCTTTGTTGTGGCCTCTTTCTCCGAGGACTTGGAACCTTTAGAAGCTGTCAACAAGTGTGCAACAATGAGATGAATATTGGAAACTTACCCTCAACCTCCTTCTTCTCTGCCTCCTTCTTCTCCGCCTCCTTCTTCTCGGCCTCCTTCTTCTCGGCCTCCTTCTTCTCGGCCTCCTTCTTCTCGGCCTCCTTCTTCTCTGCCTCCTTCTTCTCTGCCTCCTTCTTCTCCGCCTCCTTCTTCTCCGCCTCCTTCTTCTCTGCCTCCTTCTTCTCTGCCTCCTTCTTCTCGGCCTCCTTCTTCTCGGCCTCCTTCTTCTCCGCCTCCTTCTTCTCCGCCTCCTTCTTCTCGGCCTCCTTCTTCTCCGCCTCCTTCTTCTCTGCCTCCTTCTTCTCCGCCTCCTTCTTCTCGGCCTCCTTCTTCTCGGCCTCCTTCTTCTCGGCCTCCTTCTTCTCTGCCTCCTTCTTCTCGGCCTCCTTCTTCTCCGCCTCCTTCTTCTCTGCCTCCTTCTTCTCGGCCTCCTTCTCGGCCTCCTTCTTCTCGGCCTCCTTCTTCTCTGCCTCCTTCTTCTCGGCCTCCTTCTTCTCTGCCTCCTTCTTCTCTGCCTCCTTCTTCTCTGCCTCCTTCTTCTCGGCCTCCTTCTTCTCGGCCTCCTTCTTCTCGGCCTCCTTCTTCTCGGCCTCCTTCTTGTCGGCTTCTTGTTCTGATTTTTGGGAAGCTGGGTGATACTTTAAAAGCCATGTCACGACGCTGGGTTTTGATCGAAATCCCACCATGGTCTGTAACTTCACACATCAGGTCACAAAAATGAGGGGCAGGAAGAAAGAAAGTCTCTCCTCAACTTCAACTAGTTGTTCTGTCTATGTCTCTTTCTGCCCGTCTTTCTGTCCCTGGCTTCTAATATCACACCTCATAACGATCCGCCACCTTATAGTTCTCGACCAACACAACGAGTCAACAACAGCCTTCTCCTCTGTCGAACTGTCTCATTCTCCTGCATCTGCATACCCGCCTAACTTTCCGTCTGCCTAACACATTTCCCTCTGAGCCGCCTATTGTCAGCATGTCATACCTGTCAACCTTCCCTGTCAACCATCACTTTCTCGCAATCTCTTCCTCCTCACTCTCAGTCTCTCACATCTGTATATCAGTAGAGTTGCTCTTTCTCTATCCGTACAGCTCGTTCCAAATCTTAGTCTACCAGTCTGTCTCCGTGCCTGTCACATTTCACTACTGCATACTTCTTTCCGCCTATTTCCGGGTCCCTTCCTCGCACTTCCTACTCTCAGTTCCTGCCCCTCCTTCCTCCTACGTCTGAACTGCCTCCTCCTTCGCAATCGTCTCTCCTCCACCGAAATCCTGCGCTCCTGCATCCGTTGCCGAGCCTCTGCGCCTGATCTTTTCCTCTGCTACCTCAATGTCACCCTGCCTCTGCGGCATGATCTTGCCGTCGGCTCTATCCCTCGGATGTCCAGTGTCTCCTCTCCTCTCCTCCTCTCTCCTCCTTCTCTCCTCCTCCTCTCCTCTCCTCCTTCTCCGTCTCTCTCCCACATCGCCATCATTTCGCTCTCTTCCCTTCCCTTCCCCATCTTCGCTAGACTGCCTCGCCGTAACGTCTGTACAGGAGCTCTGAGGCAAACCTGGATTTGTTCCTTCCACGGAACTAGCATAGAATCGAGATGTTCCCCGTACGGATATAAGAAGCTGGCATGGACTTCCGCGTGATTTAGGGGAACTGAGAGGAGAGGAGAGGAGAGGAGAGGAGAGGAGAGGAGAGGAGAGGAGAGGAGAGGAGCGGAGAGGAGAGGAGAGGAGAGGAGAGGAGAGGAGAGGAGAGGCGAGGAGAGGAGAGAGGAGGAAGAAACGAGCGATCTTGTGCTTGTTGCCAGACAAAGGGATCCCAACAAGACGAGTCTGGATCGAGGCTGAATTCAGTGATCCGAAGAGCACCCTTGCACTAGCAGAAAAGTTGTCAACGTCAGAGGCGACAAGCTAGAGACAAGATGGTCACTGTGGTGATGGTGGCTGAGAAGCCTTCCATCTGCAACGCCATAGCCATAGCCCTCAGCGGTGGCAACCATGAGACCAAAGGAGGAACTCCTCCCGTGCACACGTTCAGGTCCAACTTCATGGGTAGCAGCGCTCTGTTCAAGGTGACGAGCGTTGTGGGGCACGTCTTCTCTACAGACTTTCCTTCTGCCTACCAGAGCTGGGACAAGGTCGACCCCGTGACTCTGTTTGATGCGCCCGTGGAGAAGAAAGCTGAGAAGAAGGGGGTTGTACACCTGCTGCAGAATGAAGGCAAAGGCGCCGACTACCTTGTGTTGTGGTTGGATTGTGACAGAGAAGGAGAGAACATCTGCTTCGAAGTCATCTCATGCATCATGCCAGAAGCTCTCAGCAGGAAGGAACTGAGAACGCCGGGGCCGAAGCAGCGCATCTTTCGAGCCAAGTTCAGCGCCATCAACCCGAACGACATCAAGAACGCGATGATGACCCTCGGAGCGCCGAACGAGAACGAGTCGTTGAGTGTTGAGGCAAGGCAGGAGCTGGACTTGAAGGTCGGCGTTGCATTCTCACGCTATCAGACCCGCTACTTCCAGGGCAAGTACTCGGATCTTGACTCGAGGATCGTCAGTTACGGCCCATGTCAAACTCCTACGCTCGGGTTCTGTGTGGAGCGACACATTCTGATCCAGAACTTCGTGCCCGAGCCTTACTGGGTCCTCTGCCCGACGATCAAGATCGAAGGGTATGGGGCCGTGAAGTTCGAGTGGGAGAGGGGCAGGATCTTTGACAAGCGGGTCGCCTCTGTCTTCCGATCCATCATGCTTGAGGACAGCCGACTGAAGATCCTCCGCGTCAACCAGAAGGAGGTGAAGAAAGGAAGGCCGACGCCGTTGAACACAGTTGCGATGCTGAAGGCTTGCTCCAAGGCCCTGGGGATCGGACCTGCCAGTGCCATGCATACGGCAGAGAACTTGTACCTGCAGGGCTACATCTCGTACCCAAGGACTGAGAGCACGGCATACCCCAAGTCCATGAACATCGAAGAGACGCTGCGGCAGTTCTCCCGACATGCGATCTGGGGCGGGTTCGTGGACGACCTGCTCCCGAGGAACTGGGTGACCCCCAAGAGCGGAGTGGACGTAGGGGACCACCCCCCCATCACTCCCTGCCGGCTCGCTCAGCCAGGTGCTCTGAGAGACTTCAAGATGCTCCCGCTGACTTGCACGTGCAGGCGACTTGAGTAGCGACCAGGGTCGAGTCTACGATCTCATCGCCAAGCACTTCATTGCGACAGTCTCGCCGGATGCTGTCTACCTCCAGACAAAGATCGAAGCTCAGATTGGAACCGAGAATTTCACGACGAGCGGGAGGCAGCTGAAGAGACCGGGATGGCTCGGGTTGTATCAGATGAGGTCAGTTGGAGGCATTAATCGTTTCTCGAACATGTTTGTGAGGATCCTGATTTTCCTTCATTTCAAGGTATGATTATGACAGTGAGGAGGAGGAGGAGGAGTACGAAGACGAAGAGAACTACGAGATTCGCAACCTCCCATCATTCAAAGGCGGAGAGACTTTTCAGATGACATCAGAAACCCTACCAATGGTGGAGAAGAAAACTTCGCCTCCTGGTTACCTGACTGAGTCAGAACTGATTGCTCTCATGGAAAAGAATGGGATCGGTGAATACTAGAGGTAGCTTGCCCGTTGAGATTCACCCGAGTGCAGGTACTGATGCTTCCATGGCTACCCACATCGAGAACATCTGCCAGCGAAACTATGTCAAGTATCAGCTCACCTGCTTCACTTTCTCCTTTCCCTGACAGGATCGTCAGCGTTGAGAGTGGAAGGAGGCTGGTGCCTACCCAGCTCGGTACGGTCCTGGTGCAGGTGGGGTAGTAGTTTCTTCTTCCCGTGTCTCAGTAGCAGCGGCAGGGCTACTACAGGATCGATGCAGACCTTGTACTTCCTATTGTGAGGTCAAACATCGAGAAGCAGTGCGATCTGATCGCAAAGGGGATGGCGGACAAAGATGACGTCGTCGCTCACAGGTACCCTCCTCCTCTTGTACCTTCTGCCGATGCTCGCTGCTCTCGTCCTCCCTCTCACTCACTCTGCCTCCTTCCTCCTTCTTCTCGATCTCAGTCCCGCTCTTCCCCTGCCTTGCTCCTTAGCTTCACTTGCAGCCTTTCAAATTTTCAAAAGAAATTTTCCTACTTCGTGAAGAACATCGAAATGATGGACACGCTCTTCGAAGCGTCCTTCTCTCCACTCACGGCCGGCGGCAAGCCATGGTCCAAGTGCGGCCTGTCCAACAGGTCTGCTAGCCTACTCCTCCTCCTCCTCCTATTCTCACTCTGATCTTTCAGGTACTTGCAACTGATCCAGTCGAAGCCGCAGAGGCTGTACAACAAGAACACGGAGCAAGTCTACAACCTGCCCCAAGGAGGAAGCTTCAAGCTCTGGGGGGGACGTGTCTGTCCTGTCGAGGGGTGCGGCTTTGAGCTCTCCCTCTTCGTCGTGGGGGCAGGAAAAGGTGCTAGGAGGAGGAAGAGGAGAGGGGAAAGGGGGATGGGAGGATGCAAGGTCGGGGGAGAAGAATATCTGAGCAAGCCTGCAGATCAGCGCAGCTATCCTCTCTGTCCCAACTGCTACAACAATCCTCGTCCTGAGTGGGGCCCCGCTCCGAGCTCCAAAGGGCTCATGACTGAGTGCCCGCACGCAGATTTTCATCCTGTGGTTGGACTCGCCTGCTCGCCTGCCCGTCGTTGTGACGCTCCTGCTCAGGTAGCGAAGCTCACACTGTGCGATGACGAGGAGACAAACGGTGTCTTCATCCTCGATCCCGGTAAGCCTCAGCCTCCACTCAGTACCGTCAGGGTGACGATGGGCGGCAGGGAGCGCTCCGAACAACTGGAGGCTCGTCAGCACCCGTTCCAACTTCATGCTCACGTTCCCTAGCGACGTCGTCCACAAGCTGACGGTCTTGAGCGAGACAGACCCGGCCTGCGAGAACCATCACTTGCTACAGGTGCTCCCTCCTCCTGATCCAGATCAGCTCACGTAAGAGCAGGTCGAGTTTCACAAGGGCAAGGCTCCTCCTCCTCTTCCTTCCGACACAGGTAGCTGTCGTGCCGCTCCCTCGCTCCATGCTGTCTCGTGATCGCTTCCCGTGACAGTCACGCACAAGTGCTACGTGCTGGAGGATGACGCCATGCAGGTTGGGAACGTGGCAGGTGCTCTTGTTCCTGATTGCTCATGCAGGGCATAATGGAGGCGAAGTCAGGAAGCAACAGACCATTCGGAGCAAGAAGGGGAAGGGGAAGGGGGAGAGGCCGGGGGAGAGGCCGGGGGAGAGGGAGAATGCAAGATCCTCGAATGTCCTTCAGAGATTTCTGAATGTTGAGAATGTTGGGGAGCTTCATGAAATAAACACAGATGAATGGCTTGCTGAAGTATCAGATGCCTTCTTGTACCAGCACTCCACTCCTCTCCTCTCCTCTCCTCTCCTCTCCTCTCCTCTCCTCTCCTCTCCTCTCCTCTCCTCTCCTCTCCTCTCCTCTCCTCTCCTCTCCTCTCCTCTCCTCTCCTCTCCTCTCCTCTCCTCTCCCCTCCTCTCCTCTCCTCTCCTCTCCTCTCCTCTCCTCTCCTCCCATCCCGTCCCTGCTCTCACCAGTGCTCTCACCCTCTCCCCGACTGCATCGGGTACCCCTACCCCCATCATCTATAGACATCGAGCTTCCCTTATGATGGTAGGGTACTCAACGGCTTGCAGTGATCCTTCCGAGACGAGATGGCAGACCAAGACGCGGATGGGGCCATGCTGGGAGGAGGAGCAGGAGGACGAGGAGGACGAGAGGATGAGTCAGGGGTGACTGCGATGAAGATGCCGCTGACGACGATGGTGGTGGCTGGCTTCGTCCTGGGCTTGCTGATCGCGTTGCTGTGGGTGTACTTGAGTAGGGGAGAGAAGGGGAAGAAAGGGAAGAAAGACGTGGAGGTGGAGGAGGCGAGGAGCATGCTCGAGGAGATATCTCAGAGAGAGAAGGAGAAGCGCATGCAACTGGAGAAGGAGCTCGAGGCGCTTCGAGAGCTGAAGCGACGGAAAGCTGAAGAGATTGAGAACCTGAGCCGAGTGCGAGAGGAGGAGGAGATGAAGGTGAGGGAGAGGCAGGAGGAGGCGAAGTTGATCGCGGATCGGAAGAGAGATGAGGAAAGGGAGAAGGTAGAGAGGGAGAAGCAGGAGATCAGGAAGGCCTTCGAGAAAGGTGTGCTCTGCATCTTCAAAGACATCAAAGGAGAGCATCCCGACGTGACCCTCAGGGTCCCCATGGTCGACTCCGTTGGGAATGCGACCACAGTCGAGCACATGAAGAGCAGGATCAAGGCTGTGTGGGAGGGGAGTCCGTCGGAGGAGAGGCAGAGGATCGTCCTCCATGGAAGACTGCTGGACAGCTCGGTCAAGCTCAGGGAGTTGTATCAGCAGCAGGAGAGGAGGGATCAACCGCTGGCGTTCCACGTCATTGTTGCTCTCGCAGAGCCCAAGAGGACGGGGAGGGAGACGGAGAAGGTGGCGAGGGAGGAGGGGGAGGAGAGACGGGACTCGACCAAGGAGACGATGAAGAAACAAGTTGTCCCGGCCACGGATGCGAATGAGAAGGAGGAGGAGGAGGTTGAGCATGCATGATCTAACTGACTTGGAGCTGTCTGACGTGACTGCAATCAGGTAAAACCGCTGACAATCGTCATCAAGATTCAATCCTTAAACAAGAGCGTCAAGTTGTCGTCATCCAGACACGTAGACATCCTGACGGTCTTGCTCAACTTTCATCTTGCTATCCTTTTAGTCACGCCACCCGCACAGGTGAAGGAACAGCTGCTCTCTAAGGCATGTTTGGAGTGCCAAGTTGATGATATGAAGATTGTACACTACGGGAAAGTCTTGTCTGATAAGGTTGTCGTGCGAGAGATCTTGGAGAAAAGGTGAGTTGAGAAGAGAAGAGAATTTCAGAGGTTCTCTGACTTCAACGTTAGCTTGATTCAGAACGATCTTACTCTGTTCTGTGTGATTTCACAGCCGCAGGCACAGGTGAAGTGATTGAGAATGTTCAGGCAGTGTGTTGTGATTGAGAATGTTCAGACAGTGAGGGGCATGCCGGAAGAGATCAACGGGTTGAACTTGAACGAGCAACAACAGGCAAACGATACGAAGAAGACGGTGAATGTTGAAGGCGGTGAAGGAACATCTCAGCGAGAGGGAAAGGATGAGATGCAAGTCGCGCGTCATGTTGACCACCGGAACTCACATGAAGCACCCGTCGAGGAGAAGTCAACAGATGGAATGGATGTGTTTGCAGCAAGTCAAGGGATGAACGAGCATCAACAAGAACAAGCAGCAGATGAAGAAGACGTGTTGCAAGATGCACAAGACATGTCGCAAGTGCATCAAACTGCCAGTTTGCATGAAAAAAGTTTGCTACACAGCATGACGTTCAAGATTCTTCAGACCGATGTCAGCTTTGTTTGCAGCTTTCACGAAGACGATATCATTGCACATCTCAAGTCTCATCTGCTCCAACAGCAACCTGACTTGTCCAGCACCGATCTTTTCCACCTTGTCTTCAGCGGGAGAGTCCTCTCCGACGTCGATCGAGTCTCTTCCGTCATAGCGCAGAAAGCTTGTCCGATCATCTACATCGTCAAGAGGAAATCAAAACCTTCATCCTCTGCTTCCCCTTTTCCTCCCCCTCGTTCTTCTTCTCCTGCATCTCTACATGATCAGACATCGTCTCTCTCATATCTTCCTCCTCCTGCAGACTCGTGTGAACAGGTCGAAATTGTCGACGATGAGACAGTCAACAACCTCGCGGACTCACGAGAGAAGGAGGCCGAGCAACGTTCAACCTGTGACATGAAAACGATTGAGGAAACTGGTGGCAATGTTGAACATGAAAAGAAAGAGCCTTCGGGGCAACAGCAGCAGAAGGCGGAGCTACAGGGGGCGTTGCAGGAGGAGGTTAAGCAACAGCAGAACCATTCGGAGCAGCAGCAGCAGCAGCAGCAACAGGCTGCACAGCAGCAGCAGCAGCAGGCGGTACAGCAGCAGCAGCAGCAGCAGCAGCAGCAGCAGCAGCAGGCGGTACAGCAGGAGCAACACAACCATTTTCAGCAGCAGCAGCAGCAGCAGCAGCAGCAGCAGCAGCAGCAGCAGCAGCAGCAGCAGCAGCAGCGGCAGAACTCAACCATTGTTTCGGTTCAGTTTGAGGGCACAGACAAGGGTCAGCTCTCCGTCCTTGTTCCCCTTCCTCTGCAATCTCGCACCGCCGACCTCCTCGCTGCTCTTCTCTCCTCATCTCCTTCCCACCTACGGCAGAGGATCACAGGGATACAGTATGGAGGGCGTGACCTTGACGCGGATGATACCTTGGAAGAGATTTGCTCCCTCCTCCAGCCTGACTCAAGGTTGAATCATCTCTTCTTCCCTTGTTTTATCTCCTCCCTCCTCCTCCCTTGTCGACCCCCTCCATCTCCATCGCCTCCCTCCTCCATCGCCTCCCTCCTCCATCTCCATCGCCTCCCTCCTCCATCTCCATCGCCTCCCTCCTCCATCGCCTCCCTCCTCCATCGCCTCCCTCCTCCATCTCCATCGCCTCCCTCCTCCCTCCTCCATCGCCTCCCTCCTCCTCCTTCCGTCTTTCACCACTCACCTTTCACCTCTCTTCCTGCTCTTTCCACATTTTGAATTTCCCTTCTCCCTTCTCTTCTACATCGCACGAGAACGTTCTGCCTTCTTTGTCTTCGTTCCTTATCCCTCCACGACAGGAACAACATCTTGAATAGGGTTCGTCCTATCCGTCTCAAGGTTCTGCTCCGTGAGGAAATCACTCAGGAAGCAAGCAGGCGAGAAGAGAAGGAGGAGAAGGAGAAGGAGGAGAAGAAGAAGAGAAAGGAGCAGGAGCAGGAGCAGGAGCAGGAGCAGGAGCAGGAGCAGGAGCAGGTGGGAAGAGAGGACGAGGAGGAGAAGCTGGAGCGGGAGGTCGAGGGAAGCGAGAGAGCTGTCAATCTTGTCAAAGTAATCGACCTCTGGGGCGGACGGCCTGACATGATGCTCGAGATCCCGCGGAATTCTTCTGTCAGTGAGCTCAAGTGCAAGCTAGGTCTCGCCTCCTCTTCCTCCTCCTCCCTACTCCTCCTCCTCCCTACTCTTCCTCCCTCCTCCCTCCGCCTCCTCCCTACTCCTCCTCCCTACTCTTCCTCCCTCCTCCCTCCGCCTCCTCCCTCCTTCTTCTCCCTACTCCCCTTCCTTTCCCCCCCTCCCACCTCCACCTCCTCCCACCTCCCTCCTCTTCCCTCCTCCAGTACCGCTTCCTCCTCAACTTCTTGTTCATGCTGCTCTCACCTGCCTATCTCCATCTCTTTCTCCTTTGCTTTTCCTCCTCTTCTTCACACAGCATTTTGCAGCCCTCCAGTACCAAGACTGTCCTCCTCCAAGCAGCCAGGTCATCGTGGTGGATGGAACAGAAGTGGAGGTAAGCGAGAGGCCTTCTGGGGGAGGGATAGCAGGGGCTGAAGGAGAGGGCGGGAGAACGCGAGGGCGGAAAGGGGTTGTTGAGGGATTGGAGGAGGATAGCATGGGGACTTTACAACTGAAGGAAACGCAGGAGGACAGGAAATTGAGGAGAATTCTCAAGGAGAAGAAGGAATACGTGACGGAGATGTACATCATGATCAACCAAACGCACTAGAAGATTGGATGAGGCGACGACAGTCGAGTAGATTTCATTTCAAACATACATATTATACAGTACAACAGGACCAGGAACTGCATCTCAAGGAGACAGTCTGACTAGAAGCAAGTCAGGCATGGGAGACAAGATCTTCAGACCCGAACAAGTCAGACTCTGTTCGCGTTGCCTCGCCAAATCTCAAGATTTCTCTCCTCCTTGTTCTCTTCGAATCTCTGGACCAAAGTTACACCTTCCCTTCCCCCCCTTATCTTTCACCTCAGCCGCACAACCACTAGCAGCATGCAGCCGGCAAGCAGGACTGAGGTCAGGGTGACAAGAGCACGACTGTCTGTTGAAGTCGATGGGAGCAAACTGCCAATTTGATCACCTAGGATCGAGTCGACATCATGTCAACCTGAACGCTCTTGCCTCTCTCAAGTCAAGTTTCGAGAGTTCACGGTTGAGATCGAGAACTTGTCTAGCGGACTTGACACTCTCTCTGTGAGGTGATCAGCATATCGCACTACGATCAGAACGCCAGTCTTGCCTTCCTCGTCTTCCTTGGACTCGTTGATTCAACCTGCGGGAACAATCAGCATGAGGCATCGACATACTGCCCAACTTACTTCTCCCGCTGCTCGACGGAGAGTGACAACAACCTACAACCGAACACCGTTCAAAAGACGAATAACTCTGTTAACATCACCTTTGCACCTCCTTGGCATAGTATGGATACGTGGAGGCAGGCAAGCCGGGTCGAAGGTCGTTGACGAGGCTGGAGTGAACCCATCACTCTTGCAAGAGGAGGAGAAAGTCGCACGGGATCAAGCTCTTCTGCAAGGCATCCTTGTATGCCTCGTTCAGCTTCTCGTCGTCTAGGCTGAATGTCTCCCCTCAACGTCGATCGACAGGCGCGTCCAGTTCCTCCTTACCTCAGCCCTCCGAGAGCGATCGACACGTTCCATCGCTGCCTCAACAGCATGTACTCCTCTCGCGCCTTGTCCAGCTCCCGATCTGTGCGTGCATGACGTCAAAGATTTCGCATGGAAGTGCTCGGCTCGACCGATCTTCTCAAGATCCTTGCTTGTATAGACCGACGACGTTCCCTGTAGCCGCCCTCCGAGAACCGGCTGCTCAATAGCGTCACTTCACTCTTGGAGAACCTCTTCTTCAGAGCTCATCACCGGCGACCAGACGAGGGCACGGAAGTAGTCTTGGACGTACTTGCTCTCCGGTTGCCCTCCGGGGTCCGAAGTCCCTCCCAGCGGCAGCATCGCCCCTGAAGTCAACAAGACTCAAGTCAAACGATCAGATGGGGATCGCTGCTGTTGAAACACAGCAACAGTGAAAGATGGATGGCATCTATTGGGCGAATTTCGTTCATGATCAGGTATGAAGATGAACTTAGGTGCTCATGGTAGAGTTGAGATGGAGGACAGTGGTTGAGACAACTGTGAGTGGATTATACCAAGATAGCAGACAAGGATCATGAGAGAGGAGGTGCTGTCACAAGTTGACGATGGTAGTGAACTTCCGAAGGAGTTGATGATGGCAGTGAGAGAGAGGAGGGAGGAGGTATGGTCTTACACAAGAGAACTGCAGACATCTTCCATCGCTCCCTCTCCCGACTCATCGCGCTGCTCCTACTAGGCCGCAGTCCGCTAAATCCAGGTGACTTGATGTTCAACCGTTGTAACCGTACAGTTACTAAGTAACCGTCATAACGTTGGGAACATTCAAACATCACGAGTGGTCTTTGTAATTGTTTTGGAAGTTTCATTCTCACAGTCACGCTGATGGGTATTTGCTAAAATTGTACTTTTAGGTTTTAACAAGTCATTCTAGTGGAGACCACCTAGGAGTGACGGGGCAGAACAGTCGTTGGAGAAACGAGCTAAACATCCCCAGTAAATTTCAATAATTTAGGGAACATCTCGATGTTTGGAGGAAATTTTGAAAGTTTTATAGCTGAAAATTTGTGTAGTAAACTTCCAACCTGTCACGAGGTTTTCGTTGTAACTCCGGTAAATAAGTTATGTACAACTTTTAAACTTTTATATTGTGTTTTAACCTAATATGCTGACATCTGCTCTCTATCCACAGGGTCCGTGAGACGATCGCGGATACCACCCTCTCCATACCAGCATCCTCCGCCCTTTTAGCATGGTCACCAAATACCCCTCCCCTGCCCCATCATCCAGTAAATTCCCCATCCTTGACTAATGACCCCCTTGTCTTACGTTGTGATAAAGACTACCCCTCTGTGAGGCCAGATTGAGACGTCAAATTTAGGTGCAGATGGAGGAAATTCGTACCCCACCCTCAATCATTCCCCCTTTCTGGACCACTACCCCCTTCATTTCTGGTTTCCTGGTGACACCCCCTGCAGGGATCTATGACACCACCTACCCCACCCGCATTAAACCTCTTTCCACCCCCTTGACCAATCATCCGCCCTTTCCGCTGGATCCCTCCGTCATATAAAAGTGACTTGCCTGCAACATCAGCATCCCCCCCACTGCTGATTCCTCTGCTGACACTGTCCCGCTTCCACTAATTCCTCCATCCATCCATCGTGTGCACCATTGAACCTTCGCGACTCTCTTCTCCTCACGTTTCGATCCTCCTTCTCTCTGATCCTCTGGGCTGTCAACTTTCTCGACACTTGAAACCTTTCCTGCCTGATTCGAGTTGGAATCAGTCAGATTCAGCAGCCAGTTTCTGATCTTAAAGGATCCAGCTCTTTTCTCCTTCGCCAAAGCTCATCCTTCTCTTGTTTACTCCTAGAATCCTTGCAATGACCCGCCTTCTGGACTACAGCTTCGCCAACGATCTTGGATTTTCGAGCATCATTTTGCCTAGTCAAAAACTGCTGTTGCAGTCACCGATGGATGAAACTGACATGGATTTTGAATACGTGGATTCGAAATCAATTGTAACAAGACAAATGCAATACAACCGCTTCATTGGAGAAATTCTTGACAAGGAAACTTTAATTGGAGGAAGTATCAAGTCACATGAAATGCCTTGACTGCATGTACATCTTCAAGGGATTTCTGATCATGGAATGGATGGGATTTGCTGTGGATGTACAAGATGTGCAACATCACTATCATGTAATAATTAGGCTCAGATGGATTTTGTAGGGTAGCCGAGCTGCGGGCTCGATAGACATATTCACCATTAGTTTCTTGTCAACAAATTAGTTTTTCAAATACATTGTCGTTGGCTTTGAATATCGATTCCTATTTCGATTCTGCATGATTGTCTATCACATGCTATCTTTAATCTCCATCGCAGTCTTGTCGTGACTGGAGTCAGTCTGACGACACGATCATGCGGCTGTCGAGGGAGCATTACAGCCTACACTAGACGAGTTCTAATTAGTATGGTTCTCAGTGACTAGGCGCCCGGGCCCCGGGCTGTTAGACTCCGATGGGAAAAAAACATGACTTTTGATTCGAGGGAGGCGGAGGGAAGGGGGAGAGGGGAGGGGAGAGGAGAGAGGAGAGGAGAGGAGAGGAGAGGAGAGGAGAGGAGAGGAGATTAGAGGACAAGAGGAAAGGAGAAGGACTGCGATCCTCCAACGGCGGGCTGGGAGCATCAAACACGTAAGGTTACGAAAATAAGATAAGTGAACGATCAAGATCGACCTGTTGGAGTGGATTCAAGATGCCAATGGCGGTCAACTTTCAAGTGCAAGAGAGACACAGGGAAGAGTATGGCGCAGAGGGCGAGAGCCTCACGAAGGAGCAGCGCCTTGAAAGACATTCGCTGAACAAGGACATGGTTGCTACTGCCTGTTGCTTTAGGAGAAGAGTCTTCATTGATTCCTTTTTTCAGTTGCAAACACTCGAGAAGAAGAGTAGAAGGCTGCTGGACAGTTACATGGAAGCCAATGCGCCAATAACCTGGGTGAGGCAGGAAGGGGGTACCGTCTTTACATTGCCTGACTCGACTCTTCGTAGGGCAGCGACAGCATGCTTCATATAGCAGCGGGCTCGAGCAATGTCAGTGACGTTCTCCATTGCATTCGGATGGGTGTGGAGGTAGACGCAAGGAACAAGGTGACTTGACGTGCAACAGCGAGTCAACAGTCCCTCCAATGACCTCTGACGCCTTCAGTTCCAAGAGACTCCGTTGCATTCAGCCGCAAAGAACGGGAACGCTGCGAATGTTGACATCCTGATCCGAGCCAGGGCAAATGTTAACTCTAGGACCCTGGTAGGACATCAGTCCTCCTCCTCCTTCAGTCACTCCTCCCGCAGAGTGGGAAGACTGCTCTCCACGAAGCAGCTGTCAACGGCGAGAATAGGTGCATAGCAGCTCTAGCAAGACACGATGCCGATCTTGATGCCGTCGATGAGGTGCCTTGCCATGTCCCAGTGTGAGAGATCACCCAGCAGCTCTAGGACGGCTGGACTGCCTTGCATGAGGCGGTTCGGGTTGGATCCATCTACAGCGTGAAAGCGCTTATCAACAACAGAGCTTCCGTCGACATCACCAACAACGTGAGGAGAAGGGGGAGGCGTCTCTTCCTCTGACAGCTGAATGCTGCAGGACAGCGAGACGCCGCTCATGATGGCAACTCGTCTGGCATACGCCAACATCACACCAGTGAGCTGTTGAGGATCTCGACACCTCTCACTGATCGCCCTGACGTTGGGTGCCTTGGGTGAACGACAACAGATCCTGCTACAGAGTAGATCGAGGGCAGTTCAATCGGTTCGAGACAAGGTGAGGTCGGTTGCTCTGCGGGTGATTCGGCTGAAACATGTCAGGATGGCAACACTCCGTTCATGGTCGCAGCGCGAGATGGTAATCCTACCATTCTCTCGATCCTCCTGAATTATGGCATGATGGACATCGATACCCGAAATTCGGTAGATGCAGCGATCCTCCTCCTCCTCCTCCTCCTCCTCCTCCTCCACCACCACCACCACCACCACCACCACTCTCCTCCACTCTCCTCCACTCTCCTCCACTCTCCTCCTGCTCCTGCTCCTCTCTCTTTCTCCTCTCTCCTCCTCCTCCTCTTGCTACTCCTCCCTCCCTCCCTCCCTCCCTCCTTCCCTCCTCTTCCTTCTCGTCGTCAACCCTCCTGCTCCTCCCTCTTTCTCCTCTCTCTTCCTCCTCTCGTTTCCTCCTCCTCCTCCTCCTCCTCCTCCTCCTCCTCCTCCTCCTCTTTGGAACTCTTTTTCCTTATTAGACAGACCCAGCATCAGCTTTAATCTTGACCCTTCCCCTTCTTGCTCCTCCCCCTCACGTCATCAAGATCGTCCTCGATCTGACTTCCATCCCTCAGCAAGGACAGACTGCTCTCCATCTGGCTGTGCTGAGAGTCAGCTGGGAATGTGTCGACCTCCTTCTCAGAGCAAGAGCGACCGTCGACATCAAGGACCTTGTGAGGCATCGACGCCACATGCGGACTCGTGATGAGGGCTGTAGGACGGAGCAACGCCCCTCTACGCGGCGCTACACAAGTTCCTTGCTGAGGGAGACATGAACCTCAGGGTGAGGAGCAAGGAGGAGGGGAGGTGGGGAGGAGGGGAGGAGGGGAGTTGGGCTGGGATGATGTGGAAGGAAGAGGTGTAGAGTCCAGAACAGAGTCAGGAGGGAGGAGGCGATGGAATGGGGGGAGGGCTGAAAGGGAGGAGAGGATGTCTTGTTAACTCACTTGATCCAGCCGATTGTCAAGAGACTGCTGCGGGCGAAGGCAAGGATGAGCGAGGGAGATACGGTCGTCACTGACAGCCTGCGCTGCTGCTGACGATGCGAGAAATGCAGGACATTTTCATGAAAGTGATTGCAATGATGAAGATCAGGGTATGAGCAGGAACAAAGTGAGAATTGCTGACGCTCAGATTTGTGCAGATTCGCATGAAGAAATCTAGCAAATGCAACATCTCATAGGAATCAACTCATCCCATGATACTGTAGGATGTCACTACTCCCTCTTGTAGCGCCCTGAACAACTGTTGACCTGCAATGAAACCGCACAACCATTCTCGGCGTGACAGTAGTTCCCAGAAAAGGATTTAATCTAAAGAATAGCTTCTCCCCAACACCCCCATCTTCTCCTGCAGCATGCCCTAGATCGCACACAGTCTACTTGTATGCAACTTCCTCAAAAGTCTCCTCCTGTGATACTTGTTCTTCATGCCGAAGTCGTTGAGAAGATCGTGCTCATTCAGCTCCATGAGCATCTCCCCATCGATCCTGTTCTGCTTGAAAGCATCGCAGTATTCTTTCAGTTCCAGCTCTACAGGACAAATTTCAGATATGCGCACAAATGAGAAATAAAAATCTTCCTCACCTGCGAGCCAATTGACAACTTCTTCCACGGAGAAGCTCTCAACCCCTTTCGAGGAGAAAGCAGGAGCTTCTGATGACCCGGACGACGGAGAGGCCTGACCTCTTTCTGACAGCACAGACTCCGACGAGGTCGAATGGCTCGCCAGGACTGTCGAGCGATGAGACAGAGACTGAGTTGAAGAGCTGCTCCCTCCGGACAGCCGCTTCGAAACCGTCTCGTTCATCTCCTGTGGTCGGTTCATCGCCGATTTCTTCGCTCGCTGGTCCGAAGTCTGCATGAAGTGAAGAGAGAAACATCCCCTGGCATTCGAGCTCTTCACCGAGAAGCCTCCGACATTCGCGCACGTCCGCATCGCCTTCGGCTCAGGCACCCGCCTCTCCGAGGCAGGCTCGCCATTCCTTGACTTCTGCTCCACCTCGACTGTTGGTGGATCCTCACGCCCGCGTCTCCCACAGTCTGAGGACTCGGCAACCTGTTCATCGCAGGCATCCCCCAACGGAAGTTGCTGCCTCGCCAGAAAGACATGATAGGCGCTGACTTCGTCTGCACAAGACTCTATGTCCTCACTGTCGTAGTCTGTGACGAAAGCTCTCTCAAACTCCAACCTGACCAAGGAACCTGCACGTCCCACGATCTTCTTGCGAACGTCGTCGAGAGACAATCCATCCACCAGCTCCCCATCTACCTTGAGCAGGACATCCCCGATTTCAATCTTCCCACACTTCGAAGCTGGGCTCCCCACGACGATCTCATCAACAATGCAGAGTCCATTTTCGGGCTGGATGAAGAACAGCCCAACCCCAGCCCTCTCACTCAGCTCCATATCATTGTGCACGACGTCGTTTGCTCGTCGTCTTTGCTTGATTTTGTCAAGAATCTCCCACTGCAAACGAAGAGTTTCCTGACAGATCCTTTCTGCTTTTGTAAGTGGTTTCCTGACCTCTCCATAGCTGTCTCTGGCATTCTCGTCACCATTCCCACTTTCTCTCGGCCTTGCCATTTGCATCTCTTCCTCCAATTCTTCTCCATTCTTGTCAGCTGAATTCCGATATCTTGAGTTGATGAACATGTCATCCCTAGAGTATTGCATCTGCAGTGACGATCTCGGCACCCCTCGCACAATCATGGTGTTCCCCTCACGAGGTAAACTCCTCGATCTTTGCCTGCTAACCCCTGTACGAGAATGGTCAAACCTAACAGCACCTCTCCAAGGCGAAATCAAACCTGGTGAATGGACTTCCTCGCATCTCGAAACTCTCTCTTGCTCAAGGTCGAGTTCCCCATGATGATGATTGTTTGAATTCTGCTCGAGAGGCGCCTTGTCCGCATACAAGCGATGAATATGCTTGTTCACTTGTAGAAACTTGGTGAGAGCTGTACATTGCTTGTCATTGCAATGTCCCAGTACTGTGTTGATGTACGTGTGCAACCCAGTCTCTCTCGTTCTTGTCACATTCAAAAACATAGAAAACGGAATCTTTGCGGGAAGCTCGGCCTTGACTTGGCCATATCGAGAAAGACGACTATGCAAAGTAACAAAATCATTAAACCTTCGCTTCACGTTCCAGCAGATTTCATTGTCTCCTCTCATGACGCACAACATGTTGTAAGCCTTATGTTCGCTGCCATTTTCATCTCTTTCCGTGGTTGCACGAGTACTCATCACATGCAGAGCTCTGATCCCGTCCCCACCCGTTGGATGGGAACTTCCGCAGAGGAATACCTCTTTCGCGCCTGTCGACTGCATTGCCAGAAATCTACAAGAGGATATGAAGGTAGCTCAACAGCCTCTGACGAGACGAGAACTTTGATCACATCAGCATCACATCTGCTCCTTCGTCTTCTCTTCTTTCATCTTCTTCCTGCCCATCTTCACGGCCCTGCCTTCCACCATGCACAACGCGGAGTCCCGAAATAGATACATCACATCCCCACCCCCTCTAGGTCATGAGTTGGAAGGGAAACATGGGGGTGATCAACCCCTGCGGAAGAGCACCCCCCCGTCAGTTGAACCCCTGTCTTTACTATGTTTCCACCGGTACCGAAACCCTGAAAGTACCCTACCCAGAGATCATGGAATTGATTGTACGGGGATTTGACCCTACCCTCAAGCCGACAATCACCCTACCTCCTTTTAGTTAACACCTTCTTCAAGTCACCCCTGATCAGTACCACATACACCCACCATTTACACAGATCAATTCAAACTGATTGTACCCTACCCGTCATCTAAGTTCGATCACATCACCCCTACCCCCATTTTTCTACTCATGGGCGAAGGAAACGGTTTTAGCTCAAGGAGTTCTGATGAAGCCCGGCCAGTCCGATCACCGGGCCGAGCCGGCCCCCGGGGCCCGGTTCCGTGGATTCGGCCCACCGGGTCCCGACGTGTGAGCAGCCTAGTCACCCGGCGTCCTACTATAATCACTACTGGCCGCCGCCACCGACGGTCTGGCGGGCGGTTAAGAAGCCACAAATTTTTACTGAAGTATCATAATAACTGTCCGTGAGTTTGACTGTACACTGATTTACATGATCATGCTTTTGACTCGCTCTACTTTGTTTCTGGCAACTGCATCCGAGCCCTGAGAAGTCTGTCAGCAGCAGCTCACAGATAGCCTAGTCTCTAGGCATCCTAAGGGGAACCTGTGCGATCGCTGGCAGTCCGTCCCTTATCAATCGGGTTTTCCCTGTAGAACAATCGAAGGTCAAGGACGCTCGCAAGATGAAGGAGCGGGGAAACCTTTGCTGTCCTTTGCAAGCTCCAGCTGCGCAAGCTCAGGCTTGAGAGCCCAGAACAAGACATTGGCGCAAGTACGTTTAATGATGGCATCCTGGAAGCAGGTAGGTTGAGACTTGTAGCACAAGTCAAGCAAGGTGACCTGAGCACAAGCCAGCTCTGTGAGCATGTCAGCGCCTCCCGAGCGGAAGAAACGGATAGCATTGGCAGGAACAGGTCGGGAGAACTCTTTCATCTTATCTTCAACTTTCACCCAGATCTGAGTGAGGTCATTATGATTCAAGAGCAGAGCTGACTGTCTCTACCTCTATCTCTTCAGCAGCCTTGTTCATCTTGTTGAAATCCCCACTCTGTATCATCGATTTCCACGAATCTAATTTAGCTTGTTGTTCGGAATCTATTTGTACAGCCTGCAGTGCTCAAAGGTCATTGTGCCACAGGGTGAGGGTGCAATGGATGAATCATTTACCTCCAACTTTGACCTGTTCAGTTCATCTTGCCCGAAATATTTGTCTTGCAACATGTTCGCTTCAACCAAAGCTAGCTGTGATAAGATCCTGTTATCGTATCCTTGAAATCCTGGATTCTTCCTTTGTATTCTCCAGGCCTAAGTAGACGGAAATGAGGAAAGGCAGAGAGAACTTAGAAGGGGAAAACCTGTATCATCATCGCCTCAAAATACTCGTCGTCAAGGTCCTCTCCTACGATTCTGTAATACTCCTCGAATTCCTGTGAGAAGAACAAGGAGAGAGCGAGAGGAGCAAGGAGAGTGTGAGTCAATCTAAAAATAATTGCATGTGATATCATACAAGTATAGTGAAACTTTGGTTACCTCTAGTCTCAAATCTTGATATTTCACGGTCGTGCCGGGTTCATAAACTCCTCCTTTGAACCTCGCTAGAACGCTCAAGTAAATCTGATCTTCACTCCAATGATTCACTCCTTCTGCTGAGTATCTTGTGTTTTCATAAGTGAATGTAAGGCATACAGGGTACGCCGAGAGAATACCTTGGATGAGACTTGGCGTTGTATCCCTTGTTTCGCAAATCATCGATCGTCACTAAACCGTCCCCATCGTGATCAAGCTTGTGAAAGGCCTCACGCACAAGTTCACGCCTTGCAACAACAACATGAGATGTTCCAAGGAGAGGGAAAAGGCTCACCTGCTCTCATTCATATCATATTTCAGCCTCATAGCCTTCATCTTCTCATCCCTCTCTTTCAAATCTCCCCAGTACACGACCGAGGATGAAGTTCCGAACAATCCAAGCGAGCTCTTCTTTTTGGCGCTCCAGTTGTCAAATTGTGGTCTCTGCAAGTTAGCCGGGGTTCCTGTGTGGAACGGGGCACTTGGGCGATAATGATTCATATTTGACACTGCCAATCTGTTTGAATGTCCAATCAGAACGACCGGGGTGTTGCAAACGCTTATCTTACTTGCCCTGACCATATCCAGCTGATCGTACCGCCCGAACTCTTTCAGGATACAAATTCCCCTCGGGTTTGTATCCTCCCGTGTAGCTGTTGCCACCAGTTGTCCTCTCCGACGGTCGGTTGAAATGGGAGGACCCCTTCCTATCGCCCCAAAGTTAAGCTCGGAACGTAGACTACTCCGGAGAAGCAAGCATTCAGCACTGACCTGTGCATGGGTTCACCGACAAGAGGCCTGACGGCGTTCTTGGAGCTTGCTTGAGGTCGATATGCTCCTGGAAATCTTTGTCAGGGAATTCGAAAACTGAACTACAAAAAGTGGAGGGATCAACATCTTGAAGAGGGTCATGGAGGAAGCGAAGGCGCAAGGGCAGAGAAGAGAAAGGACGAGGCAGTGGAGGCATCTTGTCTCCTACCGAAGCCATGGGTCGATGGCGCAACGCCCGTCGTAACATTCAACCTTCCCGCCATGACTGTGAGTGATGTGCGTTGATTCGGAAGCTTTTTAGTCAACATTCACAGAGTCAGGGCCCGGCCGGGCCCTGCAGTGCCGAAATCCGGGCCCCGGGCTGCCCGTCATTCCGACCTTCGGGATTCACTACCCTTGCAGGTGGCATGGCAATGGATCACGACTCGCTATGGCCCGTCAGGCGAGGTCAGGTCCAAGACGGTCAACCTTGAACACTAGCAGTACGGTACGGTAGTTCGAAACTTCGAAACTTCGGGACGACTCGCCCGAACGTACGGTGCCGGAATTCCCGAACTTTCAAAGTTTCAAAGTTGGATGGCTCGGATAGGCACGGCCTTGATTCGGACTTGCACTGTTGCTACTCAATCTTGCATGCTCGATAATGAGTAAATGAGCGAAGAGAACTTGAGGAAGGCGATGCGACGACTGAGAAGAAAGGGAAGGACATGCTCAAGACTTATGACAACCAAATTCAGATGACCTCACGAGAGCCAAGCAATGCAATCTTGGCAAGATATCACATCGCGTTCGTTTGACAACTAATCTTCATCGTCTTCGCACTTGTGGGTACTTGATTCGATGCTCAAGATCTTCATGTCATGCCTCTTCAGTCCTCTTCTAAAATCTTCTGTTGACGACGTTGATTCCATGTTTTCTCCTAACACTTGTTAATGGGGATTGATCGGCCATGACAGGCTATGCCGGCAATGCAAAGGTCAAGCGAGGAGTATTATATGAGTAAGATCAGGGCACTAGAGAAGCGCTGCGAAGACCTTGAGGCTCTCAACAAGGAGATGTTCACTTACATCCATCAGCTCTCTGATGCTCAGTCCGCTGCCCATGGTAAGGAAACCGTCGACAGGCTACGATGGCGGATGCTGGAAGTGAATGATCACGGGTGCATGAGAAGGTTTGTTTCGCACTTGCAGACGATGATGTTGAGCACGGCAAGAGAAGATCAACAAGAAATTCATCGCAAACCATTTGAATTTCTTTCCTCCGAAAACATCCCAGCAGATGTTCGGGTGCAGATGAAGGGGCTTGAGAGCGAGTTGGCGAGATTGACATCAGGCAAACAACTATTTGTTGTGAATTTTGTCGTCTGACTTGTCAATTGCAGACCTGGGAAGGATGAAGAAAAGGTGTCAGAAGCTTCAAGAAGAAAAGATTCTAAGGGACTTGCAAACTTCTACATCGTCGTCCGATCATTTGAAGATGAAAGAAGATTATCTGAGCTGTTTCATTCGGCAAACATCTGTTCAGTACCTGTCTCTTCTGTCAAAGTTGGAGATTGAATCTGTTCCCAAACTTCTCTGCGAGACGGCCAGTGGGCTTGATCTTCGCGGCATCACAAGCAACGCAGTTCTCAAGGTGATGTGGCATGGCTGGAAGGAATTCCCATGGTTTGATCCCTCGCCTTAGAACTTCTTCGATGACCTGGACACCTCGACGTCGCACGTGTACTTCATGCTCTTTCACCGACTGACAGGTCCTCATGTCTCCATCCTCCCCCTGTTTCTCTGACGAGTTTGCGAAGCTACCCCGAGTGTCTCCCCCATCCACTCTTTGCAGGACAGCAGGAGTTTGTCGGAAGAGGCTCGCCCAGACACAAACACCTCCTACAAGGACGAGATCGTCGGGAGAGTCATACAGCAACTGAAGCTGGAGGATAAGGTCGATCAGATCTGCTCGGGGATAAGAGCTTTCTTCTCTGCTCTGCTCCGTCACATCAGATCCCACGAGCGGTTGCAACTGACCTATAGCGTGCAAGCCGCCATAACCCGATCGCTGTCGGGATCCATTTCAAGACATCTGCAAAACATGGAGAGCAAGCTGGAGGGCTCCGTTGGATCTGCACAAGTCCTGCGAGTCTGCAGGAGGGTTCCAAGTTTGCGGGTGGTGGTGTACGCGATCTTGGCGCTTCAACGGATTCAACGACTGGCGGTCATCGCCAGCATCAGGTTGAACATTCTAGGGAGCAGCGAGGGGGGAAGAGAAACTCTAGTCCGATGTCTCCTCGCCCTCAAAGATGCTCGACAACTCTCGCCCGGCTCAGACCGAGTCGGAGGCGTGAAGGACTTGATCGCGAGCACCTGCTGCAGATGCCTTCCTGAAGTGACTCCCCCTGACGAATCTGACGAGTTTTCCCTCCCCTCCTTTCTTCAGTCTGCGCCCACTTCAGCCCCAAGTTTGTTGATACTGCGAGATCCCAGCAGCGCTGCGAGCTGCTGGGCGCGAGCAAGGAATCTTGACAACGCCGCAGAGATGCTGAGGGTGGGACGACAGCTGGGGAGAGGAAGGGAAGCTCTGACTGTAGTGCAGGGTGAGAGCGGGAGGTTGGAAGATTATCTCCAGCACTGCGACAATTCATGGATGCAGGAGAACGTGGAAGGAAGGTTGCAGCAGCAGGAGGCGATGATAACTCTACTCCAGGAGAAGCTCCAGGTAAGACCGACCCTCCCTCCCCCTCCCTCTCTCCCTCCCTCCCCCTCCCTCCCCCTCCCTCCCTCCCTCCTCTCTCCTCTCTCCTCCCTCCCTCCCCCACTCCCTCCCTCCCTCCCCCTCCCTCCCTCCCTCCCCCTCCTCTGTCCCTCCCTCCCTCTCTCCTCCCTCCCTCCCTCCCCCTCCCTCCCTCCTCTGTCCCTCCTCTCCCCTTGCTTCCTCGTTGTCTTAGGCTGTGTTAGCGTGTTCAGGCTGAGCTCGAGGACTCAGTGCCGCGAGAGACGTACATGAGGATGAAGCAGAAGCATCTTGAGCAGTGAGAACGCTTCGCTTTCTTCCTGCGCTCCTTGGAGCACTTGCTCTTTCCTTGTCTTCTTGTTTTCAGCTCACTCCCCTTCTCTCCTCCTCCTCTTGTCCTCACTACTACCATTGTCAGCCATCGCCATGTCTCTGCGATAGAAGACGCCATGTCGCCCTCCAGGAAGCCGAGCGCTGACGTGGAGAAGAGACTCGAGCTGCAGGCGGAGCAGCTGGCAGCAGCGCAGGAGAGCATCCGGAAGCAGGAGGAGGAGATCAGAAAGCTGCAGGATCGGCTCATTGCTAGGGGGCTGCAGACAACGACGACGTCTCGGCATGCTCTCAGCGCATCCGGAGGATCGAGCATGGGGAGTGAGCGGGGGATGTCCATCGAAGAGGAGCTGGCGCATGCGGAGGAGGAGCTGGAGTCTTGCAGGAGGCAGATATCGCAAGTCTTGAAAGGCAAACAGAGTCGATGAGGAAGGAGAGGGAAGAGGAGACGGGAGGGAGGAGAAGGGAAGAGATGGGAGGGAGGAGAAGGGAAGAGATGGGAGGGAGGAGAAGGGAAGAGACGGGAGGGAGGAGAAGGGAAGAGACGGGAGGGAGGAGAAGGGAAGAGACGGGAGGTAGGAGGAGGGAGAGGAGCTTTCAGCAGCTTTAACCATCCAAGTCAAAACAATAAAAACTGTAGAATCGCCTCTCATGCTTCAAATCTGCAAAAACAATGTCAGCAGAGAGGCTGAGAAGTATCCGAAAAAAATTACCTCCGATCTCTCTCTCCGAAGGCGTCTCCTAACGATGTCAACGCCTGCAGGCAAGCTCACAACCTCCTCCTCCTCCTCCTCTCCTCCTCTCTTACATCCTCTTGATATGACTGATGGGCCTCTCTGAACGACAACCGAGAGACGTCCGGACCAGCCTCCTCCTCCTCCTCCGCCACCATGCTTGAGAACGCTTCCTCCACCATGGAGCATTGCGCGTTGATACACTGCTCGCTCAGCACAGCATACCAGGACCGGCACTCGTCGTTGTTGCTAGCCTTGAGGTAGATGACTGGCCCGCTCTCCTGCGGCGGTCGCTGGACCTCGAAGTATTCGGCGCCGCGGTGCACGAGGTCGAACCGGTTTCCTCCCTTCTCCGACAGCGACACGTCCCATGCTCGCAGGTCGAGGGTGATCCCCTTAGCTCCCCGCCGCGAGTTGGGCGCTAGGATGAGCTGCCCGGTCGTGAGGGTCAGCGTGTAGGAGTTGGCCCACGAGGGGAGGAACGTGCGCTTGTGCTTCCTCTTGCAGATCCCCTGCTTCAGAATCCTCCTCTGCGCCAGCGCCTGCGCCGCCCGTTGCCGCACCATGTCGAGTTCGGCAGTCGAGATGTTCCCGTGGACGTACTTGGGGGCGATGGTCCCGTCTTCTCGCAAGAATGGTGGCATAGAGATTCTGTTGGAGCTGCGACAAGGTCACTCGCACACGTCACCGACTTTTCCTGCTCTCACTTGTTGCTCTCATACCCGTCCGCCGCTACAGACGCCCGAAGCCTCGCCTTCGCCGTCTCCCAGCCCATCTGTGCCTCAGCTCACGTCAAGATTTCGTAAAGCGGTCGCAAGGAGGAGCTGAGAAATTGGACTCACCATGTCATGGTCAGCTTGTTCGAGGATCGGAGACACGGGCAGTGACATCGGTCTTCTGCTTGCAAGTTGCTTTCCCAGCTCGCCACGTCAGCACGTGGGCACAGAGGAGACTGAGAAAACTACCTCGTCCTCGTCCTCGTGGAAGTGAACTGCTCTTCCTGGGATGCCCTGAAGGGCCTTCATGATTTGTTTGTGCCCTGGTTTGGAGACGCTCCCTCCTATCGGATCACTCCAGGCGCTGTTGCCGGACTTTCCTGAGGAGACGAGACCATGTGAGAAGTAAGTGGTAGACGAAATGAAGCAGGACAAAAAGAAAGTTGGAGGGAACCCAAGAGGACAAGGAGGACAGGAGGACAGGAGGACAGGAGGAGGAGGAGGAGGAGAGAAGGTGATCAAGGGGAAGTGGAGGGGAGGTCATCAAGGATGCTCGTAGTGAGCTCATGACATCTCACCTTGCAAGGAGGAGGAGGAGACGGAGTTTGACTCCATGGAGTTGGAGTCTTCAGCTTCCGTGCCCTGACTTGCTGCCTCACGAATGGCGAGCTGAAAATCAACAAGTGAAAACAAAGATCAAGGTGATTCCATCACAGGGATGGGGAGGGGACGTGGGAAGGGCAGAGTAAACAGGGAAGGAGACAGACCTGTATCGCAGACGGTCCCTTGCTGGGAGTCCAACTTGCCAACGTGTTTGCAGATGGAAGTTTTGGTGTCTGCCGGGTGCTGTTGGCTTCAGGGGTAGTTTCCATCGCTGTTAGGAGGGGCATGGAGGGAGGGGACGGGTAGAAATCTCCCGGGTTGATCGTCTCCCTAATCGTGCTGTCGCGGGACCCGAGGCTGAGCCGAAGGCCCTCGCCATGGCTGCGCACGTTTTGTCGCAAGCTCTCCAGGACATTGGGGGGCGCTTCCTGCTGCGCCACCTCCTCCGCGTCGTCCTCCACGTCCTCCCGTTCTTCCCGTCCACTTATGGCACTTGACCTCGAGTCATTCAGATTGTCATAGTCAACCTTCTGCGAGTGACTCCTCCTCAGCTTCACCCCCCAAGGTGTCAAGATCCCTTCATCCTCTCTCCTCTCTGGCGTCTTCTCCTTCTCCTCCTCTTCCTCCTTTACGACTAGCGGGCCTCGAATGCATTGCAGCTTGAATACGTGATCCATGGTCAGCGCAAGCTCACATTGCTCAGGAATTCTCGTGAGTCCAGCAACTTTCACGCCATTGATGTAAGTCCCGTACGTGCTGAGGTCCTCGAGGATAAGATGTTCATCTCCTTCCACTTTTTTCATGTGTATGATGCAGTGCTTGCTACTGATCTTGCTGTCTGCTACCTTCATGTTGTTGTCTCTTCCTCTCCCGATGCTGAAGGGGAACTTCCATATGATCGAGCTCTCTCCTGCCCCTCCTGCTCCTCCTGCTCCTCCTGCTCCTCCTGTCTTCTTCCTTGTAATCTTCAGCCTAATCCCCGACATGCCGACCGTTCCAAAATTTGACCACCCCCACCACCAATTGTTCCGTCAACCAGCCACCCCCCAGTTATCCATGGTCAAAGTGAACTTATAGGGTAGGGGTACTCAGAGGAATTAGGATGGTCATACATAGGTGGTAGAGGGGGACACTTTTTGCGGACGGGTTGTCAAGGAGGGGTGGGGTGGTGGTACAGGTTTGTCGTCTTTGACCCGACGAATGAGAGAGGAGGAGGAGGAGGAGGAGGAGGAGGAGAGGAGGAGGAGAGGAGGAGGAGAGGAGGAGGAGAGGAAGAGGAGGAAGATAGAAGAGAAGGAGATGACAGGACCAGCAAGAACAGGAGGATCAGGTGTTGGAGAGAGACGCAAGGGGTGGGATGGGATTTGCGTGCTGTACGCGCATTACCTGAGCCATTCAGTGTCTTACTTGATTGCCTGACTAGGAGCAGAAATGGACGACACCATGGATTTTCTATCTTCGGCACTATGCGGGGTGAGAGATGAAAACTTGTTGCTCTCTTCCTCACCTTTCGTCCGACCTCACAGAGTAGCCGGAAAACCAAACCCTCGAGATACACGGAGATTTTGGATAGTCCCAGGCCGCAGGACTACGAGCCGTTGATGACTGACAGGTCCATCGATACGGACTCTCCCTACGTTCCGAGAAAAGAACCAAGAATCTACAAGCCATCACGCGCCTCGGAGAGCTTGAAGAACAGTCCTAACATGTCCTCAGCTCGTCCTCAAAGCTTCTCCCTCATGACTACTCTGCAGGTGGACTCGTGAAGGAAAGAACTTAGATCATGGCGATTCTTACAGGTCATCACGACATCGCATCCTCTGTGACCTCTGAACACGAGCAGGTCACCGTCCAGGACCAGTACCCCTCGAGACAGCGCTGCCAAGTAACCTCGAAACCACGTGATACTCTCTGACTAGTCTTCAGTTGGATGTCTCTCGACGACAACTTTGACTTGTGCATGCCGTCCGCCAAGAAGCCGCCAGCCATGTCCTCCCCTCATGCGACAGTCGACACGCCGTCAGAGGAGGCGTATAGCAGATATGTCAGTCCAAGAGACGCAAAGAGGCCGAACAGGTCATCACAGCAAGACATCTCATTCGGAGCGGACCTCTGCTCGAAAAGAAGCAAGGGAGCCGACGAGGCTGCTGGGTCGAGTGGGGGAGACGAGTGGTGTCTGCAGAGGAGGTAGCGAGCTGCGATGAAGAGCAAGTTGACTGAGAGACAACGCAGGGGGAGCAAACTAGCAAGAGAGCCGAAGGCGATCAGCAAAGCTCCTGTTGCTCAACCAAGTGAACATCTCAAGCGAGAGTTGAGCGTCTTGATCTGATCTCCTTTATCACAGTGAGGAACAATACCACGAGCGTCTCGCCTGCTTCAAGATTTTATCCCAACAAGTTCCACAACATTGTGGGGGAAGGGCCAGGATCGCAGGTCACAGATATGTCCAGACATTCTTACACTGGGTGGTTCTTGTTTGGTTCTTCTGATGTGAGATGTAACTTTCTCTTTGTAGATGGATGCCTCCGACAAATCATGCCAGGTTTGTTCAGTTCAGACTTATTAACTCTATGGTGGTAATGGTGTGTTGTTCAGCACACCAGAAGAGTTTCAGCAGAAAGTAAGAGCGAAGAAAGCTGACCTTACCTTTTTATTTCATCGACTATCAATGATGACATCGTGACGACTGTGATGATTGTACAGATGAAGATGAGGATTTACACTGAGTATGATTTCGGTACTCCATCGGAAATTGTCACATGGTTGTGATCTTGTTCCTTTGCAGTTAACTCAAGGGATCACATCATCGAATCAGACCTCAACATTCAAAGTCTGTCCACTGTCCTGACGTCATTTTAGCACTTTGACAAGTATCAACACAGCTGGGACGTACTTCAAATTCTCCGATTCGGATCTCAGAGACAGAATGTCTCCGCCCCCCGGCCTGCTAGCGGCAGCCACTAGGAATCCCCAGCAGCCGATGAGGAGGGCAGAGCCATCAGCGGTCGACAGGAACAGAGTCGAGCTGCTGCGATCGTGCTCTGACTGTTGTTGGAGCAGGCAGCTGAAGTTTGAAAACCTGCGGAACGAGGAGAAAGAGGACTCGTTGCTCTTTGGCCACCGCGCTTCTTGGCAGGAAGGAGGAGGAGGCGCGTTGCGCTGGCAACAGGAGGGGATGATAATGGGAGGACAAGAAGCTTCTTTTGGAAACAGGGAAGACATAGAAAGACAAGGAGGAGGAGGAGGAGGAGGAGGAGGAGGAGGAGGAGGGGAGGTTGTTGTAGCACCTGAGTCGGGGAGACGAGGTGTGGAAGGAGTGAGGGAAGAGGTGAGGGGAGGGTCGCAGGAAGTGCCATTCGGGCAGGAGACGGGGGAGGAGGAGGAGGAGGAGGAGGAGGAGGAAGAGCGAGACCGGGAGAGGGCAGAGGAGGAACAGCAGCTGGAGAAGGAGTAGGCAGTATGAGCCGCTCGCCTCCTCCTTCGGACAGGAAGAGGTCGTTCACGCCGGAGTCAGCCCCTTCCTTGACCACCCCGACGTCACAAGCAGCGAAAGAGGAGAAGAGGATAGAAAAACCTGCCTTCTCCTCCCCTCCTCCTAAGGTCGAGGTCAGAAGCAGCGCACAGCCCTCGTCCTCCAAGTTGGATGTCAGGAGGGGCAGTGGCGAGCTCGCCCCGAAGCAGCCCCGCGCTGTCTCCTTGCAGATCGCGCAGAGGGCTCAGAGCTTCGGCCAGCTGCTCGTTCCTGCCTCCTCGCAAGCAGCTGAGGCAGAGCCGGTGAAGGCTCTGCAGGAGAAGGTCCAAGACCTTAACCTCTCCCAACTGCCTCAAGCTGAAAAAACTGAAGCAAACACACAACAGGTCCTGCTGCTGCTGCTGCTGCTGCTGCTGCTGCTGCTGCTGCTGCTGCTGCTGCTGCTGCTGCTGCTGCTGCTGCTGCTGCTGCTGCTGCTGCTGCTGCTGCTGCTGCTGCTGCTGCTGCTGCTGCTGCTGCTGCTGCTGCTGCTGCTACTTCTACTCCTCCTGCTCCACTACTCCTCGTCCTCCTCCTCTTCCTCCTCTCCCTCCTCTCTCCATGACCTTGTTCCTATTTCTCTCTCCTGCTCTTCCGCAATTATGTTTCTTCAAGCTTTCGCGCAAGCTTCCCGATCCCTCCTCCCTCCTCCACTTTTTCCTCTTCATCACCTGCTCTGTCCTTCATTCATCTTCCTCCTCCAACTCTACCTCCTTATCTCACGCATCTCTTCCTCCCCTCTCCCTTCCTTGT